GCGCGTGATATGAAAGTTAAAAGTATAGACTTCATGAAAAACTTAGAAAAAATTAAATTGGTCGATTGGTTTGACAGTACGGGCTCGCTAACAAAAATGAGCCATGATTGTACCCCGATCCACGTTCGTCACTTTACCCCAGGTTTCAGGCTTTAACCCTCTTTCTTTCCTCTCTGTATCCACGTCTGATCCACACAATCGCGTCTGTAGCTTATTCATATTTTGCAGGTGGAAATTTTCACCACACAACTCTCCCAGCGCGCCGCTGCCGTCCGCCTCTGTCGCGTTGTAACGTTGGACCTCAGTTTGGCATTGTCGGTAAGTCTGGGAACTGTATAAAAGAAATAGGAGAAACGTGCAAACACTTTTTTTGTGACTCACGAAAGAGTTTTCACTCTTGATTTAATTGCGAATTTCTTGATTTCATGCTCTAGGGATTGGGATCGGTGGTCAACTTTTTCGTCCTCATCTTGCAGATGCGGGAAGTTAAACTCGAATCAAAACCTCACGAGATTAAAGTATTCTCCAATTCATCTCGATCGCCATGAAACACACGGCTAAAACGATGTCTGGAATTTCCAGACAGTTTTGCCGCTTTCCAGATATTAGTCTGGGATGCACCTTTTGATCCCATACCGGCCCCACAGCGTCTGCCAGAAGAATCACGAGCTGGTTTATTAAGAAGTCTGGCCTCTCACCTCTGCCCTGGGAGCGCCGATCCGTAGACCTTGGCGATGGTCTTTCCGGCGACGAGGGCGACGAGGGCGCTGAGGCCGCGGCCGCTGGGCAGCGCCTTGATGTTCTCGGCCTCGAGCAGGGGGCGGACGAGCAGGGCGGTGCCACGGGCGTCCGCGCCCCCGTTGACGACGTCCTAGCCGGGGACGCCGCGGACGGGGGCGCGCACCTCCTGCAGCAGCACCACGTCCGGGGTCACCTCCAGAATCATCTCCGTCAGCGCCTGCACCTTGACCGCCGCCGTCGCCCCACCCCAAAGTTCCAATTACTTTGGCTTGTGCACATTTTTGAAGTTGATAAAACAGTAATTATTTTTGCATATTTTAGACCAATTGTTAATGTTCAGGTTTTTCACTTGAATTTCAATTACAAAACCCTTAAACCACCCAAACGCAGTTGAAAAAAGGAATATTTTGGCGCAATACCTAACTAAAATACGTCAAAAGGCGCATTTATTATCCGGAAAAAACGCGTGAAATCTATGTTTCTACATAAAGGGCTTTTTCTCAAAACACCTTTTTTGTATCTTTGTGCCACTCTCACGGACGCAAAAATTGAGATAATTTAATGCGGTTTGCAGCAAAATGTTCCTTAAACTTGCGTCTATGGTCTGAACTTCGGAAATGGCCATCCCATAAATAGGACATGAACAGCACCCGGGACATTCCATGTGAAGTCAACCAGGCCTTAGCCACCATGGGCTCCGATCCGGTTCTCGTTTTCAGGGTTTGTTACCCCTATGGTCCCATAAAATAATCGGTACTTGGTTTGGGGTCCGGCGCCCCAGGGGCGGGGCTATGGCCAATTTACTTTTTTGCTAAATATCGGAACAACGCAACTTTGGAGGGCAATATCTCAGCAACCATTGGTCGTAGGTCAAATCCGAGACCAGATTTGGAAAGAGGATGAAAAACTGAATCTTTTTTGGCTTTGAAGTTTTTACGTCCAAAAACTTTTTAAAACTTTAGTGAAGTTTTCAAATTAGCGCCATTTCCTAGATCCTCAACCGATTTTGACCAATCTGGGCTTAAAAGATAGCTTAAACCCTTCCCTAAACGAAAATGTTAACCAAAAAATGTGTTCGGCTTCGTTCCCGAGAACGAGCCATTTTCGTGAACCCCTGCAACCACGTATTTCACCAAATTGTAGTGACGGCCGCACTCGATACCACACTGGACGCTCTCTTCGGTGTTTTCGGCTCAAAGCAAGTCTCCGGGTTGCTTTTCTGAGGTCAGAGGACCCAAGCGCCTGTCAGGTAGACCAACAACCAGCAGACCTGTAACGCACTAGTGACGACTGGGTGGCCTACACTACAAAATCAAAAGTCTGCTTATTTCACAGCTGTGGGAGTATGCTTGGAAGCATACATCTGTAGGAGTGTGCTTGTCAAGCATACATCTATAGAAGTGTACTTGAGCAAGCATGCACCTCATGCACCTATAGCTGTGTACTTGGGCAAGCATGCATCTATGGCTGTGTGCTTTTAAATGGGTGAGAGGAATGCATGCTTCTCCAAGGACACAGTTACAGATGCATGCTTGCCCAAGTACACATCTATAGATGTATGCTTACCCAAGCATACTCCTATAGCTGTGTGCTTACAAGTATACTCCCACAGCTGTGTACTAAGCACACATCTGATCTTGCAGTGTACCTTGCCCCTGAATAGTGGGACAGGCAGCGCGCTCTGGGCGATCGGACCAGTACTACACACTCAACATCTTACGATCGTTTTTATACGTATTACGATGGTTTTTCATCGTAAGGTGCGCATCACTCGTGTAAATGTTATCACAATGTCAGAAACCTGTCTGAAAACCTGATCAAAATTCGCGCACCTCTGAAAGCTGAAAACATCTCCTGACATTCTGTAGAACTCACACCATCAATATCAGAGTAAGTTTTCAGAATTTCAGCTTTCAGAGGTGCGCGAATTTTGATCAGGATTTCAGACATGTTTCTGACATTCTGACAAAATTTACACGAGTGATAAATTTGCACATACGTAATATGCTTAATTTTTCATCGTATTACGCTTGAATTTCATCGTATTACGCATGTATATCATCGTATTACGCATGTATATTATCGTATTACGCATGAATTTTATTGTAGTACGTATGTTCTCATTTCAACGTATGTTACAATGGCCCTTTCATCATGAGAATCTGAGGGTGTACACCCCGCCACCTCGCCGTGATATCCACACGTGGGGTGGGTGTTGTTGTTGTTAGTTATTGTTGCACGACGCCAGGGTAAGGGATGTTTCAGGCGTTTCAGTCAGCAATCGGGTAAAAATACATGTTTGAGTTTTCTTTGTCAGTCCCAGCGGATTTGACAGCACGCTTCAACGGCATTTTAGAATTAATCTGAAGGCATACCATAGTCAATGACATTGAAGATAAAGGTTAGAAGTGTTAAAGAAGATACTTTTATTTAGCTGGTCAAGGAAAGTACCTTCTTGGTATGCCTTCAGATCAATGCCAAAATGCCGTTAAAGCGTGCTGTCAAGTCTGCGGGAAAGCATAAAGAAAAGTATCTCGTTTAACTACAGCTTAATAAAAGTATCATCTTTAACACTACTAACCTCTATCTTCAATGTCATTGACTATGGTATGCCTTCAGATTAATTCTAAAATGCCCTGGAAGCGTGCTGTCAAATCTGCTGGGACTGACAAAGAAAACTCAAACATGTATTTTTACCCGATTGCTGACTGAAACGCCTGAAACATCCCTTACCCTGGCGTGCAACAATAACTAACAACAACAACACCCACCCCACGTGTGGATATCACGGCGAGGTGGCGGGGGTAGGCCACCCTGTTGTTACTAGTGCGTTGCAGGTCTGCTGGTTGTTGGTCTACCTGACAGGCGCTTGGGTCCTCTGACCTCAGAAAAGCAACCCGAAGACTTGCTTTGAGCCGAAAACACCGAAGAGAGCGTCCAGTGTGGTATCGAGTGCGGCCGTCACTACAATTTGGTGAAATACGTGGTTGCAGGGGTTCACGAAAATGGCTCGCTCTCGGGAACGAAGCCGAACACATTTTTTGGTTAACATTTTCGTTTAGGGAAGGGTTTAAGCTATCTTTTAAGCCCAGATTGGTCAAAATCGGTTGAGGATCTAGGAAGTGGCGCTAATTTGAAAACTTCACTAAAGTTTTAAAGTTTTAAAAAGTTTTTGGACGTAAAAACTTCAAAGCCAAAAAAGATTCAGTTTTTCATCCTCTTTCCAAATCTGGTCTCGGATTTGACCTACGACCAATGGTTGCTGAGATATTGCCCTCCAAAGTTGCGTTGTTCCAATATTTAGCAAAAAAGTAAATTGGCCATAGCCCAGCCCCTGGGGGGCCGGACCCCAAACCAAGTACCGATTATTTTATGGGACCATAGGGGTAACAAACCCTGAAAACGAGAACCGGATCGGAGCCCATGGTGGCTAAGGCCTGGTTGACTTCACCTGGAATGTCCCACCCATGAAAGAGCGAAAAAATTGGTTAAAAAATTTGTTTCTATTTTTGCCTTTTGAAAACACAAATTCATAATCATTATTTTTGAATGCCCGTGGTTCAGACCATAGCCACATGTGTCCTGGTGAGAAATTTTCAAATCCCGTGCTCGAGGCTCAATCCAGAGAGGCGGAATCGTGGCAGGAGTGAAGCAAAGGTCGAAGAAAAATGAAGAGCACTTGCAATCGCCACCCTGCCCTCCCATACTGATTTTTCTTTCCATTGATATAATTTTGAGCCAAGAATAAAGTATCAATCGAAGACATATGTTTCTTTTCTCTAAACTGTCGTTTTTCGAAACCTCTGCCTTTTTACTGGTGCATCTCGAAGTTGTTTTCCGCCAGAATTCTTAAGTTTACGGGCCTAGTCTATGGGCCTGAGATTCTAACAATGAGCAAGATCTCCCACTAGGAAGTACATTGCTACACATTTTGTAAAAAACAGTATTTACACTCCTCAGTAGTGTTCAGCTCTCGTGCATGGCTCGACCTGCGACCCCTGAGGAAGCATGATGCAAACGCTGCAGATTTTAAGGGAGAGTGGGGCGATTCGTAACAAATGCGTTTATTAATTTAAGTGGAGGGAGCAGGGGAAAATCTGAGTATGGCCCCTCCTTCGCTTCAAGTAGAGGGTCCTTGAACAATGGAAGCGGATGTGATCGGTGCCCAGGTATGGTTTTGGAGGGCGTCTGAAATATAGGGTACACCGAAAACAGGCAAATCTTTTATTTTGAGTTCCAGGAAGTTTCTGTCTGAGGCATCATGGCTTTGGGATGACCTCGCAGTCGACCGCCACACACATGCGAATGATGGGGCTGTTGCGCGTCGGGCGCGATCGCATTCGATACCGATAGCGCCCATACGGCATGGTCGGGAAGTTGGGGAATGTCCAGTTCACCGGTTCATCCTTCAACACGCTGTGTCCCTGGAATATCAACGGAAAGAGTAGCTGATTACTCTCTCCCTTAAGAGAATTTACGTAATTTAAGTGAATTTACTGCACGAAGGCGCAAATACACGTACCACTGGTAAGACACATGGGTCCCTCAAGTCCGTCGAAGCCCCAGTGTGTTTTGCAATAACGCGAAAATAGTCAGGCATCTGCTCGCGCAATTCTGAGCACCCGTTTTTGGGAAAGGGAAACTTGAAAGCGTTTTCTTTCCATTGGTTGTTTGCCCAGACAGCAAGATCGGTTTCTGTCTGAAACGCAGAACAGTCATCGCTTAATGCATGGAAAAATAATGCAAACGAGCAGAAACGCCCTGACACTCTACCAAAAATGTCCTGTAAATGCCGTTAATTTATTACCAGTTTTCACTGTAGGTCAATTCACAGCGTTTGCTGTGAACTAGTTCACGGCGTTCACTGTGATCTCGGTTACAGTGTTCACTGTGATCTGGTCCCCAGTAATCTGTGAGTTTGACGCGCTGAGCACCGAAGTACTGCAAATCAGTTCTCCAATTCACGGCGTTTACTGTGGCCAGATCACAGTGAACACTGTAACCGAGATCACAGTAAACGCCGTGAACTAGTTCACAGCAAACGCCGTGAATTGCATAACAGCAAACATTGGTAATAAATTAACGGCGTTGACAGGACATTTTTTGTAGAGTGGACAGCATAGCGAGGAGTGTGTGCATGTTACAGTTTATTTGCAAAGAAACTGAAAATGCGTCATTCTGCTTCTCCAAATATTTTTGTTTTAAAATCTGCAGCCTTTCCATCATGCTTCCTCAGGGGTCGCAGGTATCTCGAGCCATGCACGAGATCTTAACACTTCTGTGGAGTGTAAGTACTATTTTTACATAATGCAAGGCCTGTGAACTTCTGGCGAAAAACACCTTCAAAAAGAAATATATAGTAGAGTATGGAAGTTAAAAGCACCGTCGTAATGTACAGAAACATGAATAAGTATACCAATATTTTAGGAAGGTTTCCTCGCTCAAATTTGGGTGATAAAGTATACCAAGGTCATTTCAATCTCAGTGATAAATGCCTTGGGGCTTTTTTCCATAATGATACAATTTTGAAAACATCCAAGGTAGTTTTGTGTCCGCCAGGTGTGTTACAGTGGTAACATCCTGTTTTTGGGAAAGGCAAACAGGCCTTTCATCGTGAGCCGATTCTCCCTGTACACGCGTGGTGTTGAGGCGCCTGAGAACTACGCAACCCAACAAACGTCTACTACACTCGTTTTCTCGACGTAGTTCAAGCCGTCGCCGCAATGGCTCTGCTCTGCAGATCTCGCGGACCTAACAGGTGGTTGTCATCTATTACAATTTGCATATCCGTCGCGCTATCTTTACCACGTGGTGGACACAAAACTACATTATTCGTGGTACAAAAAAAGTCGAACACTGCAAAAAAAAAGTGTGAACAGTACAACAAATGTACAACGAAAATTGAAAAAAAAAAAGAGAATTGTACAAACTACCACGAGGCCTGAACTGCACCACACTCGTCGCCGGTTAACCGGCATGGTCTAGCAAACAATTGCTAGACTTTAAAAGTTAAATTAATTTCTGATTATAAAAAAATGGCCAGGAATTTTCGTAGGTTTTTTTTATTTATTTCCAGCAGTGCATGACATTTGCATTTTACCCAAACGTGATCCGTGAATGGTGCCCTAATCGTCAAGTTTCCTGACAGCGTCTGCAGGTCATAAGGTCGGCTTCGGCTGAAGGGACCCGGTCGAAAGTTCGCCTCCACGATCTTGTCAGACGGGCAGGCCTTCCACGTGTGCAGAAACACGATGTAAGGCCCCTGCAACGCAAGTGCGGTACCGCGACGGATAGTAAAACACCGCTTCCGGACTACACGTGTGTACACTCTAAACATGGGGTGCCCAGAAACTGGGCGCCTTTGTCGCCTGCCCCACTTCTTAGGGTGCCAAATGTCACCCAGTTTCTGAACACCTTTGTCGCCTACACGCAAAAAAAGCCCAATCAGATCTGAGATAATTTTTTTAGTAAACAACTTTTAGCACCACAACTACAAAAATTGCAGCTCTACTAGCGACATGTGCGGAGTCGAGGTGCTCGTTTAGCTTAGTGTTTGCCAGACTTCGACTTTCACTGTCCTTCGAAGTGTGGTACAGCCTACAGGTAATGTGTGGTAGGCGCAAAACTATGGTTACCCAAATTTACCACACGTGGAAATGCGGTCAATACCCCTAAAAATCAGTGGTCAGTAAAGTACCACATAAAATTCATGGTGAATACCAGCAAATATATGGTCAGTCCTCCATACCTCATTAAAGGGTGGTCTTGACCACGCAATACATGAGGTAACGGCTAAATTGTAGGCTTGTACGCATTTGATTTGAAGTGGTGTAATTCTTACCACATTTGTACGTGTGGTAGAATGCGGTAACCACACTTTTAGTCTCACCACAGCCAAATGTGGTAACTTCACCACACTTTCGATTTCAGTGTTCGCGAAACGTGTACTTTTGGCTGTTTTAGCAACCTTCGTGTGCTGCAGTGCTGATCGATGGTTTCAAAATTTGTTTTGCAATTCTGCAAAATATTTTGAAGAGACAGGGCAACAACATGGTCGTTCCGTGTCGCTTCGCTCGCGCTGATGACTAGCAGTGGAGCCTGCGTTATGTGGGGAGCGGAAACTCACGACGCATCGACCATGTGCCGCCACATGGACTCCGATCATTGAAGCCTGGGGGACAGAACCGTTTCTCTTGAGACTCCTTCTCCTTCTGAGGGGATGCGAGAATTTTAAAAAACTTTACGGTGACATCTGAGTGGAAACGAGGAAGACATCCAAATTGTACTCTACAAACTCAACTGTGTACATAGTACACTCCACCTGGAGTGTACATGCATGTACACTTCAACCTGAAGTGTACTTGGCATGTACACTCCACGGTGGCGTGTACCTTCAGGTACACTGTTGCTGGCTCCCTGCTGCAGGTATGAGCCACCTGGCATGGACTTGGCAAGTACACGCCAACCTGGAGTGTACATGCCAAGTACACTTCAGGGTGAAGTGTACATGCCAAGTACACTCCAGGGTGAAGTGTACATGCCAAGTACACTCCAGGGTGAAGTGTACATGCCAAGTACACTCCAGGGTGAAGTGTACATGCATGTACACTCCAGGTGGAGTGTACCATGTACACACTTGAGTTTGTAGAGTAGTCACACCCGAACCTATACTTGTAGATATTCAAAATGACAATGCAGCAAGAGTTCTTTTCAATTTAGCTAGTCTCCGTTTTGGCCAGTACTAGTGTTCCCCAGCTAATGTCTTTTAGCCATACAGCTAAAAAAATTGCAGGGCCTATACAGCTGTATAAATTTGCATTGATGCTATATTTCTAGCTCCCAGGAGATTTATATTTTTTGCGTTTAGTCTCGGAGGACAAACCATTAAAGAACCTGCCTTCACCCGTGGCTCAGCGGCGACTAAGGTGCCAGAATCTGGGCACCTAAGTCGCCACGGAACTAGACACCTAAGCATGCTCGGGAGAAGGCCGGTTACTGCATGATTTGCCCACCTCGAGACTGGGCGACAAAGGCCACGTTCATGGGAATGCGAATGTTGGTTCACCTTCAAACGAATGTGACACCGTATTCAAACTAACGTGACGAAATTCTTATCCCAACGAATATGACATCCCCACCGTTGCATAAACAGAGCACGTATAAGGTACGTATATTCTTACAGCATAAGAGTGCAGGCGCTTGCTCCGAACGCAGTCCAAGGCCAGTGGTGGGAGTAACAGCGCCCACACTGCGAGGGAAGGAAGCGGCGACCGCGAGATGCGAGACGCAAGCATCTCAAGGACGACGTGGCCAGTCTGGATTGGGGGAAGGGAGGTGCGAGGGGTGAATCACTGGTGCACTCATGTGTACAAATTGGCAAAGAGAAGAAAAACCCCCGCAGGTGCTCTTTTATAAAGAGCTGGAGTAACACCCCGTGTGGCGAAGTTCTGTTCTTTGCAAGCTTTTACGAGACCGATTTCCAGCCACTTTTTGACAACCTTTCCACTCTTGCAACCGCTAGTGGGATTCATCGGAATTCAGGTATGTGATGTAACGTTTAAACGTAAATGGTGTATCTTGCATTTAACCCAACGTCACATTCAAGCGAACGTCTTACAAAACTAGAACGAACGTTGCAGATCTGCGTTGACTCTGGCTGATTTTCTGCCAATAGTGTAAGGTTTCAGCTGCATCATACCGTATCACCAGCTCAGGCCCTGGGCACCAGTCGAGCTATTTATCTCAGGTCTCGTTTAACTCTGCTCGGAATCTCTGAACTGTTATGTGAGCGCGACACCGGTGATCCGAATGGACGATCGAGGCTCATTCACGAAACACGCGCGGGTGCCCAACATTCCAGAGTGCCATGACGGATAGATAACTTTCCGCAGACACGACATACATTGTGTACGCCGTCATTCCCGTTCATTCGCGGAAAAGCCAGCTTGCTATTTCGGCTGAGCTACAAACGATGCCGTTGAGTCAAAAACCTTCTCGTGCGCCATTTTGTCTGTCCACACAAAGGTTAAAGGAAAGAGTAGGTAGCGGACGGCGTGCAAACTTAGCATTATTTTGCTATTGTACACTGCCAATCCAAGTGCACTGTGGCAAAAAGCTACGGAAAATTCTGTAAACAGCTTGTGGTAATTGTCCGTAGGCCCCTTATCAATATTCTCCGTAGGACCGCACAGTATTCTCCGTAGGACCGCACAGTGATCTCCGTAGGACTATACAGTCTTCGAGGTACTACGGAGAAGACTGTGCGGATTTACAGAGAATACTGTGCGGCCCTACGGAGAATACTGTAAGAGCCTACGGAGAATATTGATAAGAGGGCTACGGAGAATCCTGGCAAAAAAATTAACAGGATTTTCCGTACCTTTTTGCCGCAGTGTGTGAGACAGTCTCACACTACTTAGTGCGAACCACGATGTCTCACGCTTACAAGTGTGAGCCACGTTTGTCCCACGCTTGCAAGTGTGAGATATCATTTGTCTCACACTTACAAGTGTGAGACATGGTTTGTCCCACTCTTACTGCCTATGAACCATAATGCCACAGGATCCAGGCTCGTAAGAGTGAGACAAACCGTGTCTCACGCTCGCAAGTGTGAGACAAACCATGTCTCACGCTTGCAAGTGTGAGACATACCGTATCTCACACTTGCAAGCGTGGGACTCACGTGGCCCTCACTTGTAAGCGTGATACATCGTGGTTCGCACTAAAAAGTGTGAGACTGTCTCACACTTGGATTGGCAGTGTAACTTCGGAAACGGTTAGAGATAATTGGCTGAGCGATAGCGAAGCCCGTTACTCCAGTGGGGTTGAAAAGTTTTGTCTGTCTGTCTGCGTGTGTGTGTGTGTGTGCACTACTCCTCCTGAACGGCTCGGCCGATCTGACCGAGATTTTGCAGGGTCATTAGGTATGTCCTTGGCTCTCCACACACCAAAATTCAGCTTTCTATCTTAATCCATTCGGTCGTATTGGCCAAAAAACACTTAAAAAACGGCAGAAAAAAGACAACTTTTTAGGTATTTTCAACTTTTTGTCATGTTTCATATCGTTACATATGGTTTGGAGGCTGCTGATGACGAAAATAGAACCCGTTCGGACCCCCGACCGAAAGTTGAATCCCATTGGTGTAGATTTTGATGACCAAATGCTATTTTTTGAGGGGATCACGCCCATTTCTACGGTCTGCCTAGGAAAGCAGCCTGCCGAAGGCAGGTTAGCGCCGCAGGCCAAAGTAGGTGTATACGCCAGGCGTGGATGGTCGAAACTGGCGCAGCATCGCGAAGCCTGTCACGACAAGGCACGGTCTGGCGTACACCTACCTTGTAGTCCTGAGCATTATTCCCTAGCTCTGAGCTATATGCGCCCAAAATGCCAACAATATTAAGTTTGTGCGCCCTGCTTTGGTTGTCATCGGCGACGGAACATCCTCTCGATGTGTTGATAGGCTTGTACGGTGATCATGTATTTAAAACAGCTTCAAGCCAACGAAAAAGGCCAAATTTAAGAGGAAAGAGACGCGCAGCAAGAAAGTCACTTTACTTTACAATAGTCAAGTTGGACATCACAGGCCCACAACACCGTCATTAGTTATCAGTGATAAATTTACTACACAATGCAAGGTGCAAACATGCCCCAAAGCGGAGAATTCCACACTGAAGCATGCACAATATTTACGTCAATTATTTGAATCACAACTCAATAAAAGTAGGTCCGAAGATTGCAAACAAATGCTGTAGACAGCCATCTGACGAGACCACGCTGCGTGGCAGCGAGAAACGAAGCAGGTGCCCCGCACTAGCCTTGTTTCGGCTCGCACAAGTCTCCAATGTACATTTTCACGCATCCTTTCTTCTGTTCAGCGAAATTTTGGCAATCCTGTAATCAGAAATCAGATACCGCGTCAAAAAAAGGGCAGATGAATCTGTAAACTATTTTATAATAAACCAAGCTAAGATTTGTAAAGTACACTGCCTCAACTTTGCGAACGATTTCGACTGCACTCTAAATGTCTTAGGAAGAAATTTACCATCACACGATGGAAATGATGCAAGCACAATACGAAGGTGGTTCTTATTCGAATTCGGAAGGTTTGTCATTGTATCTTAAAATGAAAATGCTAAAAGGATTGATACCGTAAGCCGGGGTAATATGAGACAATTTCGGGGTAATAATATATTATGAGACTGAGTTTGGTTTGCGTAAGATTCGCTCTGAGCTCGCTATCCGGCCACAAAGAGAGCCACTGCTCTAAAAAATTAATTACTCTTTGTTGGAACCATTTTTCGCCGTGAAGTTTGACAGGGATAGGTCATCAAATGCCACGAGCATCATAATTCTAACGATAAAAATCATGCGTCTCATATTACCCCGAAATTGTCTCATATTACCCCTGTCTACGGTATTGCAACGAAATATTGCTTCATATTATGCTTGCGCTGAATTCAATCTAACATCGGTAAAGACATTTAAAGTGTGCTCTCTGAGAAAGAAAATATTCCCAAGAAACACGATTATAATGATTCGCACATGCGACCCTTGCGCAAAATTCAAGCAGCACAACCTAATCAAAATAGTTATTATTTGCTGGGACCTTTTCCGAATCAAAAGTAGGATTGGAAATCAATTTTATGCTTTAATTATCGGAAAGTGCAGGTAAAAGGTCGTTAAGCAGTGAGACAAGTTCCGTATTGCAGAACAAACAGGTGGGAGGTGGCTTTAGTTTTAAAATGGAACTTCATGGTTAGAAGCTAAGGACATTTGTTCTGATAATGTTGTTCTGAATGTTTTCGAGGTCATGACATTTGAGAACGAACTGTGCGCAAGATTGTCCGCGCACACGACGAGACACTACATGGCTTTGGTACAATTTTGAAATGTGGTCTCACAAAATTTAATGTGGTAGTGTTCTTCGCACAGATTTGCACAAAATTGTGTCCAGTCACGGACAACTGTCGGGGAACACAGGGTAGGAAGAGTACGTACACTTCCATCCTCGACATCTTTATACATTAGGGTGGCTCAGACTCACATTTTCATATTGTGTTCAAATAACTGGTCGAGAGCGAGCTTTAAGTCAAGACATTGGCTCGAAGTTTATACTTTACTAGAACATTACATAATTTGAAACGAATTTTATAGGAGACGTTAAGTTAGTAGAGCACAAGACAAACGATTCGGCGCACAAGTAGAGCAATGGGTGCTGCAGTTTTTCGTACTAAAACCGTACGAAAAGTTCGACTGCCTGAAAATTTGCAACGTCTCGACCAAAATTGTTCGCAACATTTTGTCTCTACCTTGAACTTATCTTCCCCAGCTAACCCCTTGACGAGCCGTAAGGGAGGGAGCCCCCTAACTTGCCATACGTTGCCCCTGTAAGGGGACAAAAAGTGCCACTAGCCCCCCGACCCTATGGACGCCTATGGATGGATCACTGTGTCACAAAATGTCAGGCACCTCTGGTAAAACTAAAGCGCAGTATTACCCCCTGTTTTCAAGCGTAATCAGGTTACGCTTGAGATCAAGCGTAACCGGCTCACCCACCAAGATTCCCCCTATCTAAATGCATGGGGGAATTTCCACAGTATGCTTCATTTCAAGCGTAACGTCTTCAAGCGTAACTTTATGCTTGACTCCGGCATAGAGTTACGCTTTAGTTTCATTGGTGCAGACGTACCTGGCAGGTGTGGCTGCACGGGTGCGGGTAGATGGCGATGTACTCCGGGCGCCCCATCTCGATGCGGGCCGGTTCCTGGCGATGCTCCATCCCGCCATGCCTGAGGACGTAGATGGAGGTGGGGCCGCGGCGCTGCGGGACCTCAAGGCACTTGCCTTGCAGCAAGACGTGCAGCTTGGGCGCGGCGTCCATGACGCGCCGCAGCTGCTGCAGCCACTTGGCGTCGCACAGCTGCCACGACGCCTTGACGTTGCCCAGCACCAGGTGGCTCAGCTGGGCCGGCACCCTCACCAGCGGATCCACGGTGCCCCTGCAGCAACAGGCAGTTCACTGATACACTCTCAGACAGACTGTTGACTTTGAGTGCATAGTATTGACATTTTGTCGGTAGCACCTCAGGTTTTTTGTGCAACAGTAATATGTACTTCTGACTTTTGTTCGTATTATCTTACATCTCTTAGCTTATCAGTGTCACTTTTTTGCTGCAAATTAAGATAAGTGAAAAATCCACCTCTTGACATAAGCGTTTAAGCGTTTGAATTTGATGGTCTAGAGATATCTTCACAAGGGAGCACACTTAACTATTTTAACAAGTACTTATCACAGACAGTATTTTAGCTAATTGTTTGTAGCACACAGAACAATAATAATCAATGGACTTTGGACCTTGTAGGTATGAAAAGTACTTCTTAAAATATTGTAAAGAAGTTTTAAAGTTGTTTTTTTAACATAATTTTATAATGGATATAAGATTTAATACATCTATCAAACAAACACCTGTAAGCTTGTGAGTAAGGGCTAATTCCTACATAATTTTATGCAGTAAATTGTTCGTTTTTAAGAAGAAAATACTAAGTATTATTGTTGTAAGCTATAGAACCTAGTTACTGACGATACAGTCAATAAGAGGTCTGAGAGAGTGAATGAGTCATAGTCACGACTAAAATTTTGCATGAGGTATTTTTTATCGCCAAAATTATTGGGTGACTTCAATTTCATCGCCTAATATAACACCTACGGAGGGAGATATAGTATGAATGCTTTGCTCACCTACATTCGTCGCACGTAGGATACCACTTTTCTCACTTGACCTAAATTTGATGCGAGACCTTTGGGTGACACTAGAATTTGGGTGATAAATCCGATTCTCTCCGGCGATGCTGCAGGTGAATGTCTAATTCGAGGAATCTCGGCAAAATTGCAGCTAGGAGAGGCCAGAGTACTTTTGGATCAAAAGGACAGAGAAACCAATGGTGCCATTTCGAGCAAATCAGTTTTGACCGGGTTGCAAATGCAGCGTAGTTCCTTGGAACTCTTTTATTTATCAGAAGTTTTTGCACTGTTTCTGCACGCTATTGAGGATGTGCCTGATGACCGAAAACGACATCTTATTTTAACCCCGACTCAGATTTAATCCCGTGCAGGGTCAAACATAGGAGAAATTCGTACGTTTTTAAGTACTGGAATTGGACCTAAGGGCGCGAAAGCCAAAGTTGGCCGATGTATATCGCTAAAATTTTCCATGATTATTATCGCCAAAATTATTGGGTGACTTCAATTTCATCGCCTAATATAACACCCCTAAAAAAGGAAGGTTTGCTCACCTACATTTCGGTGACAAGTAGCTGATACGCTTTTTCTCACTGACTAAATTTGAGCGAGGGAACCTTTCTACACTGAATTTGGGTGATAAAACGGTTCATTTCTCGATTTAGGTGATTAATTAAACCTCACCTAAAATTTGGTAATGACCAAGACTTGGTATCAGTAAGAGGCCATCCAAAGAAACAGGAACCGTTTGAACATGGAGCCTAGTGCTCTTGGAGTCTGTCTTATTTGATAAATAAAGCCGCACGACCACATTTAGGATGTGCTCCTGAACCGCACCGCTCTCATCGACAGTGGTGAGGCGTTCAATGGAGTTGAGAGGACGCTCGGACACACTGTTGAAATCGTGGATGACATTTTCATCACTTTCATATGATGACAATCTCATCACAAACTGATGACATTTTCGTCAAAGCCCCTATACTTATTGCATGGGCGTGACAACAATGTCATCAATTGTTTTGATGACATCCTTGTAAGGAAAATTAGCCTTGAAATTGTCATCAAGTGACGACTTAAATTTTCACAGTGCACTCACCCATCCACCGTGCGGGGCAGCAGGGCGTGCAGGGGGAACATGCTCGGCTCCTCCTCCACTGTCAGCCTCCTCACCGACCGCAGCCCCGACCAGAGGGTCTTGAGCGCCTCGGGCCCGCGGTCCGGGTCGGACAGGGCTCTGCACACGCCACGGAGCGCGACGCTCTCCAAGCGCTCGAAGTCGGACAGCAGCGACAGGAGTGCCTCGCTGTGCGGAGTGCTGACATCTTCGGAGGACAAAGGGGACCCATTCAGAACGAGACATAACACACAGTGAGAGTAACAGGAAAAGTAATGATAACCATCGGCAACTTTGGCCCGTCCCGTATATTAGGAGATGTGCGAATTTTGCCTATGTTTAACCCTAACGGGATTTGACCCTGAGTTTGGGGTCAAAATAGATGTTATTTTCGTCATCAGCACCCTCAAAAACATCAGAAGTAATGCAAAAACTCGAATAAAAAGAATATTCAAAATATACCCCACTGGGATTTGAACCCGGGTCCAAACTTCTCCGATTCGCTTGAAACTGGCACCGTTAGTATTGTCTTGTCGCCCTGATTCCAAAAATACCCCTACATGCCCTGCTAGCTGTATCCGTTGCCGAAATCCTCCTCGACCCCATGAGGACCATGATGCACCTGCAGCAGCGCCCCCGGGGCTCGGGTCGGATTTGCTGCCACCGGGCGGTTCTTAGGATCACCCAGGAAGGCTGCATACCAAATTTGGTCAAGATCGGACCACGGGAAGTCCTCGGACGGACGGACGGACGCACAGCAAGCATCACACTATATCCCCGTCCCTCCGTCATTTTTTTTTACAAAAAATACACGGGACGGGCCAAAAACGTAAGGAAAAGGTACGGAACATGTCTGGTCAATAATGTGCCTGGACCGTCCGTACTTGCGGTTTCCTCCGTACCTCTGGGCTAAATTTTTCTGTACCATTTCCGTAAAAAGGTACGAAATTTTTTTTACAGTGCAGTTACACTCTTATTTCAGGAACGTGACATCACGTTGAAAACGTGACGAAATGTCAAGTTCGTTTGACCATTGAGTCACGTTCGTTTAAACGAAGATAAGCTAATTTCGAGCTGATTCGCGTCCAAACGAACGTGACTCACATGGTCAAAGAAACGTGACATTTCGTCACGTTCGTTTAAACGTGATGTCACGTTCCTGCAAAGAGGTGTCCATGGCAGACGTGACCTAGTCGTTAAATGAGCGCGTTGGCCAATGGGAGTAAGTGTGCAGAGATCCTACGTATTAGTGCGCTCCAAAAATGGGAGAATCTAGCCCGTATGATGCTGCACAAACATACCTTTGCACAGATCGAAGATGTCACATTTAATGACTCTCTGGAGCTGCCTGCAAGAGCTCTAGTAGCCTGCATGCCTGCCAACACGGTAACACTAAGCGCAACCTCATGGTTACAAGCTAACAGTTGAGCGCAAATTGAAGACGTTACGCTTGAAATGAAGCATACTCTGGAAATTCCACCACGCATTTAGATAGGGGGAATATGGGCGGTTGGGCCTGTTACGCTTGATTTCAAGCGTAACCTGATTACGCTTGAAAACAGAGGGTAATACTACGCTTTAGTTTTACCAGTGCAAGCATGCACTAACTAGTGCATACATGCCATGTACACGCTTCCTGATGCAGAAAACTCCCTATCCCTTATGCAGTAAATGTACGCTTCAGTTATCGTGTACATGGCATGTATGCACTAGTTAGTGCATGCTTGGCAGGCATGCGCTAGTTAGAGCGTGCTTGCAGGCATGCTCCAGTTAGAGCGTACCATGTACACTCTTTGATTTGTAGAGAACCTTGCAAACTAGATATTTGAGCTTTGTGAAGTAAAGTCGGTTGCTTGATACAACAGAGTATTTTCAGCTTATACAATCTTTGAAGGAAATACTTCATGATTTCGTCTTGCAAACTCTACGTTTATGTACATTTGATGTTCATAGCTAGCTCCATATATGTTCCTGTGACCAAGGTACAGTTTAAAATTACACTACAAATCCAAAGGCGATACAATTGAGCATCGCCAGTATCGCCAAAATCTGTCAATAAACAAAGAAGGGGACTCGTCCCCTTGATTTGTTGACTTTATTGCTCAATCTTGGCAATACTTAAAAGTATCCGCCAAATTTTGGTGATACTTTTGTGCATCGCCGTTTTGAAGGCAATATTTTTCGGTAAGACTCTTTGTTGGCGATATTCAATTGTATCGCCAAAAAATATACTACACATTTGTGCTCGGCTATTTCCAACATTTGTACCTAATTTTTCATTTATTACAAATCTGTGCACTACTTGCACCTCCACAAATACAGCAATTGTGCATTGGCATTTAGTATGCTTACCTAACGCAAGGGAGATGTCCAGTAGTTCCAGCGTGCGGCGAATTTTGCGCATGGAGAGTATCTTGCTCAGAACCTCGTAACTTTGCTGTCGGGGTGCACTTCGTTTGGAAATCAGGAACAGAGAGGAAAGGTACTTCAAAGGCTTCACCACGTTCACCAGGCTGGGCAACACGACGGCAGTGAGCACACGCAAAGAGCGGGGCCGTACATCCAACAAAGGCTGCTGACTCTGGAACAAAATTTGGATGCATGGAACTGTAAAAAGGCAAAAAAAGACTACGTCCGTAAGGGCACAGGCAAACACTTTAACACACAAGGGCGTACCAGGCGAGGGGTGAATCACTAGTGTACTCATGTGTACACAATTGCCCGTGCTCAGTGTACTCACAAGTTTAAAAAGGGTGAAATTCTCTAGCTTTTCAACCGAATTAACGTTGAGCGCCGTTAAAAACGCTAAATGAAGCCTTAAAACGTTTTAAATTGTGAAAGTTATGAGTAAACCAAGGTGTACTCATCCGTACTCCTGTACTCATGTGAAAACCAGAACGCTGAGTGATTCACCCCTCGGTACCAGGGAGATAATGCCGAAGGCCCGGCGTTTACAAGAAAGTTCTGAACTAATTTACGCCCTATTTTCCAGACTTCCTTTTACCACACAGAATGAAATCGTTCCGTTTCTGAGGATAGATGCACTTAATGTCTGGGAACGTCGTTGTGCACACCACAGATATTCGAACAGTTTGAACGTGGTCTCAATCATTTAATTACCACAGCCAATTCTAAGAACTATCCTGTACGAGACGTCATGCAAGTGAACAGCACAAACGTCTCCAAATTTGAGTTGTGTTAAAACACTGGAGGGACAAAATTGGGCATAAACAAATCCTATTCAAAAGATCTTATCCGGGCACTCCCATTCAAAGAATCTTATCTGCAACGCAAGCGAGTTTCACTAAGTTTGACCATTTGGGACGGATAAGGGGGCAAGCGGAACATATTTCTACACTCTACAAATCAAAGAGTGTACATGGTACGCTCTAACTGGAGCATGCCTGCAAGCACGCTCTAACTAGCGCATGCCTGCCAAGCATGCACTAACTAGTGCATACATGCCATGTACACGATAACTGAAGCGTACATTTACTGCATAAGGGATAGGGAGTTTTCTGCATCAGGAAGCGTGTACATGGCATGTATGCACTAGTTAGTGCAAGCTTGGCAGGCATGCGCTAGCTAGAGCGTGCTTGCAGGCATGCTCCAGTTAGAGCATACTATGTACACTCTTTGATTTGTAGAGCACGCACTATTGGTTTCTTTCATCTTCAAGTTTCGGTGACTTAAATCACAAATTGTTTTGATTTGTCGCTGTCTCAAATGATCAAACTTCGTGAAATTTGCTGGCGTAGCAGGAAAGAACAAGAGCGCCTAGATAAGATCTGTCGAATAGGACCCCTCGGATTGCACCCAGTATTGCAATGCAAAAAATTCCTTGGTTTGGTCCGGAAAATGGGGTAGTGAAAAGGTACGGACCTTCCGTACTGGTTCTCTGTGGTCTCCATAAGGATCTCATGTGTGAACTGGTACGGAAAACATGTACACGACTTCCATGGTTGGCAAGGTACGGGTAAAAAATTGACCAGACACGTTCCGTACTTTTTCCTACCAGTGTGGATAAGTCACCTCTGGTTCGACATCAAGTCGCAGCAGCTGATGACGGTGGACCTGAAGCAGGGAGCGGACCGGCAGGGCCACTGCCTCCTCGAGATGGCCGTCGTCACTGTCGCTGTCAGAGTCGTCCGAATCGTCGCTGACATCCCCGAAGGACATGGAGAAGGCGCAGAGGGAGCCCCTCCTGAGCCACTTGTAGTTTGTCCTGAGCAAAGCACTGCAACTGCAACACGAAGGGAGCGAGTCAGCGAGTTAACACGCTGAAAGACTTGCGAAGACATTTCACTTAGAATGAAAGAGTCATGATCATGACTAAAATTTTGGGTGAGGAAAGTTTCCTCACCCAAATTTGGGTCATAATACTATGGAGCTATATAGGGAGCTGGTACACCCTTCCTCGCCCAAATTTGGGTGAAAAAGTAAACCTAGGAGCGAGCTCGCTCAAAATTGGGTATTGATCATGACTTTTTCATTCTCAGTGTTGCCACCATACGACGGATACGGCGCTAGCGGGGTGGGAACGGAGGTTTTCTTCGCGTCAGGAAGGATTTTCATTGAATCTTGCGATGGAAATCCTAAAAGGATTCGTATCACCGCGGTGCGCCCATTTCACCCTAAAAGGTCAATTGCTGAATTGTGAGATGTGTAAAGTAAACAATAAAGAAACGCACACAAATGCGGATTGAAATGAACTGAAAGGAAAGGTACATGGTATGCATTGACCAACCATTTCAATTCCTGTCCCGTGAAAGCATTGCACAGGAAAGGTCGCAGGACAGCTTTGCAGACTTTTGACTGAGAAATACTCTGCAAACTGAAGTGTGTACATAGTACACTCTTATTAGAGCATACTTCCAAGTACACTCTTATTTACAGCATACATGCTAGGCACACGCTAAAATAGAGTGTGCCTGGCATGTACACGCTAAATAAGTGTGTACCTTGCAAGTACACGCTAAAATGCAGTCGATTAGTCCTATCTAAAAGCATGGGCTAGTTTAAGTGTACTCTCCAGGTACACTCTTATTTAGCGTGTACATGCAATGTACACTCTATTTTAGCGTGTGCCTAGCAAGTATGCTGTAACTAAGAGTGTACTTGGAAGTATGCTCCAATAAGAGTGTACTATGTACACACTTCAATTTGCAGAGTAGGTTCGATTAAGTTATATTCCCGAGTAAGGCACGTAGCTGAGAGAGCATTACTCGGCTTACCTGCGCATGATAATGTTTAAGGCGACAAGGTGCGGTTTGCTGGCAATGGTTTCCCAGACAACCAGGGCCTCGAAGTCCGTGAGCAGGTTTCCCACACACAGGTCTAAGGAGAAGACGTTGTCTTTGATTAGGTGTCGCAGACAGAGCAGCACCATCAGCGACGACGGCGTGAAAATCACCAACTTATCGCCGTTCTCCTGAAAACCGAGAAATGTCGACATATGACCAGTGTGTGTGACTCAACAAGCGTCGACCAAGGGGTATGCTCTCTCGACCTGTGAGCACACTTTTAACTCTATTTCGCCTTGAACCGAGGGGCAAACAGCTTCGAAAAACTTAGTACACAGTTATTTAAAATTTTAAAATCGTTTCAAACCATTTCAACGTAATTTTAACGCCATTTAGCGACATTTCGACATTATCTCAAGGGAAACGTTCACCAAAATTCAAGTTGTTTACCCCTAGCCTCTACCTAATGGGGATTAGGATAAAGCAAACCAAAACCACCCAAAAATATGTGAAAATAGGAAAAATTTCACCAAAAACGCTTTAATGACGCATGCATGCTCATAAAATGCCTACGAACTTGGTAACCCGTATTGCCTTATTTCATTCTCATTTCAGGCACGTGACATCACAACGAATCACGGTTAAAACGGTACCTGGTTTTCCCGGGAAGCCTATGGTAGAGACATAGGCGATTTCCAGGGAGTTCCTGGGAAAACCAGGAGCCGTTTTTTACCGTGATGTGACAAAACGTCACGTTCATTTCAGGACCGTCTCTTTATCGTTTGACTTGTTCACATTTCAACAAATATGACACAATGCCTAAAGGAACGTGAGATTTTGACATATTCGTTTCAACGTGATGTCACCTTCCTGGAATGAGTGTGTTTTGCGTAAGTTGTGAACACATTAAAAAACATAAACTAGGTACAATGTCGACTACAATATGGAATAATTGTCCGTATGCAATAGCTTCTGCATGCACAATTATGCACTCTCGGCGTTTTACTGACTATTTCTCATTAGCAGACGCATTCCTGTAACCAACCATAATACTTAGTATTTTTTGACAGTATTACTTAGCAATTGCTAATTACTGTACTGATACTAAGGGAGTATGAGGCGATTTGTAACAGGGGCGATTCGTAACAAATGCGTTTATTAATTTAAGTGGAGGGAGCAGAGGAAAATCTGAGTATGGCCCCTCTTTCGCTTCAAGTACAGGGTCCTTGAACAATCGAAGCGGATGTGATCGGTGCTCAGGTATAGTTTTGGAGGGCGTCTGAAATATAGGGTACACCGAAATTTCGGCAAACAGGCAAATCTTTTATTTTGAGTTTTAGGAAGTTTCTGTCTGAGGCTCCCCAGGTATGAATCACCATCGAAGTACCGTTGGGGCCTTGAAGCGTGACCCTTTTACAATATAAACACGTGGCATAAGTTGCTTTTACTTTGTCCAGTGATAGTTAGGGACGGATTTCTTGCGGAACACGCATTTGGGGTGATTCGTAACAGACCCGTATAAAATCAAGAATTTAAGTAGTTTATGCTGTTAAATGCTTGAATTATTTCTCGAATCATCTGCTGTTTTATTCCAATACATTTACACAGCTCGAAATGCATTTTAAAGCGAGTTTTTCTATGCTTTCCTCTAAAATTGAAAAAAGTGAGGTTAGGATTGACATAGCCAATCAGTTAATGCTGAGGCGGTCAACGGCAGCTTGTAATGTAGATTTTTAGACCTCTGCAGGACACCCGAAGAACAACTGGTGGAGAAGATAACATTCCCGACGATGTTTCATTTAATGTGTAGGATGTTATGAAAAGCCCCATGACTGTTACAATTCACCTCATGTTGGGGCGATTCGAAACAGCATGCAAGGGTTTGGAAAACGTCTTAGATTTCAAAGATTACGGACTCCAGAATGATCCAATGGAGCTGCACAGTCTAGATGGAGGGCCAGACTGCTCAACTGGCACATGTTTGACACCGATATGCAGAATGTTCTTAATTTTGTATAGAGAATTCCGAAATCTGTTACAAATAGCCCCATACTCCCTTACCGTTTTCTTAATAAATTACAAATAAATTTTTAAGTATTTAAGAACTAAATACTAAGTATTATGGTTGCTTACAGAAATACGTCTGCTAATGAGAAATAGTCAGTAAACGGCTGAGAGTGTGACAAAAGTTATGGACAATAAAAGCAGGTTAACATTTAGTGTGCTTATGCACCCCTGCAAGATATATTGAGGGGTCCTTTATAGAAGATCTTATCTAAGCATTCCCCTTGAGGAATCTTATCAAAAACGCAAAAAATTTTGGCCAAGCTTGATGATTTGGAACGCATACGAGAGTAAGTGGCACATCTTCCTACATAAACTATTGCTATCTTCGATCTTTCATCTTCAAGTTTAAGTGAATTAAATCACAAGTTCTGTTAGACTATAGCTGTATCAAATGATAAAACTGAGTAAAATTCGCCTGCGTCTTCAGTGAGGTCCTTCATTTGGAAAAGGGGGCGGGGGGGCTCGATAAGATGTTCAGAATGGAACCCGCCGGTATGAACTCTGAACAATGCCAAAAGCAAGCAAAGACTCCTTGCTGTCCGTCCAACTTACCAAGAAGAGCGCGAGGGGACTGTTGCCCCGCGCGACCATGATCTTGCAGTAGGGAGGCACGCCGTGCTGGCGGCGGAGGAGGCGCACCACGCGCAGGGACTCCGCCTTGATGGGGTAGCCGTAGGGCACCCTGCGCGACGTCCACAGCCGCCTCGAACTGCAGATGTCCCGCCACCGCGTGCACACCTGGGACGAAACACCGAGTCAGTCAGTCGGACACACACACACTGATGATTTAAGTGTGCACTGAGTACACAATCAGAGCACTCAAGTATGTACTGAGTACACACATAGATTTTCAGTGCACACAACGTGAAAGAACAGCGCACACTCTCCGCACGTTACGGACTATTTGCTCATTTATCGTCAGTACTGATGCAAGTAATTTATGCCACCATAATACGTCTTTTCCTTTTTTAAAGAACTACTTGGGAGATATTTAATAATGTACTGACAATTTGAATTTGGTTAGGTTGGGAACTTATAAAATACTAATTTAATTATTGTTGCTCATGCGAATACGTAATTAATGAGGAAAGAGTCAGTAAGGTGCTGAGAGTGCATTAAGTTCCCGCTTGACAAGGCCCGCCCACTACCGTAGACCGAGGTAATATGAGACGCATGATTTTTATCGTTAGAATAATGATGCTCGTGGCATTTGATTACTTATCCCTGTCAAACTTCACGGCGAAAAATGGTACCAACAAAGAGTAATTAATTTGTTAGAGCAGTGGCTCTCTTTGTGGCCGAATAGCGAGCTCTGAGCGAATCTTACGCAAACCAAACTCCGTCTCGTATTACCCTGAAATTGTCTCATAATACCCCGGCTTACGGTACATGGTTTTGCACAAAATTTTGTAAGAGACGTCACCTTTAATTTAGTGCGGATTAACTTTCCGTACATTTATGTACGCAATTTTGTACAAAACTGCACTGCAAACCTAACTGTCTACTAAGTACACACTTACAAACGCATGCTTGGCAAGTACACACTTACAAATGCATGCTTGCAAGTACACACTTACAAACGCATGCTTGACGCCGTATAACTCCATGCGTCAAGCATACATTTGTAAGTGTGTACTTGGCCAAGGATGCGTTTGCAAGTGTGTACCTGCAGGCATGCATTTGTAAGTGTGTACTTAGTAGACAGTTAGGTTTGTAGTGTGAGGAAATATGAGCAGTTTTTCGTACGCAAATGATAGGTGAGATAAATAAATAAAGATAAACCATTATTACACCAAAACTGTGATAACCTGGGCCCAGACCGGCCAAAACAAAAGAGAATTACTGCATTTTTAATGCGATAATTTTTTTATTGCTGCCACTTATGCGATAATTTGAAGGAATCACTTTAGCCTTCTTATCGCAGCAACTTGTGTGAAACTTATCACATTAGAGATATCAGTGAATTTACTGACCAATGCAGAATGAAGTTCAATTCCTCCAGACTTCGTATTTGACGGGACATAACTCACCTGCGACGCCACTACAATGTGTTCCACATCCAGGAACGAAAACACAAGTTCAAGGGCGAGATCACTCAGGGCGTTGATCTGGGCCTGAAAATACCAGAGATGAAGAAGAGTCACAAAAGAAACTACTCAATAGATGAGAAAACGAGATGGATTGTCATTGACCTTTACCGTAACAGAAACAGCTTAGCGTGAATTTTCCGACAAATTTGATGATGCATAGTCACCAATCATCTCACAACACGACAATTGCTTTGAACATTGAAAATAACGACAATGTCGTATGAAATTATAGAATCTTTCATATTGAAAAGGGGATAAGCCCTTAAAATGCCCGATAGATGTCGTATTCTCACCTAAATTTAGAGACAAGTTGTTATCGTGCCGTTAACTACCCAAATTTCGAACAACGGTCTAAACTGCTGTTCGAGGATGGGACAGACGGTAACAGCCTCCAACTTTTGGCCCTGGCCTGAACTCCCCTCAATGACTCGAAACCTACATTCATCGGCCCCATTCCCCTTCCAAGAGCACTGTGGGAAAAAATCACAGGAAATCCTGTAGTGATTAGTACAGCTGTCACTGTAGTTCAGAGTACAGGATTTACTGTACTTTTTTACAGGATCTGCTGTACTTTGTACGGGATTCACTGTACCACAGGAGTGGAGTACGGAATATCCTGTACCAGGTACAGTAAACACTGTAGCCAGGCACAGTAAATCATGTGTTCTGAACTACAATAAATCCCGGCAAAAAAATTAACGGGATTTACTGTGGTTTTTTCGTACAGTGAGCTGACGTCCGGACTCACAATTTCTTCTTCTTGAGGTTTCTCTTCAACGATCCATCGTTCAAGCCTCGCTCGCCGCCGGGTCAACATGGTCCAAACGTGCCGCCAACACCGCAGGAAGCACAGGCTTCAGGGGCAGCCTTCTGAATTGAGGGTCTGGTGCTGAAACACACAGGGCTCGCTCTCAAAAAATTGCATACTATTTCAGGCACTCTGGAAACCAGACAAACTATTTAGAGCCGTACAGAGAAAAGTGACTTGCTATAGCAAAGTGTTTTGAGCATACATAAGCTTACAAAGAAAATAGTAATAAGGGTTATAGAGTATTTCGGAGGGAGTCTGCACTGAGAAAACCTTACAAACTATTTTGGGCCTTACAAAGAAAAGTAGTTTGTATAACAAAGTATTTTGAGCATACGTAAGCTTACAAAGAAAATACTTTGTAATTTACGAACTATTTCTTCGTACAACAAAGTATTTTTGTTTGTTATATGTATGCTCAAAATACTTCGTAAGGTTTTAAGAGTGCGGGCTGGAAGCGCAGACCTGAACCAAGAACACACGAGTAAACGCGCTTCTTTAGATGGATGCCCCACACTCTCAGCCGTTTACTGACTACTTCTCATTAGCAGACGTATTTCTGTAAGCAACCAAAATACTTAGTATTAAGTTCTCAAATACTTAAAAATTTCTTTGTAATTTACTAAGAAGACGGCAATATCAGTACAGTAATTGGCAATTGCTAAGTAATACTGACAAAAAATACTAAGTATTATGGTTGCTTACAGAAATGCGTAAGCTAATGGGAAAAAGTCAGTAAAAGGCTGAGCGTGCAGTATGTTACCGTATTTCTGAACTGAAATTATAAGAAAGTAAGACAATTATCCAAAGTTTGGGACGTTTTCCTTCGGAACAGGCTCGTCGGAAATGAGTTTCCGGCCAAGAAAGCGGCTCGTGCCTTCCGGTCCGGACCATCTCTGAATTAACCTCTTAACGAACAATTTCTTCGGAATACAAGCTCAAAAGTTTGGACCTAACATATACACAAAATACTTCGTAAAGTTTGAAGGGTGGGCCGATGCAAGTTTCATTGTTTCGACGAGGTATGATGAGCATACTTATGCTTGCATCTTAATTTACAAAGCCGTTTTTTCGTAAGAAACTTAAGTTAAATCCTTAAATCTTCTCAAAGTACATGGTAAGGTCATAAACGTGTAGCCTGCGAAAACAAAACCGGAACTTCACGAAGACTTCACAGTGGAACGGAACCCTAATAAGCACCCTCGTGAAGAGGGCATTCATCAAGACGCTCAAGTGGTCAACTCCAAATCAGGGGGTGGCAACGGCCTAGGGAGAGCGTGAAGCGACGCTCGCGCCGTCAGTGCAGAGGTTGCGCACTTGTTCGAGATTATGAAAACTAGACTGTGTTTTCCAAAACGCTTTGCACCGATGGAAAGGGCTTGAAATTTAGGGTGCATTAGGCTTATTGCTCTTCTCGAAACTCCCCCCTTACCTAATAATAAGGCCGTTGCGCCCCCTGTCCAAATCCAAGGCTCTATTGGTTCTTGGACGTGCTTGCAACTGAAAACAGAACGCCTCGACGTCTCACGCTTTCTGTCCCTAGGTTTCACACTGGCGGTATTCGGCCGTAAGTGTTTTTCCCCGCTGTCTAGACATCGGAATCTTCTGGCACTAGGGCGATACTTGAGTATCTTTTGTGGCGATTCAATTGAGTAGTATCGCCAGCAAACGGCCTTACCGAAAAATCACGCCTTTTAACTGCGGCGCACAAAAGTATCTACAAACTTCGGCAATACTTTGGAGTATCGCCAAAATCTGGCAATACAGAAAGTACTATTCCCCTTGATCAGTTCACAATAGGGTACTTCGGAGGAAACCTAGACCGGAAGTCAGCGACAGAACGGGAGAAACGAAGAAGCGTCGCGCGGCTGTGCTGAGCGGTGGTGGGGGCCGGAATCGGCAGAGTGGGGGTAGCATGCGCGCGCCGCCTTCACCCCCACTCCGCCGATTTCGACCCCCACCACCGCTCAGCACGGCCGCGCGATGCTCTTTTGTTTCTCCTGTTCTGTCGCTGACTTCCGGCCTACGCTTTCTCCGAAGTACCCTATTCACTAAAATATAGCCAAATTTTGGCGGTACTATTGAGTATTGCCGTTTAGAAGGTAAGATTTTTCGGTAAGGCCGTTTTAGGGCGATACTCAATGGTGTCGCAAAAAAAGATACTTTACATAGAGTACTCCAAAGAAGCTCTGGCCCGGAAGAACAAGAACAAAAACGGAAGTAAGAAATTGCAGTTTCTATGAGAAATATGCGCTGCGGACCCTCAAGCGCAGCGTAGGTATGTTTCACATAGATACTGCAATTTCTTACTTCCGTTTTTGTTCTTCTTCTTCCGGGCCAGAGCTTCTTTGGAGTACTCTATTTCCCCTCTGGATTTAGAGTGCCTACATGAATTCGATCAAACGGGGAAGATTAGCACATTATGTGTACACTGCCAATCCAAGTGTGAGACAGTCTCACACTATTAAGTGTGAACCGATGTCTCACACTTACAAGTGTGAGCCACGTGTGTCCCACGCTTGCAAGTGTGGGACACGGTTTGTCTCACACTTGCAAGCGTGAGACTCGTTTTGTCTCACACTTACGAGCGTGGGTCTTGTGGCACTAAACCACAGGGAACCATAGGCAGTAAGTGTGGGACAGACCGTGTCTCACACTTGTAAGTGTGAGACAAATGATGTCTCACACTTGCAAGCGTGGGACAAACGTGGCTCACAATTGTAAGCGTGAGACATCGTGGTTCACACTAAATAGTGTGAGACTGTCTCACACTTGGATTGGCAGTGTAGCGTCGAAAGTCTAATTCGAAACTTCCATGCTTCGTAACGCTCAGTTCTGGTTCCCAAGAGCACGGTAACGGAAAACGACGCTTTAGAGCGTTACGATGATCAGAGGACAGTGCCGCTCATATCATTCATTCAGTGAAGTCGAAGTGGCGCTTCCACACCGGAAGTAAAATGTCGGGAATGAGAAAAAGCATCTGTTGAAGGATATGAGTGATCAATGCTGTGACGGTCGCAGGACATGTACCACAGCTCTACAACTCTGCCGACTGTAGCCAGAACCACAGCTCTGAGACCGGTGCTCGATAGGGTACTTTCGTAGATCCTGCACCGGAAGCAAGCAGACCAGCAGACGCCAAATAGGGTACTTTCGTAGATCCCTGAGCCGGAAGCACACAGACGCCATGTTGGCGGAAGTAGATCCAAATTTGACATGGGAAAGAGACGTTCGTCAAAGGTACGGCCACACTTGAACATAAACAGTCGTTTGATACTGTTTGCAGTGCATATGTGTTTCGCGAGCAATATTTGTACAGCTCGGCTATAGTTTGGATCCGAAGAGAGTTAGTTTCCGGCCAATTTGGCGTCTGCTGGTCTACTTGCTTCCGGTTCAGGATTCTACGAAAGTACCCTATTGGCCGGACACTAACCTCTCTTCGGATCCAAAACTATAGCCGAGGTGTACTAATATTGCTCGCGAAACACACATGCACTGCAAACAAGTATCAAACGACTGTTTATGTACAAGTGTGGCCGATACGTTTGACGAACGTCTCTTTCCCATGTCAAGTTTGGATCTACTTCCGCCAACATGGCGTCTGTGTGCTTCCGGCTCAGGGATCTACTAAAGTACCCTATTCAAATGATAGTTCAGCTGAATGTTTGACGAGTGGAATTACTAATGAAGTAAGAATGAGTTCAAATAAAATTAAAAGAATTGTAACCACCTTGGCCTCCGAAATAAATTTCACTGGTTTATGGAGATTTAATTTAAAAGTTAAGTAATTGTCGTAAATTTTGAAGAAACTTGTGTTAAGTTCGAAAAAGTCAATGAATTTTGGGACGCAAATATTTTTGAGGCTATTGCCCCCTATTATCTGCTACTGTATACAGGTGTTAAGTAAAAGAGTAAGGTGAGGATATGGGACCCTTTGTGTAGCGCCGCAGACCAAGGTGGGTGTAAACGCCTGGCGTGGATTGACGGAACTGGCGCAGCATCGCGAAGCCTGTTACAAGTCCCTGTCTGGCGTACACCTACCTTGTCTACCCACTTCAGGATCAACACGCCATGAAGGACAGACTCGCCACAGCTGAAACATGGGTGGAGGGCATTTTGGACAGCTCTGGGAAGCCTCAAACACCTAAACACAGCGTATGGCAAGGTTTTGTCAAATCTTCTGGATGGAGCAGAGGACCCCAAGTGTATTTGAAGACTCGCCAGTGTGCTGGATCAGAAAGACTTCGAGTGCAGGAAGGTGTTACAGACATGTCTGCTATTGTTGTCAGGCGTCATGAGGCCAATAGGTATATCAAGAAACCGGAGAATCCTAACTCCCCTCTTTTATTTCCACCTCATGTTTACCGAAAGGCCGAACAAGAAGCGCGAGATAAAGTCTTGAATCTGCCTAAATCCAACGATGCTTTGCTGAGTCTGCAGAAACTGAAATGTGATCCCAGATATCTCGGCAGCATTCACTACATCGATCTAGACCTAATTAAGGTTACTTTATTACCCAGGCCAAAGTCTACTGCAGAAGCAAGGCTGTTGCTCTAATTCTCTTGATGCCACAAGCAGCCTCATCCGTCGAATGAAAAAGGGAAATGGCTTGTCGGGGTTAAGTTAAATCAGCTTTTGTCTGAACAACAGGATGCGAGCAGCATCGTACACTGGACCAATGAGTGGACCTGTAGGGTTGCACTTTCTCCCACAGAGGTTGCTGTGGATGATTCAGCTTGTTTGCTTAGCGCTCCGGTGCGGTCCTTTGCTCGCTGTTCGGATACCAAATCCTACAAGCAAATTTGCTTTGACAGACTAGCGAAAAATGAAGGGTCCTAGCCGGCTTGCTACTTGCGGCTCGATTAAGCCCATTTCATTAGCAACATCAGCAGGTGAAATGTGTTCGAAGTTACGAAGGAATTTTCAAGGGGAGTTGGGTAACCAAAGAACAAAGAGCATTGTACAAGTCATATTTATTTATAATTTACATCTGGATATGGCCGAACCTACTGAAAAATTTGAGTAGTGATTGTGTTAATGTGTTGGAATGTGCAAGATTAATGAATACATTTGCCACACGTGTTGCCTGTCAACCGGCGTAGTCACGTGCATGAGGTATGTGATCAAACCTTGTGTTATGATCAGTGCAACCAGACTAGGCACCTTTACGCCATTTCGGGGGGTGAAATATTGGCACTTATCAGTGCAATGCGCCCTGAAGGAGGCCATGAGTGAGATCTTAACAACTTCATTTCAGATTGTTTCGCTACGAAAGGTTGGCAGTCTGAATGTGGGCAGTTCAAGGGGAAATCACTGAATTTCGGTGTAATTTCGGTAATCCAATGAGTTTTGGTCCTATTTCGATGAATTTACATGAATTTTACATGTTTGATGAATTTCGGTGTACAGATTGCTAAAGTTGTTTCCCCTTGGGGCAGTTGTTCGCCCTGACGCTAGGTCTCCGCGCGCTGCGCGGCCTGGCGCCGCAAGTTGTTGGGGATGGTGCACGCGAAGACGGCGCCGACGGCCAGCACGCCCCCCATGCCGGCACACGCCCAGGTCCAGCCGCGGGGCTCGTCCAGCAGGCGGCCGCACGCCACCGTGAACACGACGCCGAGGAGCTGCGCCGCGGCGCTCAGGATGCCGGACGACGTCCCTTCCGACGCGGGGTAGGTGAGCTCGGCCGCGAACTCGAAGCCCACCGGGACGTAGCCCGCCAGGGCGAACCTGCACACAAGCAGCGTTCACGTTCAAGTGCGTGTTACGCAGGGCGTTCACATTGAGCCATGAACTCTACAAAATCTACTGTGTACTTAGTATCCATCTATAGGAGTGTACTTGCCAAGTACACATCTACAGGTGTATACTTGCCAAGTAGACATCTATGGGAGTATACTTGGGCAAGTATACACCCATAGGAGTGTACTTAAACCGCCCATCCGCTTTCACAAGTATACTCCTATAGATGTGTACTTGCCAAGTACACTCCTATAGATGTACAGTAAGTACACAAGGGATTTATTAGTGAAGCGGAAAAAGGAATAACTAATCTCCAAACTGAGGTTTTTCATCATTTTTGTTCTTTCGAATTGTTAGCATGACCGCACCAAATTATTTGACTCTACAAGGTACTTCGGAGAAGAACTGGAGCGGAAGTTGAGAAGAGAACAAGAAGAACAAAATACGCGAAATTTGTGGGAATGAGCGTCTGCGTCGTCGTTCTGCCGCTTCGGCAGTTATAGTCTCATACAAGTCCGGCATTTGCTCTTCTTGATTTCTTCTCAACTTTTGGTCCAGCCCTTCTCCGAAGTACCCTATCGATCCATGAACTGCAAGAATAGAATAACTGACTTTTCTCTAAATTGATTATTTTCTTTACTTTTTTTTTTTTCGAATGATTGGCATGAGCACACCAGTGAATGGGAAGTGACGAAGACACGATCATCATCCTTTCCGTGTTGCAGTGTACGCACCCTGCCAGACCACCGGTGATGTAGACGATCCAAATCGTGCCGGAGAAAAGGGCCGCCGTGAAGGCTGCCAACGCAACCACCGACAAGCAGTACAATCCAATGGTGAGCTCCCTGCCAAAGCAACGCGCAACAGTCAGATAAGGGAAGGTGGGGTACCATGTGACACGGCCACCATGTGACTTTGGCTTTTTCTCCCAAACGGCTTGCTATCCAACAGCGGTAAGAAGATTCAAAGGAAGGTATCATGAAGGAGAATTGACGTGCAATAGGTCGTGACTCTCCTTCGAAAAGGACGGGAATGGTAGCAATCGGAATTGAAAACCGTCTTAAAATAGCCCATTGGAAACTTTTTCTATTTCCCGCCGCGTCCGCTTTTTACCCTTAAAATACATTTTAAGGACATATGCTCTGCAAGATGTTCTTCTTTGATGTTTTAAGCGCAAAACAAGCTTTGGCTCGATTCTCTACGGCATAAACTTTGAGCGTTATTGCTGTTTCCCCTAAAACTGTTGATCTGGGCACCATGTGACACTACTGTCATTCGCTATGGGATTCCACGATTCACTCAGTTGAATGTGTTCAGTCTGTGACATTTGTACACTAGTAACTAAAACCTTTATTGCTCGGGAACCAAAGATGATAAATTGATAAACTCAACGGAAATAAAAAGCTGGAAGACTTCTTCGTTCATTCTTTGCGTACAGGTACGCTGAATAGGATTTAAACCCACACAAAAGGCCACTGTCACATGGTACACTAAGGCTGTCACATAGTGTACTACGTGGGGTACGAAGTGACACTTTGACTTGGCCCATTCAACTCGGGATAACTCAGCAACCAAAACAGATAAATTAGAAATCTCAACAGAAATTTTAAGGTGAAGAATCATTTCGTTCACATGACTACTTATTGATGTAATGTGATTGGTAGTATTGGGTTGATGGGCACTTTACAAAAACCGTCACATGGTACCCCACCTTCCCTTATTAGTCTGGAAACTAAAGAGAGTGCAAGGCATGCTCGATCTGAGAGTGAGCCGGAAAGCACGGCTTCATCTTGGAGTGTGTTTGCAACCATGATGCAACACTGTAAAAAAATACTGTATTGACGAAAGAACAAATTGTTACAAATTCCTCGTCAGTAACGAAAATATTTCGTTACTTAATGAAATTTAACTGTCGAGGCCGTTTTATGCATTACGTAATTTGGAACGTGTAAAATGTGTGTAATTTTACAAACTCCTGCATGAAGAATATTTCATAAATCGTATAGAAACATAAAAACGTGGTAACTTAACAAATCATTCGTGGAACAAAATTACCCAAGAGATGTTTGTAATTTCACGAACAAATTTCTTACAGTCTTTAGGATGGAGTGTGCCTTTCCGTTGACATGAGGCCTTGTTACAGCTACGTGGCATGCTTTATCCTGGAGAGGTGCTTGCACTCAAAGAACACTCTAGGATAAGGCGTGCTTTGTGGTTTACTCCCGTGACACGCCTCTTGAGTTTCTACAGTAGTCGATCAGGTTCAAAGTAGCTCGTGGCTCCGAAATGTGGCAATACCGAGGGGTGAATCACTAGCGTGTGTACAGATTGGCCCCCACTCTGTGTACTTACACGTATTTAAAAATCGGAACTTTCACTTTGTTGAATTATTTGGCGTTATTTATCGTCTAAAACGCTGAGAAAACCCTAAAATTGCGTATGTATGTGAAATTAGGTAGTGGGTGTTGAAAGGTCCTTAAATGTGTACTCCAAACCGTTGAGTGATTCACGCCTCGGGGGGTTACGTTGCTTCAAAACGAGGGTCCTTTACTAAAAGATACTCACTTGAATTTCCCAGTGGCGTCGAGGAGCACACCGCTCATGATAGCACTCACAAGGCCAGCGAAGGTCATGGTCAGTCCGATGAAGCCCGCATCATCTTCGCTGGTCTTGAAAAACACAGAATCACTCATGACTGAATGCTCAAATTAATGCCGCGAGTTCTTTCAAATGCTTCTAGACACAATTGCTGAAAGAGGTACATGGTGTGTTTCTTACTTCAAAGAATTAACCCAGGCGGCAAAAGGCTATCGTTCTAACGAATGGAACTTATATCTCAGAGGCTGTCGAACTTTACTTGACCTGTATGCTTGTGCTAGAATACATTCTACTGCTAAATTTGTTTCCATTTGGTTACACTAAAATTCAATTTGAGATAATTTTACCCTAAATTTGGGCCTAAAATCGAGTTGGCAGTTCCCAGGGATATATCGGAACCTGTTCTGTTGGTGCATTATTCCACTACAACCTTTCTGTAACCTACGCGAGCCTCGAGCAAGTCCTAGATTGCAACGCAACGTTGTTTGCTGTAATGTTAAGTACTGCATTCTTCTAATCGGTATTTTAATACCGGTATTAAAATACCGATTAGAAGAATGCAGTACTAAACATTACAGCAAACAACGCTAAAATTAGCAAATTTAAAGTGCATTCATCGCAAAAATTTGCCGTTTCTTATTACTGCGTAATGTTCGCAGTGAATTACAAAACGTTTAAATAAGGACACCATAGCAAATTAAGGAAAGTGGGTATCGCCTTGAGTGTGACAGTGTACCAACTGAAAATTGTGACGGGTTAATTTCTTACAGGAAACACACCGAGGATGAGTCTGTTGAGCACGGTACTGGCTGCAAAACACACACCAGTACTTATGCCGTACGCCACGGTTAGCTGCGGAAAGCCTGGGCTCGTGACCAACGATTTCAGCGACAGCATGAAGTCCCGAACGGATTTCCTCTCGTTGAGCGATTCGGCAGCTGCCTGGGAGCGGCTCGGGGGGTGTGGAGGGGCGGCCTGGAACACTAGTGTGCCATTTATGTTCGTGGATGTTATGAGGCATGCTTTCTCATTTGAAAGAAGTCCCATGACTATTTCCACCTTTATAGACCCAAAGATAGTCCTATAGGGTCTGAGAAATACTCCAAAACTTCGAGCGCATTACGACCTTAAGTTACGATGTTACGAATACTGTTTGACTTTTCTGTGAAAAATACAAAAAAATAAGTTTAATTTCCTAAAAGATAATTCACTGGTAAAACTAAAGCGTAGTACTACCCTCTGTTTTCAAGCGTAATCAGTTTACGCTTGAAATCAAGCGTAACAGGCTCATCCGCCAAGATTCCCCCTATCTAAATGCATGGGGGAATTTCCAGAGTATGCTTGATTTCAAGCGTAACGTCTTCAAGCGTAACTCTATGCTTGAGTCAAGCATAGAGTTACCTCTAGTTTCACCAGTGTTCCGAGGGTCCTGGCCCGCAAGTAAGAAGAATAGAAGGAAGCCCTAAAACGGAAGCCGCTCGGGGCCGGCAGCGCCTGGTATGAAAAATATAGTTCGCGTTCGTGCAGGGGGCGGTAACACTACAAAAACGGAGTGAGGCGAAGCTCTCGCCTCGTGCAGGGGTTACGGTTACGGACTTCTTCGAGATTTTTAAAACTAGGCCAGTTTTCAAAACGCTTTGCACAGATTGAAAGAGCATCAAATTTAGGATGCATAAGACCCATTGACCTTCCCAAAACACCCAATTTCACTTAGCACAAAAGAGAAAATCGCGGTAATGTTTACACAAAGATGGCGCCCCCGACGTTTTTTCCTTAATTGTTAGACTTATTGCATTTTTCGGTGTTTTCACTTTAATTTTTTGAGGGCTGAAGTAGCAGTTAAGGGACTGCCCATGAGTCTAGGGTGATTATCAGCGTAGGTTGTCATTTTAGCCCGAGGATACTTTTGAAATAAAAGGTTCCCGAAAAAATTTCTTTTTGCACGGAGGCGATATGGGACTACTAGAAGGGTAAAAATACGTAGCCTCCGCGAAATCGGCCCACGGGTTTAGAAATGACAGCCCAAAAAAGATTGGGAGAAATTTATTGGCTGAGCGATAGCGAAGCCTGTTACTCCAGTGGGGTTGAAAAGTTTTGTCTGTCTGTCGGTCTGTCTGTCTGTCCGCACTACTCCTCCTGAACGGCTCGGCCGATCTCGGTGAGATTTTGCACACTTCTTAGGTATGTCCTTGGCTCGGCACACGCGAAATTTCACTATCCTAGCTCAACTGGTTCAGTTTTTATAGGCGAAAAACACCTAAAAAACGGCGAAAAATAGAGATTTCTGCAGATAGACCACTTCTGTCTTGGAGAAAGGGGGGTCTGGGGGGCGGAGTCCCCCAGCCTTGACAAGTTAAAAAGTGACAAGGGTCAAGATCGTGTTATCTGTAGATAAAACAACTCTATTTACAATGTAGGGGGGTCTGGGGGGCGGAGCCCCCCAGCATTCAACAAGTTAAAAAATAACCGACAACGGACAAGCCATTGCCTGCCGCAGGCAGGCTAGCGCCGCAGGCCAAGGTAGGTACGCCAGGCGTAGATTTGGGGAACAGGCAGCGAGACATCGCGAAGCCTGTTACGACAAGACGCGGTCTGGCGTAAACCTACCTTGTAGTTCATAATCAAATTTCAAATTGCTGTGTTTTCAAGTTCTAAGGCTAGGTAACGGTCGTAGATTATGCCAAAGAGTGGTCAAAACAGAAGTGGAAGAAAGTAAAATGATCCCCAGCTAAGTGCACAGCACAGCGCTGAACAGAACAGAGAGAGGCGCCGGGCAAACCGGCAACCATAGGTGTATGGGTGCCATGCGCCGTACAGCAATTTGAGGTTATGTTCGCCATTTCCCCTTAAAAAAAAAACGATTTAAATGCAGGTCTGAGGAACTGTGGTGCCTATTAAGTGCATATAAGTGACGACACACTTCATTCTGATCAATCTTGTTACGGGACAACCTGATTTTTATGCTGAAATATGCAGTTTGAAAAGGGGTGGACGGAGTTCATTTCTTGTACCGTTTACAACCACTGTATCTCGCCACGCACTGGTCGCTAGGCTGAGATACGATTCTTCCGACCAAGCGCTTATCAAAGGGGCCACTAAAACCTAACTTTTGAAGAAATCGGGGCACTTTTGGAACATTGGTTTTTGAGAAAAGGGGGTGGACGGAGTTCGTTTTTAAAAACATACGCAGCGGAATCGAAGACTAAATTCCACTTGGACTCCCTTCGCGCAACACCAGCCAGCTGATTTTGGTGGTGGCGGATGGAGAACAGAAAGATGCACAATTCCCGAGTCGGGTCGTGTTATTAAAGCTATTTTAGCGATTTTGGTGCCAAAATAAGCACTGTGGACGGAGTTCACATGAAAACTGGGGGAACAATTTTGATGACGTGCTGTTTCACGCTTGTTGCTTTCAGAAAGTCACCGTGGCCGATGATGTGACCCCACATACTTTTTCTTTCATGTTGGTCAGAAGAAAGTCTGCTTTCATCTCGCAGGAGGTTGTTAAACACCACTTTTCGAAATCGACTTGGTGCGGGGGAAGTGGACGGAGTTCACTTTTTGACCACTTCTCGATACTATTAAGGCCGATTCAGAAGTGGCAGCTCAAAACTCAATATTGGGGGTGATAAAGGACCCCAAGGGGCGAGCTCAAAACAAATTTCAACATCCTATGTGGTCTAGTTAAGAAGCACTTCCCCGGGGAACGCGAGTGACAACCTACGGTGATAATCACCCTCTATGCACCCTTTATGTGATGCTATTTCGATATGTGCAAAGCGATTTGCAAACAATGGCCTAGTTTGAATAATCTCGAAGAAGTCCGTGACCCCTGCACGGAGCAAGATCGGAGTGAGAGCTTCGCCTCACTGCCGCTTTAGTGTGTTACCGCCCCTGGTTCGCGTTTGTTTTATTTGCTTACAGCTCTTCTTTCGCGAGCGTGTTGACTTTTGTTATTGTCATTCACTTCTATGACATTTGTGATGTATATGAGAGAGTTACTGTCAACGCGGGCGCGACAAAGCAGCGGCCGCAACCAATACAACAAGCGACGAACGCAAGCAATTAGAGTAGTTGAGCTAACGCCGGACAAGAAGAAGAAAGGAAGAAATGTTTCAAGAACATGGCCGCCGGAGGCTCCTGATTGGGCCTAACAGCCGACAAAGCCCCTGGCGGCCATGTTCTTGAAGCAATGTTCTTCCTTTCTTCTTCTTGTCCGGCGTTAGCTCAGCTACTCTATTAGACATACCGAGCGCGGCGGGTCCCGAGCAGCTTCCACTGTAGGGCTTACTTTTGTTCTTCTACTTCCGGTCCCGGACCCACGGATACACCCTGTTGCGACTGCCCCCCCAATATTTTGGCATTGCACTCTACCAAAAATGTCCTGTAAATGCCGTTAATTTATTACCAGTTTTCACTGTAGGTCAAATTCACAGCGTTTACTGTGATCTGCTCACGGGATTCACTGTGATCTTGGTCGCGGTGTTCACTGTGATCTGGTCCCCAGTAAACACTGTGAGTTTGACGCCGCTGAGCACCGAAGGACTGTAAATCAGGCTCCAATTCACGGCGTTTACTGTGGCCAGATCACAGTGAACACTGTAACCGAGATCACAGTGAACGCCGTGAACAAGTTCACAGCAAACGCCGTGAATTGCATAACAGCAAACATTGGTAATAAATTAACGGCGTTGACAGGACATATTTTGTAGAGTGTGCTCAAAATCCTGTAACTTCTAGAGAAAAGTTGAGAAAAAGGTGTGGGCCCTCTACCTAACAGCGAGACGACAAGGGTCACCGATGACACGATGGCAAGGCCGTAACCCAGCGCCCTCATGTCAAAGCCAATGCCGACGATGTTGCTGCCGTCTGCAGACGGCGATCGCACGAGGAGCGACGGCACGGCGAAGCCGACAGCATTGCCAATCTGTAACAAGTAAGTGCTGCGTTAGGCTCGTCAGGGCACTGCAAATCCATGAGCGGCGAGCTTGTGCAGCAAAACCCGCGGACCTAAAACCGTCTACGAAGCTTTTGCTTCGTATTTCCGAAGAAAGTGAAAGCATTGCATAAGTGCTGCATGAAAAAAATAAAAACAACAGGATTTTTCTTCGTAGTACGATGACGATACGCAATACGAAGCTAGATTGTTGTAGATTATACAACGCCCTTGTTTTCTTCGTTACGAAGTGACGCTTGTAGAGTTTCTTCTGCGTGCTAAACGTCGATCTCTCTCTTTCCATTCGATGTATCGTGGGGTTACGCTGGTCCCTATCCCTCACCGCTCGCTCAGAGTGACGTTGGTTAAATATCCTTTAAAACGCGATTCTCCTCCAATGTGCTGCTTACTTTCTGTAATGTATTGACATTCATTTAGCGTGTTTTGCCTACTGTTACGCTGGCTCACTGTGTCATGTTCGTGTGTAAGTGAATCAGCCTTAGCTTAATCACGTTCACACGAATGTGACAACGCTCAAGGAAACTGCGACATTTTGTCACATTCGTTTCCACGTGACGTCAGGACGTTCCTAGAAAGTTATATGTATGGGCCGTTCATTCATTACGCTACTCCCGCTGTTACGCTGGGTCAGAGTCACCCACCCGCTGTCCGCAGCATAACGTTACGCCAAATTTCTTACGCGACCCCCTTTCTTAACCTTCATGAACTGTAAGAATTCCTATGAAGTGCTCTCCAATAGGGTACTTTCGTAGAATCCTGAACCGGAAGCAAGCAGACCAGCAGACGCCAAATTGGCCGGAAACTAACCTCTCTTCGGATTCAAAACTATATCCGAGCTGTACAAATATTGCTCGCGAAACACACATGCACTGCAAACAAGTATCAAACGACTGTTTATGTTCAAGTGTGGCCGATACCTTTGACGAACGTCTCTTTCCCATGTCAAGTTTGGATCTACTTCCGCCAACATGGCGTCTGTGTGCTTCCGGTTCAGGGATCTACGAAAGTACCCTATTTGCTGCTTATTTTCTGTAATGTATTGACATTCATTTAGCGTGTTTTGCCTACTGTTACGCTGGCTCACTGTGTCATATTCGTGTGCAAGTGAATCAGCCTTAGCTTAATCACGTTCACACGAATGTGACAATGCTCAAGGAAACTGCGACATTTTGTCACATTCGTTTCCACGTGACGTCAGGACGTTTCTAGAAAGTTGTAGGTTTGGGCCGTTCATTCATTACGCCACTCCCGCTGTTACGCTGGGTCAGAATCACCCACCCTCTGTCTACAGCATAACGTTACGCCCAATTCCTTAGGTGACCCTCTTTTTTAACCTTCCTTGACTAAGAATTCCTATGAAGTGCTCTCTAATTATTATGATTGCAACTGTACTCTGGCGTGGACCCTCCGTTACCCCCCTCCCCCTCACGAAAAAAACAAAATCTAGTCAAAATCTGAGTGCACCTCCCCACCTCCCTGTTCCCTGCATTAGTCTATTTTCGAAATCAGGTGTTTTCGGGGGTTCCTAACTGCTTTCGCTTTGCTGGTTTAAAGGATACTTCAATAAATATTGAAACGTGATAAGATCACAAGATAAGCCCTTTAAACAGTTTCTGCGTATGCGCAATGTTCCCCGCAACACCAGGTGCGCATGGTCAAAAGCGTCTCATCCTACGTTTTAAGATCCATCGGAGTAACCTATTGCCTAATGGTGTTACGCCAGGACGTACCATAAGTTCAAGTTAGTTTTATCCTTAAGGGGAGGTTCTGGTGAAAATGCTATTTTGTACTAAATGGGTCCCACTGTGAAAATTTGTTAAAAATTTGATGTCTTATCAAGTATTTGTTAAAATTTTTCATTGGGGAGGCACATTCTATGCCCTGAACCCAGTCGCAGAGCCTTTTTCTCCCATTTAGGCTATAACTTTAAAAATCTTCTTGCGCATACTATTTTGTCGTAAAAGGTTGGCTTAGACATTTTTCACTTCTTCGATTCATTTTTTAAAAATGCCGGCATGCACATCTCAAAATGTCCATTGCATTTTTATTCGCAAGCTTTCTAATCAAGCATTTCACTGTAATTGATCAAAAATGTACAAAATAGGCAAATTTTAGGGACTTTTCAGCTTAAAAAGCTAATAATTATTAGTATAATGGAAGTTTTGAGCTATGCATGCCGGAATCTTTTGAAAATGAATTGAAGAAGTGAAAAATGTCAAGGTCAACCTTTTACGACAAAATAGTATGCGCAAGGAGATTTTTTAAGATACAGCCAAAATAGGCTCAAAAAGACTCTTCGACTGGGTTTACAGCCTGGCATGTGTCTTCAAAAGTCAAATTTTAGTCTCCTTAATGAAAAATTTTATATTCGGAACAAATTATGACTGTAGGATCCATTTGGAAAATGGCAAGATTTTCACCAGAACCTCCCCTTAAATAGTGTCGTGGTTTGTCACACGGGTCCCCTCAACAACGCATCGTTACTGGAATTTTCTTTTCAGAAGACAGGTTGATCTGAAGCTTAGTTTCACGCATTCCTTCAACGTTATTCCGCTCTTCCCCGCCTATCTAAATGCACAGGACTACACTTAGATTCCAAACGCTATGAGTGTAGCACGTATGGTGCAATGCAGCTGAGATATCGCACCATACGTGCAATGCCATAGTCATATTGCACCTTACGTGCAATGCATCCCGAAAAGGCCCTATGCTAATGCATGGGAATGGGGAGGCATTGCACTTCATGTGCAATGCTTATGCATTGCACCAATTGACGCTATACTCAAAGCGTTTGGAATCTCAGTGTGTTTCTCACCTACGCGTGTTTACCGTAGACCTACGCTGGCTATGATTCTCTCTACGCTTTTCTGCGTCTTTAGTGTTTGATTGGGGGGAAACGTACTGGATTGTTCAAAACTTCACTTGTGAATCAACGGCATTAAAATTACGCTCCTCAAGGGCGTTCACTGTTTACGTCCCTGAAACGGTGTGAATCGTTAATGCCTAGGGAAGGGCATCAAAATTTCGCCTAAAGGGCGTCGCTTTTATGCCTTTGTTTTAACAGTGTTTTGCTGCAGATTTGTGAAACATGTTTTTCTTTTTTACAGGCCGCCTGAATGCCGAGTGGTGGAGTGAGGCAATTCCTTGGCATTGTACCCACCTGGTTTCCGAGGACTCCAATGGCTGTTGCGGTCGACACCTCGTTGGCACCGAACCACACCGCTGCAAGCCGGGGTGGCACACTGAGAACGAAGCCCTGCATTTGGATTTGGAAACATGCTGCATTTTGAGGCCGAAGTCTTTACAGATTTCAAAAGGTAAAGCCAACTCTTTCTTATTTACTCTTAGCGACTCTAAGTCGGCCACAGTGACATCTTACGAACTCTTACACGCTTATTTTAAAGTCTGCGAAGCGTCTTCTTAGACTTTGAATACACTAAATTCTTGCGCACTATTTAATGCATAATAATGCAAGCGCAAATACGTTCGCAAGGCGTGCATGAGACTATGCACCACTGTGTACATTTTATGCAGGAATATGCATAAAATGTACGCAATGATGCTTAATATTATACACACCTTACTTATGTATTGTGCATGTATATTAACGCATCCAAAGTGCATTATTATGCGTTTTAAAAGTCCTCAAGAGTTAAGTGTCAATAGTGCCAGAACGCATGAAAACAATTTCGGTAGAATAGGGTATATTTGTGGAGCCTAGACCTAAAGTCAACCTACGGCATGTTGGCGGAATTTCCCCAGAAGTCAGACGTTATAACAAGACGTGAATCGATATATTACGGTTTAGTAAGACATTTGAGTCGTTGAATTGCGTTTTTCAATTGAATTCACCCTAAATTACAATATGGTTCTTCGTGCTTAAGCTTTGGTCCAATTTAGACATGCATTAAAATTGCACGAATGTGTCCGTTGTTGCGTATCCTGTTGCACAATTTGTACTGTTAAGAAGACATCTTACGAAGACATGTTTTGACTTTCGGTCTAGGATCCACAAAGATTTCATCGACAATTCCCTGTCTCTGGCCAGCCATCAGGTCTCATTTTCTTATTGGGACACAGTGTACACATTCCAGGTTTTTCACGAAGTTTTAGTCAAATCAAAATTAACGATGGGTAGGCAGATTCTTGGTTGGAGAGATACATGACAGTATCACATGGCGCAAATTTGGCAAAAAAATCGCTGAGTTTCGTGGCTTTTTCGTTTTTTGGGCTTCTATTGATTTATACCCGCCTGATACTGAACTGATTTAATTACTTAGCTTTTTTTGAGCAGCTTGGAAGGAAGTTCAGCTACGTTTTCAAATAGTACGGGACGACAATATGCATGTTACGCAGTAGTAATACGTGCATTCCGCCTTTTGGTTCAAAGCTGTTTACACGAATTCTACGTAGTAATCAACTGTAAAGTCGTTTCTCGTGGAGTTCCTACTGCAAATCCGATGCGTTTCTTTCTTTACTTAACTTCTTTCTAATCTTTTTTCTGGCAGGCGTACTTACTTGGGTAACAGCCGCCACCGCCTGCCCGAGGAACAGCACTGGCCATAGGTCTGGTCGCACAGCCACCACCTTGAGCCACGCGGCGCCGCAGTTGCCGAGCGCAGCCAATACGACGGTCCAGCGCAAGCCCTGCGAAGACAGTCCCTCGTTATCGGAAGCCTTGGAGGGTGCACTCGAAAAAGACCGCTAAGCATCTCCTTTGAAACTTCGTATCGTGAAGAGATACTCCGTATCACAAAGAATTTTGCTTCTTAATGCGAGGCATTTCCTCGTTGGTTTACCCGGGTTTACCAATGCCTTTGTTTTCTTCGTATTACGAAGCAATGCTTCTCTGTGTCTGGCATTTTGTCATTGTCTGTTATTGTGATTTTGAGTTGGCCATGGGATCTTATTGATTCGAGTCGAGACAGTTGTTGTGATGTCCTTTCACGGCTCATCAGAGGCTGGATTCAAGCAGTTAAGGCGTTGGCTTTACACAGTCCAAAACTTTTTCCTCGTGCTCAGTTTTCGATGAGTTCTGTTTGCACCTCTGCATGACTTTCTCCAATTCCTGACTAAGTCCTGTTGTCTTGTTTTACAGTTGTTTTTACGTGGGCTTTATGCATGCTCGGTAGAAATAGTTTGGAATGTTGAGTTTGGTTGTACTGGGATGTACTATGGGTCTCGTCCTTCGTTTTTACTCTCGATCTGAATGAGTTGATAGTAATAGTAAAATTATCCCCGTCCGTGTTCGAACTGCGAAAATTTATTAGTTAGGTACTTGCCTGCTCTGCATACCGATTGTAAGTGTAACTAATTGCTGTTTCCTTGTGTTTCAGGTGAAAGTGAGAGCAAGCAGGGACGGCATGATGGGAATAAGAGTGCAGGCAGCAGCCAGGTTAAAAGCCAGGTTGCAGCCAAGAAGGTGAAAGCCAAGTTTGGGTCGAAGCTAAGTCGAGGCAAGTTCAAGTGCTCCGATTGCAATGGTCGAGTTTTCTCCAGCAAGAGTCAGTATTTGAAGCACCGCCAGCTGCATGTTGGTGAAAAGCCTCACAAGTGCGATGTCTGTGGTAAAAGATTTTGGTTGATGTTTGAGCTAAATAGACACAAAGAAGTCCACTTTGAACAAACCGTTCCTCTCTCTGCGACTGAGGAAGGGGATGCCGAGCTCAAATCCAACGACGGCAAGAATGAATTCACATGTCACGAGTGTCAAAGCAACTTTGCTGACGGAAAGCAATTAGCCGCCCACATGAAAAGTCATGATGAGAAGCCACTTGAATGTCCCGTCTGCAAGAAGGTGTTCCCGCATCCATCCAGGCTGGTCGTGCATCGACGCACGCACACTGGCGAGAAGCCGCACGTCTGCGGCGTCTGTGCCAAGAGCTTCAACACCAAGAGCTCACTGCTGGACCACACGGTGGTTCACATTCCTGAGAAGACGTACGCATGTGGGACTTGCGACAAGAAGTTCAGGCACAGGACCAGTCTGGCGTCGCACGTTAGGGCCCATCCAAGCCACCGTGAACGCTCCAGGAAGATGCCTCACACCGATGTTGAAGTGTGAATTCTAGCATTTGGGAAGCAGCGATTTCAGTTCGCACCAAATGGACAAGCGTGGACTCGACTTTTTTTTACTCTCCAGGAAGATGCCTCACACCGGAGTTGAAGTGTGAATTCTTGAATTTGCGAAGCAAGGATTTCAGTTTGTATCAATGGGCAATCGCGGACTCGACTTTATTTTTATTTCAATCATTCGTTTCGTTTATGTAATAATAATTTGGTGGTGGTTAAATTAAACGTTGTGTATCTAATCTGAACCAAGTTGCCTTTTTATCATGCATAATCGTTTTATTCTGGAAGTTCTTTGTTATTGACAATGATAGTCTCTGCTTAGGCGGCGTGAAAATAATGAGTGACGTTGGCATGATATTTGATGAAGTTGAATACAAGTTTTGTCATGTGCAATCAAACATCATGTCACTTTACGAGGTGGGCCGTAGAGCCATTACTGAATTAAATTAACGTTATCTTAACTGTTTACAAGTTGCCTTCCCCTTTCCCCTGTAAATATTACCTCTAAAAATGTTTGTTAATGCTTATGACAAGTTTACGTTATCAGGCTTAAACCCTGACGCTTGATTTCATAAACTCGCCCTAATCTCTTTCAAACTTTTTCTTTGGGGAATTTTCAGAAAGGAAAGGGTGATTTCAATTTGAAGCAGATTACTCGTTTGTAACTTCGGGGCGGTAGATTTTTGTCAAGGTATTGGTTTATAAGGTGGTTCATGTTCGGTACGCGGATCGAGCATGGTTGGGGCAGCTGTAAGTGCATAGGCTACTGTCTAAACACATGATTCGGTTTCAGGACCCAGGCAGGATGTTGCCAGCTTTCAGTCCAAAGACAACGTTACCAATCCACGAGAATCCTACGAGACGACGTCAACCAATCCATCAGGTAAACTCGATTCTCGTAATTTGTACTAGCCAAGTTTCGTGTAGCGGGCCTGCTCCAGTTACGGTAATTCATAATCGCCTATTTCCGCTAGTCATTTGCACTCTAAGAATCTTACGATGAAACGGTCTGTGTAGCATGTTGAAACAAAAACATTCGTACTCTGATGGAATTAATCGTACCTTACGATAAACCACGCGTAATACGATGAAATCAGACGTAATCCTTTATGTAGATAACGTGCGTGATACGATTAAATGAAGCATTCCTTACGTTGACGACTATGCATATTACGTATGTGATATTTAAACACCCCATTATCGTGATACCTATTGAAACGATCGTAAGAAATTGAGCGTCAAGGTCCTTAGGTTGTAGGTACCCTGTATACATTCTATCTTAAGTTTTTTCGTGATTCTTTGCGGCAGTGCACTCTGCGAACCTTGCAAAACTACTTTAGGTCTTAGCAGAGTAGCTTGTCACAATACAGTATATTGAGCATAGTCTACGGAAGGTTACAAATAAAATAGTTTGTAATTAACGTACTATTCCTTCGTCTAACAAAGTACGATTAGTTTGTACTACGTATGCTCATAATACTTCGTTAGGTTTTAAACGTGTTCAGTGGCGGCTGATTTCGGGTGGCTTGTTGTTAATCTGATATTAATTGTCGTACAGGTCGGCTGGAGTATTCGCTTCCGAATCGTCGGAAACTCGAAGACACCTGCGATGGACAACTTGCTATCAAGAGTCCCAGTCCTTGTCCAATGGACACCGATCATGAGATCGGTGAGCTTGATTTGAGAATCGCGCAAGATGGACCATCTGGCTTCATCGATGTTTACGAAGATGGGGAGTCCAGTATCAACTCCTTGAAGACGCGCAAGCATCAATGCCCTGTTTGTCGTAAAACGTTCACTCAAAAGCATCACTTAACAGCGCATTCCAGATGTAAGCCTTTCATGTGCAGTGTGTGCCACAAAATGTTCACTCGGCAAACTATGGTAGAGGTGCACATGAAGATGCACCGTCGAATGACCGGTTCAAAACGTCGAAAGTCTTTCGTTAGGGATTCTACGGGTTCACTTAAATCGTAATCAGTCGATCGAACGGTCAAGACGGGCATTTGTGTGTTGTGATTGTCGTGAGAAATTTAGGACAGTTGCTAACTAACTTATCCAGGCACAAGATGGCTCATGTTTGAAAGACATTGTAACTTACGAATATCTTCAGAACTCATTATACTTAACTTAAGGGGGCTCATACATGTTAAACACACTTTGTAAAAAAAATTTTTTTGATGTAGATGGATTAAGATTTTACAATTTCTGTGTTAAAACCCTTTTAGATAATTGAGTAAGCTTCATTTTGGCTTAAAGGAAAGTGACTTTGGACATTTTTTGGAGATTTAGTCGAAACGTTTAAAATTTTGGTTCTCGTAAGATTTTGTTCGCATACTTGCTCAGATCTGTGGGGAAAAAATCAGGGAGACTCATCCCTAGTAGTGTCATAGAATTGACTACAATGGGCTTAATATCTACAATAGTTTTCAAGAAAAAAAATAAAAACAATTTTTTTAACAATTTTTTGAACAATTTTTTAACAAAAAATTGTTTTTATTTTTTTTCTTGAAAACTATTGCAGATATAAAGCCCATTGTAGTCAATTCTATGACACTACTAGGGATGAGTCTCCCTGATTTTTTTCCCACAGATCTGAGCAAGTATGCGAACAAAATCTTACGAGAACCAAAATTTTAAACGTTTCGACTAAATCTCCAAAAAATGTCCAAAGTCACTTTCCTTTAAGCCAAAATGAAGCTTACTCAATTATCTAAAAGGGTTTTAACACAGAAATTGTAAAATCTTGATCCGTCTACATCAAAAGAAAATTTTTACAAAGTGCTTTTAACATGTATGAGCCCCCTTAATCTGTCGTACTGTCGTGAGTGCACTGTCAAGCTTAATTACTGTTAAATTCATGCATGCTGGGTTACTAGGGTAGTATTTAAGATAAACTAATTATTTTAGTGTAATTAGTAAGATAAAATTTCCATTGTTAATGCAATCTGCAATGTTTAAATATGCATGAAGTGATGTTCGTCCTCATCGAGGCGTCCTAGCGATGGAAATCATGACCAGTTAGGTTACAATAAGTTCTATCTAATCGTTTGATCTTTTTTTGTACATTGTTAGTAATACCTTATTTTAAAATGCAAATATATTTCAGCATGATAGTTTTCAGCTTTTCCTTATGCCCTTGGTTGAAGCCAAATCTTGTATACCGTCGCGACACACTTAATGTCATGGGACTATTTTTGTCCCAGGCATGATGCAATCTTGTCAATTATAATGATGCTGTTTTGTGTCCGCCAGGTGATACGTATTGTTCAATGAGTAGCTACACTGTCATTTCAGGAACGTGGTCACGTTAAACCGAGCGTGACAGAATGTCACGTCCGTTTGAGCATTGTGTTTGAACGTGAACAAGCTGATTTTTGGCCAATTCACACCCAAACGAATGTGACACAATGCTCAAACGAACGTGACATTTTGTCACATTCGTTTTAACGTGATTTTACATTCCTGTAATGAGAGTGTATTGCAATAGACATTGGACAATTTGTACCAGTGGACACTAAATTCTATCACCGACTGATGTCCTTAGAATTCTAGCAAATGCCTGGGACAAAGAATGGCTCATGGCATTTCGTCGCGTCCTAATAGAATAATCCTAACTGTCAGAGCAGATCCAAGACAATCCTAACTGCCAGAGCTGATCCAAGACAATCTTAACTGTCAGTGCAAGTTTAGAACTATCCTAACTGCAGAGGTACCTAAAAGTGTCCATGACGTATCTTCATGCATTGAAGAATCAGAGAATCTCAATATACCTGAAATACAACGTCCACGTATTTATATAAGGATGAAACTTTGTAACAAGCCCTTCGGCGAGTAATTTTATGAAGTATGTAGGCGTCACGGACTTTGAGAAAACACCGCGTTTCACGTGATGTGCAGTTAGGATTTTTCTGCATTGACACGGAAAGTTAGGATTGTCTTGGCTGTGCTCTGACAGTATTGTCTTGGGTCTACCCTAGCAGTTAGGATTATTCTATTAGGACGCGTCGATTTAGTGTACACTTAATGCACGCACCTTTTTGTCGAGGAACCACGAGGCGGGTAGGATGCACGGGATGTACACCACCATATAAACAAGAGAGGTCCAGGCCACGGCTTGCTCGGATACGTTGTAGTACGCCGCTACCGAGTCGGAGATTATGGCGAACTGGATCCACTGGAAACCGTTGCTCAGCGACACGACGCTGAAGACGGCCAGCATGAGCCAGCGACGAGGGAGCGGCCGCGCGACCGGCTGGAGGCCTTCGGCGTCCATGGCAGCGAGGGGGCGGTGACCTTTTTGACGACAACATAGGAAAGTAGACTTCGTGTCGGCAACTTTCTGCTGTTTACATTCATTGATGACTGCTCCAAAGTTACTTCCAGGGGGTCAAGAATGGCACACACTAAATGTTATGTACAATTTTGTACGAGACATCAAAGTTTTTTGTGCACACGAAATTTTCGTACAATTTTCGTATGAAAAACTGCACATTTTTTGCCATTTTTGTACAAAATTGTACAAAAAGTTCATGTGCACTAAAAATTGTGACACTGAGAGAAAAAAGTCGTAATATTACGAACCATTCTTGTATAGTATTTTCCCACATAAAATTCATAATTTTACGAATAATTTCACGACGAATGATTCATTATTTTTATGAAACACTCATTATTTTACGAATGCTTCATTCAATAAATGAATAATTCATAAACACCCCAAAATGAATGTTTCATTCCCCAATTTTTACGTAACAGCATCACAAGCCATTCGTAATTTTACGAATGTTTCATAATGTAGTATGAGTAATTCATAATTTTACGAATCGTTCATAAATTTATGAATGTTTCGTAAAGTTTTACATGAGCCATTCTTGTACACTATTTTCCCATTAAAAAATCGTAAATTTAGGAACAATTGAACGATGAATGGTTCATTATTTTATGAATGGTTCGTAAAATCTGAATACCTTTCGGGCATTTTCAGGCACTTTTTTCAACCAAAATATGAAAGGTTCATAATTGCTCATTTATGATTTTTTCGTAGTGAGCATAAAACGAGCCATTCATAAAATTATGAAGCGTTCATCGCCAAATATGTCGTAAATTTACGACAAGTTTTTTCAGTGGATGTCTCGTACAAAATTTGTACAAAAACATTTAGTGTGCATGTGTTGGCCCTTTCGAAAATTTGTTGTTGACTTCAGCAAGTTGACAGTAGCCAAGGCGAGCCAAGTTATACCTCAAATTGCGGAAACATCAATTCCAAGGGATACAGAATTTAAACTGACAGTGGAACCCCGCACAAAATCACAAAATGTCATGGCATTTTTGTTTGTTCGTATGACGCTATTTAAAGCACTTCCGTCGATGATGCTACTTGCCAATCGAAAAAGGTTTTAGAGGGATTTCACCGACGAGAGGCGCTTTGAAAGCACTTGTCGGTGAAAAGTTGAGTGCAACTGAGGTTTCAGACGATTGTGGCTGTTCTTTTCCTGATCTTTTTGGGTCTGTATTGAGCAGAAGTAAGAGAATGCGGGACTGGCCAAAGATGCTGATTTGTAATGAGATTCGGCCGGCTCACGCCAGTGCGGCCGTTTCGGCTGAAGTCACCAGAGCGAGTTTCTGCCAACGCAGATCTCTAATTTTTACCACCCCGTCTTTCTTTTTCCATTTTGTCACGGGGCAATGAACCTTCCGAGGGTCAGGCTTGGACTGCTTTCTGCTTCTTTCACTCCTCTACCGGTGGCTAAACAAGAATATTCCGTCGTTCCGTTTTGAAATTCAAATCCTTTCTTCTCGAGAGCATCAATCTCCATAAACAAACTGATCATTAGTCTGCGACAAGCTCACGTAAACTGACTTGTGAGGTAAAAACAGAAAAATATCAGTCTTACGAGTTTGATGTATTTGTTGGATTAAAATTGGCAGAAATGAAACGCGTTTTCAGGAGCAATACGCGCTCTATCCAAAGGTGATACTTTTGGTATCTTTTTTCGCAATACTATGGAGTATCGCAACCAAACAGCCTTACCGAAAAATCTTACTATCAAAACGGTACAGTACTTTGGAGAACTGTCAAGGTTCGACAGTTTACTTTCACATCAGGGGGATTAGTGCTTTGTTTATTGCCAGATTTTGTCGATACTCGAAAGTATTGCCAAGGCGATATATCGCCGTTAAGAAGGCAATACTTTTCGGTTATGTCTGTTTTTTTGGCAATACTCAATTGTATCGCCTTAAAAATGCAAGTATCGCCTTTGGATTTGCAGTGCGAGTGTATACGAGATTACTTTGATATGGCTAAGTTGTCTTAAAAATTGATTGTTCCTGATTTTCAAAGATAAAATTTTGACTCCCAGACGGTTTAACACCTCTCAATAACACCGCACACTTTCAGCAAAATAACTTCTTTCGGGTGAATTAGAGCTTGTTTCGGCATGAAACAAAAATGCTTGGCGCGCAAACTTATAAGATATAAAAGTCTATTCATGTAAGGACCAGGCCACCACAGCCTAGTCCACGATCTTGTGACGCGTCCATTTGGATTAACATGTAATGGCCTTGTCCTTAACTCGATGACCCTAGCTAGGCTCGAATTTCGTTGCGGTATCGAGCTTTATCAGGGCAAGGCACTTCGCTTGTGCGAGATTCTATGCTGCGCGGCGCAGCTGAGATTACGAAGACAGAACTCGGTTCGCTTCGGATCCAGGTTGATGTCTAGTACAGTACAGAGACAGTCGTCTCCGAACTATCAGGCTGCAGCAAGTACGACATGACTCACCAACCGCGCCACTTTAACTCTAGGGCGCATGGTGACTACTCACAAATCAGCAAATAGGGCATTTTAAAATTAGATTTGGTCGACGCCTACATGAACAACTTCTATTTTTTACCCAAAGCCACTTTTGAAAATGCTCTGTCCTGTTCAGTCACTCCCGGCCAGGGGGTGGCAACGGCCTAGGAAGAGCGTGAAGCGATGCTCGCGCCGTCAGTGCAGAGGTTGCGCACTTGTTCGAGATTATGAAAACTAGACTGTGTTCTTCAAAACGCTTTGCACCGATGGAAAGGGCTTGAAATTTAGGGTGCATTAGGCTAATTGCTCTTCTCCAAACTCTCACCTTACCTGATATTAAGGTGCAGTGAAAACACCGAGAAACACGAGAAATCATAAAATTTAGGAAAAACTCGAATGCGCCATGTTGATGTAAATGGTTCCACCCTTGTGTTCGGTTGAATTGGAAGTATCGGGCAGTCTACTAGGCCTAATGCACCCCAAATTTTGTGCCCTTTTGATCTGTGCAAAGCGTTTTGCAATCAACGGGCTAGATCTTACAATCGAAGCAAAATAAGTAACCAATCCCGCGCGGGAGAATCTGCAGTCTGAATTGTACCCAGGAACTGATGTCACACTATGCTTTTAAGTGAACAAGGAGGGTAGTTGTAGTGTGGCTCAATTGTTCTGAAAGTGTTCACAGATGTGCTATTTTGTGTGTAGAATGAAGTATGCATCGGGCATAGTCTAACTGCAGATGACCGGCTGCAGTTCGAGTACGGTTAAAATACAGTTTAAGTACACTTAACTGTACTTGAACTGTGCTCTAACTGCCGAAAAACTAGTAGTTTTTTAGGACCTTTTCAGTTTCAACTGCAGTTTTGCGGACAGTTCACGACAGTTTTGACAAAAATACGGTTTTGCCATAAAAATTCAAAATTTTTGATTTCCAGCCTTATGTTGCCTCCCTCCCTCCCTCCCACTCTCTCCCTTTTTTTTTTTTTTTTTTTTTTTTAGTCGTTGAAGTTTGTCAGTCAGTAGTCGAACCCGGGCCTCAGGGTTGTCAGACCGCAACGCTGCCAACTGCGCTACGGAGACGTGTGAGGGTCTGGCGCCAGCGCGGGCGATGCCACTGGCCATGCCCGCGCGCTCAGGTAGACGAGGGATTACCGCCACTCCGCGCTCGGCGCGCTCCACTCCACGAGGAATTTTCCCGTCATTTGCCGAGACAAGCTGATCTGGAAGCATTGCCGAGCTTCGCTCGGTGAAATTTAGAACATTAGAATCATTCCAAGGCCGTGACGTGAAAGGGCATTCAGGGTGAAGTTGGAAGTACTCTTTGACTTCTACAGCAATAAACTTTAATTGTAGTTTTTGACTGCATTCCCAATTGACCCCGGGAATGCATTTGTCATACACCTTTTTTTACTCTCCATGTGTAAGCAAAGAGCAAATTAGAAGTATATTTGTCACGGCATTTGGATTTGGAAATAAGTTGAACTTTGACTGTCGTTTGAACTACATTCTGGACTGCCAAAGCAGACTGCAGTTGGATCTGGCAACAAAAATGCAGTTGAAGGACAGTTTCTGTGCACTTTAAAGCACAAAATTGACTGCAGCCAGCAATACAGAACTGATGGCACTTTTAATGCAATTTAAGGGCAGAAAAGAACTGCAGAAAGGAACTGCAGATGAGCCACTGCAGTTTCAAATACAGTTTGACTACTGATCCTTTCGCGCGGGATGCACCTTACTCGCGCATGGCTTCACGCGCTTCCTAGGCCGTTGCCGCCCCCTACTCCCGGCTGACCAACATTCCGCGACGCCGTGCTCTAAACCAGCTGAAAACAAGTCGTTTGCACACACCTGCGTCGTCTTGGCGTTCGCGCTTGAGCCCAAGCTATCGTTATCACCGACACGACAGGCCACCGGCACGCGCGGCGTCTGTGTCGCTACTGATGGCGGCGGGCGCATCGAGTGGGCGACCAATGGGCGACCCCCCTCTCCCGAAGGTCTACCTCTCGCTCGCTCACTTCCCCGCGGACGGGCCCGGATCTACTCAGCTGGTGGAAGGAAAAGGGCGAGGCTGGTAACAAGGGGTTTCGAACAAACTTGAGTCAAAGATGATGAGGTCGAGGGGCAAACAACTCTCTCAAAATTTGTACACCGTTAATTCAAATTCACGTTATTCCATTGATATTTGAACGTTATTTTAAGGGTATTTCAACGTTATTCCCCGTTATTGTATGTTATTTTGCGTTCACTCTACCAAAAATGTCCTGTAAATGCCGTTAATTTATTACCAGTTTTCACTGTAGGTCAATTCACAGCGTTTGCTGTGAACTAGTTCACGGCGTTTACTGTGATCTCGGTTACAGTGTTCACTGTGATCTGGTCCCCAGTAAACACTGTGAGTTTGACGCCGCTGAGCACCGAAGTACTGCAAATCAGGCTCCAATTCACGGCGTTTACTGTGGCCAGATCACAGTGATCACTGTGACCGAGATCACAGTGAACGCCGTGAACTAGTTCACAGCAAACGCCGTGAATTGCATAACAGCAAACATTGGTAATAAATTAACGGCGTTGACAGGACATTTTTTGTAGAGTGTTGCCACACCACCCTTAGTTCAACGTTGTTTCATCGGTATTTCGACGTCATGTCACGTTATTTCACGTTGTTTCAAGGACACTGCAAAGCCAGTGGTAAGTTTACTTGCCACAAATTTGGCAAGCCCTTTGGAATGCCAAAATTTGGCAAGCTTGTGAACCTAACCCCACCCATATGACGGGCTTCACTATCGCTCAGCCAATGATTCGAGTATTACATAATTATTAACAAAAACACGTTTCAAGAGGCGTTTAAGGTGCTGATCAAAACTACGTAGATAGTACTCCAGAGACATATTTTTTGGTCCAAAACCATCTAAGCCTCATATTCCGCAAACCGTAAGAAGATACAACCAAATTGTCTGTGAACAACTTGTCAGGAATCCGAGTTTTAACAAAAAAAAGTCTTTCTGCAAATTGCTGTCGGACGCACCGATCAATGAGATCTCATTGGATTGAACATTCTGCAGGTGTCAATGTTGCGCGAGCACTGCAGTGCCCAAACCATACCCATACCCTCGGTATCTCACTCGAGTCGCTTGTTTTTAGGTAGTCGTCTGAGGAATGATTTCCCGCTTGGAACGGGTCCAGTACGGATTCCAGGATGGGGAGAAAATTAAAACTTGTAAGACACTGAAAAAAGTTATTTTTTGACTTCGAGTTCATTTTTATCAGCGATGGACTGTTTTATGGTCGATTCTGCGTGCAGATTCGGACTGGCCACTCAATTTAACATCCTGGTTACCCATTTGCATACCTCAGGACCCAAAAGAAAAAAATTCCGGAGCATTTCAGTAAAAAAGTGCAATTTGGTCAAAAACGACCTAAGAGAAAAAGCCAAAAACTTTGATTGCTCACAGTTCCCATGCTAATTCATTTAGAGGGGTGTTAACCTATCGGTAGGTGACATTTGAGACAAAAATGCGCTGTCAGGAATTTTGTCGTAAATTAGCGACAAAAACGTCGCTAATTTTGATAGCGACAGAAATCGTTCTGAAACAACTTCGTCGTAACTAAACGACTAAAATCATTTCTCACGACAATGTCGTATCGCGATTACATATTTGCAAATCTGGGATCCCCGAAAAGTTGATGAAATGCTGAAAATTTGTCGCTTATTTACATTTGTGTCGTTATTTACGTTCAAACAAATTTACGACAAATGAAATTACTAAGCATAACTCAACATTTAATAGATAATTACGATGTTCAAATACATTAAGTGTAAATTACGCTTAATTTGTTTCAAAACGGAACGGGTCGCTTCAAAATGTAGTGACAAATATGTCGTAAATTTACGACTTGAGTCGTAACAAAATATGTCGTTTAAAAACGACATAATTGTTCTACAAAATGTCGTAAATTTACGATTATTTTTAACAGTGTGAGCAAAATCGTCAATTGTCAATCTCGACTACTGTCAATCGCCTCTGGAATGCATCCATGAAAATTATTGAAATCGATATAGACTGCGTTGCGTACACTTCTTTATTTCGACAAGTGTTTCTGACAACTGGACGGATAAGTGATTAGAAGCACGCATTGACAATTAGAAAACCAAATAAGCCTTTGTACAAACAAGAAACTACGAGACAGTAACCAGAACAAACAGTAATTACCAGGAAACAGGGCCAAGGACGAAACATTTCAGAGTCAGCGGATGCAAGATCAAGAGCTCACAATTAAACTTTTCCGTCTAACGGAACTCTGCGCCGTCGCACACACTACAAATGACATCAACATTCACGCCACTCTCCACAAACATGTCCCACACGCGTCGCGTCTGCACAGTGCAGGAGTCCTTGTCGTGGCGACAGGGATCGTTCCAGCCCGTCTGCCGCAGCAGCACCATCCTCCTGAGGCACTTGAGTCCGCAGCGCTGCAGCTCCTGGGCCAGGTCGGGGCAGCCGTAGGGCTCCGTGGAGGCCGCCACCAGCTGCAGCTCCTCCAGTGTGTCGGCGTGCGCGCTCGCCAGGGCCAGGGCAGTGGACAGCGGGTGCACGCCGCAGCGCAGCCACTGCAGGCTGGAGGCGGGTGTCGCGGAGAAGAAGGTCAGCTCCGGCAGCACTCCAGCTTGCAGTGCAGCTCCAGGCTGCGCAGCGACGCCATCTTGTTCACCAGCTCCAGGTGCTCTCCAGTCACGCCGGTGATGGCCAGGGAGCGCAGGTGCGGCATCGCCAGGGCCAAGTCCACGTGCCGCTGCAGGGGGGACACCATCTGCAGGCCCTCCAGGCGAGGCGCCACCAGGTCCAGCACCTTGCAGCTCCAGAACGGGGCCACATCGCAGGGCAGGCCCGCCAAGTAACGCACCTGCGGCAGGGGACAGCAGAGGCGTTAGTCATAGGGGGCGTACACTGAGAATGAAGCAGACTTGATCAGTACCCCATTTTGGGCGAGGTACACTTTAGCACCAGAATTGGGGTGTGGAAGGCTTCCTCACTCTGCAAACTAAAGTGTGCACATAGTACACTCTTATTAGAGCATGCTTCCAAGTACACTCTTATTTACAGCATACTTGCTAGGTACACACTTACATAGAGTGTACATTGCATGTACACGCTAAATAAGAGTGTACCTGGCAAGTACACTTAAACTGGCCCATGCTTTTAGTAGATAGGACTTATCGAGTGTATATTTTAGCGTGTACATGGAAGGTACACACTTATTTAGCGTACTTGCCAGACACGCTCTATTTTAGCGTGTGCCTAGCAAGTATGCTGTAAATACGAGTGTACTTGGAAGCATGCTCTAATAAGAGTGTACTATGTACACACTTCAGTATGCAGAGCACCCAAATTTGGACGAGAAAGGGGTTAGGGTAAAGTGCCGAACATGGATCGGGGTACCAAACATGGATCATTTCTGTTTGTGGGTCTATCACTAAAGACCAGGTGACCAGATTCTAAATTTCTGTCTTTCCTTGCTTAGACTGACCCTTTGACTGTTCGATGTAATCTCACAGTTTGCAACTGCGTCTCTCTACTCTGGAGGGTTGCGTTTAGAAAGGCACCTAAAACAGGCCCCGAAAATCGATGGAAAGACGTCAAAAAGTTTTTTGCACCCCTGATTCTGGGCCAAGCAATCACCGCAGTCACTTCAAAATTTTTCATCGTGCACTTTGGACAGACTACTTTGATATTTTGGGACTACTGAATGCATACCTTGCTTTGTGTCCGTACGCTGGTGGGGTGATCCATGATTGGACCACCCTAACCTAACCTTAGCTAAAATAGCCATATTTTCTTGTCCTCACAACTTCCAAAGTATTCGAGTTAGAGGTACCATTTTTGGTAGCCATATGACCAGTAAGGTAAACATCAACATTAGATTCAAAAATAGAAGTCAACCCATACTTAATTTCGATCTAGAGAAGATTATTTTAAAAGTGATCCATGTTTGGTAACCTTACCCTATCACCTTCGTGAATGGCTACGTCGTAACATCACCGAAAAGAGGAAACCTTCCTCACCCAAATTTAGTTAGGAAGAATTCCTCACCCAAAATTTGAATCCTGATCATGACTCTTTCATTCTCAGTGTAACGTTTAACGCGGCAAAAACAGTTCCTGATTTTTCCAGGTAGCCCATAGTACAGACTTATGCACTTCCCAGGGAGTTCCTGGGAAATCCAGGAACCGTTATCCCGTGGATACAAAGTCTGCATGAGACCTGTTTGACACAACTTTCTTAATTCCTTTCAGAAATCACTGCAGTTACAACTACGAAACTTCTCCAATGACGCAAAACCCTTTACGATAAGTTCAAGCGGAGATATAATCCACCAAAAAACATAGAAACGCCATTGTACGCAATTTCTTTCGTAACTCAAATAAAAGGTTAAATACAAAATATAGTTTTTAATACTACGGAATAATTTTGTAATACAACTGCTCCGTGTTTTCCCGTGGTGAAGAAAAAAAAACGCTTTGAAATACAAAAGTCGATTGAAGCACAAAATGTTTCGGTGTATTGATAGCTAATTTAATCCCTTTCCGAGCAAAATACTTACATGTGCGAGACGTCCATCTGTCAGTAACGTGGACATGCCCTTCGGAAGGAACATGGGGCAGGTGGTTTTCACATCCAAGAAGGATTCCCCTTCCACCGCTCCAATGTGTGGCTTCTGCAACAGAAGTTTGCATTTAGGACGTATGGAGTCGTCTCCAGGAAAAGTCGACACGCAGAAAACCATACAAACTAATTTGGGCTATAGAAACAAAAAAGCTTCGTTACACCGAAGCATTTTGAGCATACATAAGTTTACAACGGAAATACTTCGTAACTAATTTAAAAATTTCCGTAAACGGGAGATGGCCCAGTTTTTTTAAGTGTCTGCTTCCTGCGCTTCCAGGTGTAGGACACACTGAGATTCCAAACGCTATGAGTGTAGCACGTATGGTGCAATGCACCTGAGATATCGCACCATACGTGCAATGCCATAGCCATTTGCACCTTACGTGCAATGCGGTCCGAAAATGCCCTATGCTAATGCATGGGAAGTGGGAGGCATTGCACGTCACGTGCAATGCTTTTGCATTGCACCAATTGACGCTATACTCATAGCGTTTGGATTCTCAGTGCAGTGATCCGAGAACGAACCGCACACTTCATACCTAATTGTCTACTTAGTAAATACTCACAATTGCATACTTGACTAGTTGCATATGCTTAGCATGTAGTTACGGAGCCAGGCGCGTTAATGGGTGAGTGCTTGCTAAGTATGCATTTGGAAGAGTGCACTAAGGAGAAAGGTAGGTTTGTAGGCCTGCTTACCAATGGAGTGGGCAGCAGGCGAAGTTGGTACGTTCCATCGAACCCCATACAATGACAACGGACGACACCACTGTAGTCCCACCGCACAGACACAGCTCCTTTTTCCTTCTTTGCGGTGACGGTACCGAGCCCAGGAGGCTCCCCGTCAGCATCGCACCCTTTCGACCAGTTCCTCCCGCGGGCCACCCTGGAGCCCACCGCCATAGAGGCCGCCATGTCCGCCTCGGTCATCGCCCACTTGCCCTCGTTGGGACGTTCCTTCCAGCGCGGGGCTGCGACACAGAGAAAGGAACATAGACACTCGCTCGACAAATAGCACGGAGCTCGAACTGAACGTGTTCACCCGGAATAAGAGAATTTCAGTCGGAAGTTTCCGTAAAAAAAAAAGAAAACGGAAAAGTCCTAAAGCTTTTCCGAAACATGTGTATGGAGCGAGGGGCTAACAACTTCAACTTCGTCAAAATTCGTACACCACTATTTCAAATTTACGTTATTTCATAGTAATTTCAACGTTATTTCTCCTTAAAAACAAACTATGACATGCATGTTTCAATGTTAACAAAAATATAAGAAAAGCGAACCCCTTCTTTGTGCAGATCAGTTTTCATAACATTACGGGAAAGCTACAATATGTAGGTAAAAAACGCTCTGAGGAGGTTCTTTCTTTCATCATTTTAGACTAAAAATGCTCCAGAGAAGCCCTCTTTAAGGGGGCTCATACATGTTAAAAGCACTTCGTAAATTTTTTTTAAATGTAGACGGATCAAGATTTTGCAATTTCTGTGTTAGAACCCTTTTAGATAATTGAGTAAGGTACATTTTGGCTAAAAGTAAAGTGACTAGGACAGTTTTTGGAAATTTAGTCGAAACGTTTAATATTTTGGTTCTCTTCAGATTTTGTTCACACACTTGCTCAGATCTGTGGGGGAAAAATCAGGGAGACTCATCCCTTGTAGTGTCATAGAATTGACCAGATCTGCAATAGTTTTCAGAGAAAAAAATAAAAACAATTTTTTAACAAATTTTGCAAACAAAAAATTGTTTTTACTTTTTTTAAAAACTATTGCAGAAAAAAAGCCCATTTTAGTCAATTCTATGACGCTATTAGGTATGAGTCTCCCTGATTTTCCCCCCACAGATCTGAGCAAGTATGCGAACAAAATCTTACGAGCACCAAAATTTTAAACATTTCGACTAAATTTCCAAAGAAATTCCCAAAGTCACTTTAGTTTAAGCCAAAATTAAGCTTACTCAATTATCTAAAAGGGTTTTAAAACATAAGTTGTAAGATCTTAATCAGTCTACATCAAATTTTTTTTAACAAAGTGCTTTTAACATGTATGAGCCCCCTTAGCAGATGCTTCAAGTACACAAAGAGGACTTTGCAAAGGGGGTGGAAAGGCCTTACGACTCACCGGAAGGGGCAGGGCTCGGTTGCCGTGGCTGCTGTCCAGGTTCCTCCAGATGTCCACGGCACGCCAGTTGGAGCAGCAGCAGCCGCGCCGCAGCGTCCGTCGCGGGCCGCACGTCGCTCTGCCAGGCCGCCACGCCGGCCGCACCGCGCAGCACCGTCACACGGCACCTGGTGGTGGCGTCGAACAGATCGGTGGCGAGCTGGGCCGTGCTCTTCGACACTCCTGGCGGAATAGACAACGATAAAAATGCTGCGCCGGACACTGGTAGCCAACGAATGTTCGTTTCCACGTGAAAACGGCACTCATTCCAGGAATGTGAATCGCGTTAAAACCTACATGACAAAATGTCACGTTCTGTTTGAGCATTGAATCACATTCGTTTCAATGTAAAAAAGCAGAGTGTGCTAACATTTGGCTTTTGCAATTAACGTTATTTCCGTATCTCGTAAACGGCTAGAGTAAAAAAAGTTATTCGTATATGACGCCATCTTTAACTGTATTTCAGATGGGGTCATTCAGTGCTGAGAGGTTACGCCGAAGTCTGATCCTTACCGGCCTGCAGGGCAGCCTGCTTGGCCTGCTCCCAGGCAGCCCCGTCCGCACCCATGGCGTCCTCCAGTCCTTTCAGCGCAGCGGCGACCCCGGCCTTCTCCTGCTCCGCCTTCGCCTGGAGGCCTCGCAGCATCTCGGACACCTGGTCCAAGGCCGCGTCGGCCTGCTGCAGAGTCTGCAGCAGCGGCCCGGCCTCCTCCACTCGGGCCTTCTTGAGGCTGCGGATGAGGTGCTCCTCCACGCACTGGGCGGACGCTTCCCTCTTGCAGCTTTCGCACCAGAACCGGGCAGTGTTACCCGGCCTGAGAAGAAAACACAGTGAAGTTCCATGTTGAGTTACGGGCGAGGGGCAAACAACTTCGTCAAAGTTTACACACCGTTATTTCAAATTCACGTCATTTCACTGGTATTCCAACGGTATTTCTAAGTTATTTCAATATTATTTCGCGATATTTCACACCGTACCTTCACGTTATTTTGCGTTTTTCAGCGGTGTTTCAACGTTATTTCACGTTATTTCATGGAAAATGTGCTCCAAAATTCAAGTTGTTTGCCCCTTGGTTACGGGGGACTCCTACGCACAAGTTGCCGGCCAAAAATGTTCGGAAATTTCACAACTTTTCAGAAATTTATTTTCGAGTTTCAGTTTATTGCATTCGGTGGTGGTCAGTTTATAGGAAACCTCAAAAAAAACGATTACCTCAATTTAATTTAAAAAAAAAAAAGCGGCATTGAAGTGGTTGTCCAGGCAGATAAAAAGCATCGCTTCGTAATACCAGCTTAACGAAATTCTCAAAAAAAAATCGCTTAGTATTACGAAGAATTTTTTCTTAATACGAAGCGATTCCACAATGCCTTTAGTTTAAGGTACCAAACAGGGTATCATTTTGCAAATAATTTCTCGAAAGATCAAAAAATTGCATTTTAAATTGGGTTGGACTTTTAAATTTTTGGGGGAAACCTAATGTTTTATGTTTCCCTTTTACTTGTGAAAATGGAGTAACAAAAAGGGGTTTACCTAACTCGAAGGATTTTAAGTTGAGGAAAGAAAATATGGCTTTATTTCGCCTAATTAGGTTAGGGCAGACCCCCAAATCAGGGAAAATAAAACCCCAAACCGCGGTACGCGGATAAAATCAAGGTTTATGCTTTTTCCGTGGGTCCCATAGTATCAAAGAAACCCTAGTCCGGAAGTGCACGAAGGGGAAAAAATTTGAAGTGCGCGGTATTGCTTGGCGCAGAAATCTGGGGTGGGACAAAATCCCACCTTTGAACGTCATTTTTCCATCGATTTTCGGGGGCCTGTTTTAGGTGCCTTTTAAACGCACCCTGCAGAGTAGAGAGACGCAGTTGCAAACTTGTGAGAACATCGAACAGTCAAAGGGTCAGTCTAAGCAAGGAAAGACAGAAATTTAGAATCTGGTCACCTGGTCTTTAGTGATAGACCCACAAACAGAAATGATCCATGTTTGGTACCCCGATCCATGTTCGGCACTTTACCCTATTTTCTTCAAGCACACTAAATTACTATGTAGGTTTTTCTGCGCGACAATGCACGATTTCGTGCGCAAGTATGCAGAAAATCGTGCATTTTCGCGCACCAATTCGTGCGTTACGGAGTGCATGTTTAATTTCGTGCATTGGCGCGCAGAAAAACCTATATAGTAATTTAGTGTGAGGTTACGAAGCTTTGCGGACTTGTGAGAATGCGAGTAACAAACCAAGCGAGTTACAGAAACTGCGAAGGACTTACATGTTCAACGAAAGAAGTATCCTTTAACTGTTCGACCAATAGTCAGGCGCAGACTCCCAAACCTGTGCACAGAATAAAAAATATCATTGAAGACTCCTGTCATGACCGCTGCCGCTGGACGCGGATAAGTGGAATCGAGAGACATTTGACTCGCGTATTGTTCCGCAGGTCATGCGCATAGTACTCAAGAGAAAACCTAGACCGGAAGTCAGCGACAGAACGGGAGAAACAAAAGAGAGTCGCGCGGCTATGTGCTGAGTGGTGGAGGGGGTCGAAATCTGCGGAGTGGGGGACAAGGCGGCACGCGCACCCTGACCCCACTCTGCCCATCCTAGCCCCCACCACCACCGCTCAGCACGGCCTCGCGACGCTCGTTTGTTTCTCCCGTTCTGTCGCTAACTTCCGGTCGGGATTTCCCTCGCAGTACCGTATCACGAGGAGCTTCTCGTACTGACGTGTATTGATGCGTAGACAGCACAGTAAACCTATATCTACACGTAGTACCGCGTGACAGGCGTGTCATTCACTGTAAGAAATTCCGTACGAAGGCTGTTCAGAAGAATAACGCACAAGTACAGGGGTACGGAAACGGACTGTTCCGCATGAATTGATGTAATCGGGTACAGAGTACGGGTTTCCGTAGTTGAGGTACGGATGGTCTTGGCAAATCATTCACTAGACTCGTTCCGTATATACTTTCACCGAACTTACTTCTTCAAGTGTAAATGTTCAACGATATTTAAACTCCTAATCGAAAGTCAAGAATGAAAAACCCCTCACGTGGAACCAGCATATGAACGCGAAGCAACACCACGGCTGTTACGCTAAGATGCGGCCCGACAGGGTGCACCCGCCCACGTTAAATGCAAAATAGGGTATTTCGGGGGAGTTCCAGGAGCAACGGATAAATTGCTAGATGGAAAGCATGTCAATACGTTAACGTGTACATCGCACTATGAGACATAGTGGGGGTAATGAAACAGAAAAACCCCATAGAACGTTGCAAATTGGGTTACAAGTAAGCCTCTTTGCACGCGTCTTCTATTGACCCAAATGGTCGATTTGGCCCGAAGCACACGTCAAAATTTCCCTTAGGACTCAAATGCGGGGGCGTTAAAGGTTAAAAGGGTTCAAAATTTTCGAAGTTTCAATTTTGACAGTTAAAATCGTGCGACGAGTGGTTTCCGCATCATTTGAGGTCGGGGAATTCATTGGCGATGTCAGAACAACGATGAGGTCACCGGAAGTACCGGAAATGGCCGCCATTTTGGATAATGGCAGCCAAATTCTTCGGATTTCGAACGGCTCCGCAACCCGTCGAGTTGGGGTCGTTTCGATAGTTTCAGGGGTCTCTGAAGGCCACTGTGTTGTCAAATTGAGAGTATTTAACAGAGAAATACAGAAAAACAGTTCCTCATCTGTGAAAAATTAACCTGAACGATGCAGTGCTTTCCAGGATAAAGTGAAGGAAACGCAGTTTCTCTGCTTTGGTAAATTTAACATGTTTGATGCGCTGAAATGACGTCTGTTAAAATGTTAATATACTCTCATTTTAGGTCCAAAATTAATTTTTAACTGTCAGATCCCGATCTCAGGCGGGCTCTGCTGATCGGCTGCTTTTATAGTTTTATGGTGCGTTCGTAAACCAAACAGGACCGAACAGGGCCGAAAATGAAAATTAAACCAACTTTAAATTCTTTTTATTTTTCATTTATTAATATAAAATTGAAATCGGTTTCAATTTTAAATTCAGCTAATTTAAAAAAAAAACATTTCTTTTTACTTATTTGGGTGGCCCTGCAGGAGAATTAAGTACAAGAGCGATTCTCACGTTTCGGGGTAGTTTTGGCGTCGCTGATTTGCCGAAAGTGAGAAATATTCAATTAAGTTTTTCTGATTATTGGGGTCCTGGATGATACTTGAGTTATGGCAATGGTATTTATAGTAAAGACCTTGTACTACCTTCCTAAAAACATGAGCCATAAGGTATTCCCATACGTTTTAATGGGTGTTTTGATCACGGAAATTACGTTATCACGGAAGTTACAAAGTGTGAAAATCGGCTTTAACGGCTGACTCCGGCTTGCTGTGGCTTAAAAGTCGTTCCAGGGTCAAATGATACTCTAAGCCCGACATTCAAGCGGAAAAATTTTTCACCTAGTGCTGCTGCAACATTGGGTAAAGGGTGCCACGGAAGTTACAGGTAATTGTTGATACACGCCATTTTATAATGCTCTAGCCCGCTTTGAGACCGTGTACAGCATCTTACATTTCTGCGACCCATGCAATTATATCCCAGGGACTCCACTTTGATGGCTTGTGTCATGGAAAGTTAAAAGTTGGGCTTGGCGAGAAGTCCAGAGCTGCCTTTTCGAAATTTGTGTAGTGAAATTGAACATACGGTGGACATTTTTCGTTGCAGCACAAGTACCTTTGAAAGAAGTCTGGCGTATTGGTCTTCAGTTCAAATTAGCTCGAGACATGCCAAGCTTCGAATCCCCATCGACAGTTGGCAGCATTTTCGAACTACACCGCCACACTGGGGGTGGAAAGTTCGAGTATGTTCTCTTTGGACAATCACGGAAGTTACATTTGGGGTATTCCAAACGCTACGTAGACCAATCCAACGAACGTTAACTCTTCGAAATGTGTGCGTTTAGTAGGCAATGGCCCTCCCTAACATCAGAAGCAAACCCCATGTCGATATCTGCGCTCGTTTGGGCACAGGAGTCAGAAGAAACGAAACTACCCCGAAACGTGAGAATCGCTCACAAGCACCTGCTGGTATGATGGGTGCCTAGGCATAGGTTTCAGATAAGCCACACAAGACGAGACTCTCTTAACGAGGCTACATATTCAGGAGACGTTTGAGAAATTGAAAATTCGCCTCAATAGCCTCTGGCTGCAAGGCTGCTGAGCCTTCGCGCCAAACCACAAACCAACTGCCAGGAACTCTTCGCGGCAGGCGCGAAAAATTCACGACAGGCGAAGTGCTGGAGGTTCGCGACAAGCGACGAGTTCGCGGCAGGCGAAGCGCAAAAGGTTTGCGACAAGCGAAACGTTCACGGCAGGTGAATTGGCGGCAGGCGAAGCGTGAAGAGTTCGCGGCAGGTGACATTTCCAGCGATTTCATCGTTATTTTACCGTTTCTTTCGTAAAACACTCGTAATGAAACATTTCTTACCTTTTTTAAAAAAAAATAATGAAACATTAAGTAAGATTTTCACTTCATGGTGTCATAAATCAACTCGTGAGTTTGCTAAGCCACTTGTATCTTTAAGAAACTCATAGAAAAGAAATGAGGAAAAACTGGTTATTTGACAAAGTGTGTATTTTATCCCAAATTTTTCATGTATGGAACTTTTTATTTAACAGTGCACTCTGCAAACTTTGCAGTGCGCTCAGTACAATTTATTCGGCATGCACTTACAAGTGAGGGACGGTGGGGCTCAATGGGACACGGGGCGCAATGGGGCACATTCTAATTCGTCTCCTTCCGGTTACCGTGGGATCGCCCAATAACGAGGTGAGATAGCCCAGGAGTAGTAGACACGTTGATGCAAGGCGGTGACCCCGATCGACCCTCTCCCGCCAGGGCAGGTGACTACGAAGTTTACAAACACTAAAATCGAGGAAAATCCAGCATCGCCACTCGATTTATTATTACGTGCAGCTCTGAAGATAATAACGGTAGATCAGATTTTGAGACAGGGGCATGTTCCTTGACTCTTGCTCTAGTGACTCGCGTCGCCCCCGAGGGGTTACCCACTCCGGGAATCGTGTGTACACTAAGTCCGGAAATCGTTCTCAATTTGCACAAAATTTTATCGAAAATCTTTAAAGTTTCAATGGAGAGGGATATGAAATAGACACAAAACACTCAAAAGCTAAGAAAAATCTTCAAAAACCTCTCCTTTTATGCAACATTTGTTCAGGAATCGCGGGAATCCGGAATCGTGTGTACGCCCAAGTACCGAGCGGGTAACCCCTCGGTCGCCCCGCCGCCGGATAAGTTGGTCATGTTGCTAGACCGCGGCCGATCGGATGTGTCGTTCGGTGCTCAATGGGACAGACCCGGTCTGGACACAATGGGACTATCCACTGACTCTCACCCAGCCGAAAATTCTGCCTACACACTAAATGTTTATGTACAATTTTATACGTGGTGATGCATAATTTAAAACTTGTGTGCCGTCGTGCATAAAATTGTGCGTGAATTTGCATAAATTTATGCATTTTCACGCATAATTTTATGTAAATTCCCCAAATTCACAAAATGGTGCAAGTGGCACGTACAAAATTCTACATAAACATTTAGTGTGTAGGATTACGGACGGCTTTTTATCTTTTTCCGGCCAGTATTTGTATCTCCAGCCGGAGGCGGCTTTTATTCCGGTCGGTTTTCTCGAAATTTTTATTCCGGGCGGAACCATTTAAAATCTCCGGCCGGACCTAGGCCACCGCCCAGAAGGTAGGCAAAATTGTGCGACAATTAGGTAGGCAACCCGCTCCACTTTTTGGGGCATTTTGCGAACGGTTGGTCCACGGGCATGGCGATGGTGCCAGTCGACTCAGGATTAAAAATTGACCTTCCGACCCCCATCCCCACCCCCCCTCTCCTCGACACACTGCATGAGGTCGGAGCCCCGAACGAACTCCGCCCGGAATATTTTCCGGCCGGAGCTGCCCGGAATCCTTAATTGGGGACCTTATAGACTTATTCAAGGGCGCCTGTTTTGACCACCTGACGTGCGTAAATCGCTAGCCTGCAGTGGATTCAGCTTTTTTTTTTTCATTTTAAATTAGCAAAGACCACTTTCAGGGGTTGGTGAATCCTTTTTCCACTGGCATCGTAAGCGGCCCACTCCAAATGCCCAAAGGACACGACACTTGAAGCAAGGTAATCTTTGTGGAGAACCGTGTTGCGTTTGTCTTCCCGCGACTACCCGGCAAGGATTCCGGCTGGAATCAGATTTTCCGGGCGGTATTTGTATCTTCGGGCTGGATGTGGCCTTTGTTCCAGCCGGATTTTTCGGTTCAGCCGGCCATTTTTGAAGTCCGACCGGAATTTTTTATTCCTGTCGGAACAAATCCGGGAGGAATAACACTGAAAATTTGTTATCACTTTATGACAAAAACGTAGATTATATTTCATCACTTTCAAATGATGACAGTCCCATCACAAATTGATGACATTTTGACTGAAGCTCCTATACTTCTTGCATTGGCGACACAACAATGACATTCATTGCTTTGATGACATTGTTGTAAGGAAAATTAGCCTTGAAATTGTCATCAGGTGACGACTCAAATTTTCACAGTGAAGGGCCGCCAAGGATTCAAATTCCGGCCGTGGTCAGTGTTTCCAGCCGTAATCCTATCCGGAATTTTCAGTGTGGTTTTTGAGACGAGCGGACGAGTACACTGTAAAAAAATTTCTCGTAAAATAACGAAATTTTTTGGGGTAATTTTCTTTTACGAACTGTTCGTAATTTTACAAAAATGACGTTTATATACGACACATGTCGTATATTTATGAAATGTTTTCGGCCCATTATCAAGATTTTCAGCTTCAACAAGCGTGCTGTAAACAATCTTCCAAAACAATATTTTTTTTTTCTTCGTAACAACAACTGTTTCAGTTCAAAAAGTTTACGAAATGTTTTCATATATAACCGACAACTTCGCAAAAGAAAATTACCCAAAAAAATTTCGTTGTTTTTGGACAATATTTCGTAAAGCCTCACTGAACTTAACATTTCGTAGTGATATTGTCTGTAAATTCGCCGATTTGGGAAGATTTCCCTCTCTTTACGAAGTGATTTTGTAGGATTACGATACATTTTGTAATGATTTTGTATAATTGCGATACATTTTGTAAATTGACAAAACAATAACCTTTTTTTTATGAAACATATCGAGTAGTAATATTTCGTAAATTCACGATATTTTTTTACAGTGTAACGTTACATTGAGTCCGTTTCGTTACCTTGGCTGACTTATCTGTGTGTGTTGTTTTCTTTTGACATTGTTGCAGACTATGGCCTCCACATTATTCCGACACTTTCATCTGCTGCTGATAATACTGGCTGGGCTACGACAAACAATTGGTGCGGATCCCTTGGAGGTAGGAATACACGTTGGGATCCATGTCCAACACATAGATTCAGTCATATACAGAGGAACTTATAACATTCACTTCGTTGAGAATTTTCCACACATAAAAATTCAAAAAGTCAACCCATATATAGTTTCCCAAAATGGGAACTGTTCATCCATCGTGGGAAGTAATGGGAAGGTCCAACATGAAGGAGATGTGGCAAGAAACTTTAAGATCTTCTGTGACTTTGTTCGAATGGCCGAAGAGCTTCAGAATAATGCATATTTGCTCATTCAGAATTTGACGCACAGACAGGTAGACAACAGCCAAATTCGAAAAAGAAGAGGCAGCGTCCTCGAAGACCTGGAATGGCTGGGGGGAGCTATTTGTTGCATGAATGCTGCAAGTTGTTGCTGAATGTTGCAAGTTCGGGGCGATTTATCAGCGAATCCGTGAGGGTTAAAATTCAAACGAGCATAGATTCTTGAAGTACTCTACAAGACCTTCATTTTAAGACTAGGCGGACCCCAGTGGGTCGAACGGTTGGCCAGCAGCGAGGCCGCAAAGTCGGTACTTCGTGCCACTCGGCTGTTCAATGTTGCAAGTTCGGGGCGATCTATCAGCGAATCCGTGAGGGTTCAAACGAGCATAGATTCTAGAAGTACTCTACAAGACCTTCATTTTAAGACTAGGCGGACCCCTGTGGGTCGAACGGTTGGCCAGCAGCAAGGCCGCAAAGTTGGTACATCGCGCTACAAGCTGCTGTTGCCAAGTACCAAGTTTTAGATTGTTTGAAAACGCTTACGAGGGACTATTATTATGTTTTTTCTTCATTTTGAGTCAATTTTTAACTTGTGTATGTATTTTGAGAAGAAAGGACTTTGGTGAATGGAAAAGAGCTTTGGTGGCTATGGTGGCCACCAATTTGGTGGCCACCTTCACGCACGTCCGACTTTGCGGTGCGAAGGTGTAAACGCGAAGCGTGGATTGTCGGAACTGGCGCAGCAGCGCGAAGTCTGTTTCGAAAAGCCTGTCTGACGTATTCTTACCTTGTTTGCACACTGCTACTGAAGATAAAAATCACAAATCTATTCAGGCGTGTTAAGCAGATGGTAGCAAGTTTGTCAAATTCTCTGAACCACTGCAAGAATTTCACAGTTCGGTCGTTTACGTGATTTGGAAAACTTGAAGTATCTCTGTAAGCACGTCCAAAGAAAGTTCAGAAAACGTTACTTTTGTAGCCACCGTGTCTTTCCAAAAACAGCACTCTTAAAAGCCGACGAAGCATTTGCTTCATAACTACGAAGAAAATGAAGGCATTGCGGAATTGCTTCGTATTATGAAGAAGTGCTTCGTATTACAAAGGAGTTTGCGAAGCATTTCTTCGTAGATTTTACAATGCCTTCATTTTCTTCGTATTACGAGGCGACTCTTCGTTGAGTTTTTACTGTGCTTAGTATAAAAAAATCGCAATTCTCATTGTTTGGCGTAAGCCAAAATTAAGGGTCTCGAGCGTGTATGCGCGAAACCTTTGCCAAATCCGCTGAAAATTGCGGTCTGTACACTCCAAACTATGTGTTTTGGAAGTATTTTCGAAAAATCGTGTTATTTGCAACGGTTGCCTTCAACTCTAGGTTTTATATATATACGAGCTTTGTAATCCAACGATATGCGGTCAAATCAGATCTTATTTTCCTCGTGAGCCTAGGATTTCATGAATTTAATTTTTAGTACAGCAAGTCACAATAGCAACAGACTCAAATTAATGTCAAGTTTCAGAGTGCTTCATGGGCACTTCCTAAAAATTTCCATTTGAAGCCTGCTTCCTTGCAATCACCTTAATTATTGCATTCTAAATACTCGAGCTCCATAGGATCGTAAATAAGTAGAAATTTTATGAACTCGCACTTGGTTTTACTTCATTTGTCTTTTCCCTTCAAATAGCCAAACCAGCAGGTACTTGAAGAGGTCACAGTCATGCGCAGCCGGAGACTTGTGGCTCCAATTCCTCTGCAGCAATCTACACTCTAAATGTCTTACAATGAAATTTGACCGATGTTATTCGTATGTTTCAGTGAATTCGTTGTGGTCAAAATGTTCGCCAAGACACAAAAGGATGCTGGATTTATGAATGAAGAACAGTACGTGCTACTAGATACTACAGCCAAGACCTTCGTAATACGAATCTTTTTAGCTTTTTCATTGTATGATACAAAGAAAAACCTTCGTAATACGAAGAAAAACCACCTTCGTATTATGCTTGCGCCATTTCCTTCATAATATGGGAAATTTCTTCGTCAGACATTTAGAGTGTATCCTTGCATGTGTTTTTTAATCAATTTGAATAATTTTCTGAAATAACTTCGTAAAATTATTTGTTATTGTCCCAGTGGCGTCTAAGTGATTTGTCAGTCATATGTCTCAACAATCCGAAGTGTGGACTGGACAACCAGGCATTGCTCCTGCTCGGGCAGGTCGGGCTGGCGTCCGTAATGGAGACAAAAAGACAAAGTCAGCATTTTGCATGATGCCGCACAGTCACTCCGCCAAGTTTGGCGGGTAGCGTCCTTTGCCCCAAATTCGTAGAGCACAAAACTTACGTCTTGGGGAAAAGCGCAGACTGCTGGCAGCTCGCGTCTGCTGGCGTAAGCCATCGCCATCTGAGTACACGCTAGTAAGAGTGTACTCATGAGCGACACTCTAACTAGTGTACTGAGTACACTGTTGAGTTTGCAGAGTTATCGCGCTGCGAGCCGTGGGGAAGGGGTGGGGAGGCCGCCAGAGCATTGCGGCGCGAGGGGGCAGTGCACCCGGCCGCGGCCAAAGCCACGCGGCGAGGCACGTCAGTAACTTTAGCACGGCCCGCCATGTGGGTCATCGTGGTGTTCTGTGCCCTCCTGTCCTCGGCGCTCGGTGCCCCGACTCCGGACGATGACATCTTAATGTACCTCTCCGAGTATGGACTCCTTGCCGAAAACCCTTCGTCTCCTCGCAACCTTCACAGCAATATGGAAGATTACATCTCTGTCGCCCAGCGAGAGTTGGGCCTAAACGCTACCGGTGTCCGGACGAACAAACTGCAGAGATTATGCGCAGGCCGCACTGCAGGGTCACTCGCTCCTGGAAATCGGGCACGTCGCGCCACCGCCGTTTCGCACTGGGAAATTCCCGGTGGCGAAGGACTCCAGTGACGTACAGGATTTCCAATTTGGACCCAACAGGCCAAATTAGTGACACTCAAGTTATAGATTCCTTTCGCCGAGTGACAACCTTAGTATCTGCCTTCACACTCGTAGATTTCGCCGTGCACGATTCAAACAGCGCCTTCCATCCCGAGGTGGCTGATATTGTAATAAGTTTCGTGCCGGATGTGCATGACTGCGTGTCGCACTTCAAGGGTCAGTTCTAGCCCATGCTACCTGTCCTGGGCAGGAGGCGACATCCACATCCGCCAAAACCTCAACTGGACAGAATTCATCTTCGACGCAGTGGTGTGGCATGAATTTCTTCACGCTCTGGATGTTGATCATTCTGAATTCAAAGACGCTTTGATGTTCCGGTCATATCACGCTCCGAGGCAAGCCGGAATCTTCTTCACACCGGACGACATGAAAGCCGTACAGGCATTGTATGGGCGCAAGGAAAATTAATGTCGGCGGGTGAAGTAAGGAGAAAAGGAGGGTAACTTTCGAAATTTTAACGAAGTTTCGAAATAAATGGTGTTTTCTTTCATTCTAAAAACCGCTGTTTTTCGCTGTGTTCCAGATTTTGAGAAAGGACTACATGCTTCGAGACTACGATTTTATTTTCTGTGATACTTCGGATTGAATATTATTGAGTGTCAAGTAAACTTGGTTTTAAAAACCATTAATAACTGCCCTTTTCGTTCTCTCTCTTACAGTAATAAGAGTGGCAGATGCACCAGGTGTAAAGGTGGACATGTTGACTTAGAACACATTCCCCAAAGGTTGACAGAAAATAAAAAGCCATCAATATCAGACGGACACGTATCCCTATCTAGTAGCTCACTGTCCAACGTCGATGCGAGCTCTTCCAATGAAATAGAGTATGACTCCGAAAGTGTTACTTCTGAATCAAAGTCTCAGTTGCAAACAGCGACAAAAGCAATAAACGGAAGGGTGGTGGAACCTCCGAAGAGTTTCCACTGAGGAAGAAGCTTCACAGATGAAGACGAGCTGAAAGGTTCAGAAAAGAAACCCAAAGGCCGCAAAAAGGAATCGCCCCTTGCAATAAAGCAATAAAACAACTGCGAAGGCTCTTTCTAAGGGCATTCGTCCAAGTACACTGACAACTGGGCGAGCAAACAGTGCAAGCAACCAGATAAGTGGAGATTGGAGTTGGAAAAAGCGTTTAACAAGCACGTCAGCAAAAGTCACTGCAAATTCTGCTTCAAAAACGCACAAATGGCTTATCGGTCTCAGGACGGGAGAGTTACTGTTCTCGCATGCGGCTACTGATCTACTGGTGTATGTAAATCATACCGAATGAGGATGGGTCCGTTACCGCAAAATTCAACATTTGCAGTGGATGTCCACTCGACGGGAAAAGTAAACCATGACGAGCCACTGACAAGAGTCAAGCAAAAGAAAGGCATGACGCGGAAGATTGACCAAAAACGACTGAGATTCATGTTGCCCAAGCAGTATCAAAAAGAGCACATCAGAACTTTGCCAGCCGAACATTGGGGCATAAGAAGGCTGCCCTCTGTGTGGTGGTCACAGTTGCATCCCAGCCAGCATAATGAGCGCTACGGACGTCCACTTTGCTTCCCTCATTCAACTTGCTGTGGATTACGACAGCTTTGACATCATAATCAGCGATACTTTCCCGGAGAGAACGCCGAAGAATATTACTATCGCCTGCCTGCTGCACTGGTAAAACTAAAGCGTAGTTGTGCGCTTCATTCAAGCGTACAACTACGCTTCAAGACTGTACGCCCTTCTTGAAGCCTACAACTACGCTCCAAGGCAATTCCCCCATGCATTTAGATAGGAAGAAAGGAGCGCATGAATTCTTGTACGCTTGAAGAAGGGCGTACTAGCTGTACGCTTCACGAAGGGCGTAATAGTACGCCTTAGTTTTACCAGTGTGCTAATTGTTTGGCCGACCATTTTCGTCAACGGTGAGTTTACCATCTCTAGTTTACCCACTCTTAGTTTTTTTGCACAGCTTGGGCCATGCTTTAAACGTCAATTCAAATGTGTTTCAGACATAATTGGTACCGTGAAGCGTATCGAAACATTTTTGGATTCGTATTCCTCTCGTACCCGCATTGACTTGTCGAAGGTCTGGATCAGTGTTGTCGCCGCCTGTAAACGTTCCAATTGGGCTGCTGCATATCCGGGCGTTTCGGACGAGGCGGAACAATGGAATCTAGCCAAGGAACATCCGACTCTCCAAAACGGCATGAGGGCAGTCCCCAGTGTCCGGTTCGCCCCAAAGTTCTTCGTCTGATCATTCCATGAAAAACTCTGTACGCCCCCCCCCCCTAACAGTGGAAAGACTTTTTTCGGAAATGTACTTCAGGGCGTTATGCTCAGTGTGGGTGTCGTTGAAAACTGCAATAGGTATCATTCTTTTCCCTTTCAGACGTGTGTAGACAAACGACTATTGTTTTGGGACGAGCCCCAGTTGCCTAGTTCTGATTCTCTGGAAAATTTAAAATTGCTCTTTGGCGGCTATGCCATAAATGTCAACGTTAAGTACAGAAATGCGCAGCTCATAAAACGAACACCTGTTCTTATCATGACAAATAATCAAAATTTCCCCTCCAGTGACACCGTTTGGTCCACTAGAATTATGCGTGAACGTTGGACCAGTTGTCCCCAACTAAGCAAATCTAAGACAGGCTCATCCTATGGCGCTTTTCGAACTGTTTGATATGTATGACGTTGATATTACAAAATCATTAATTGAATCTGAAGAATCAGAAATAGACTTGTCCGATGTGTAACTGTCCGGCACACAAAATAATTTAACAGCGTAACAGCGCCCGGACTTCGCGATGACGTTTCCCGTGACCTGTCCCTGGGTGATCCCCCTACTCAGTTCAGAGGATTCCCATGAGACCCCATGGACCTGGAGTTGCGCTGCGCCCGGACTTCCCGATGACGTGTCCCATGGCCTGACCCTGGGTGATCCCCCTACTCAATTCAGAGGATCCCCATGACGATGGACCAGCTGCCGGACTGGGGCAGGAGAGTAGAAGCCTCCACGTGTTGCCCAGAGGGGTTAAGTGGAGGCTGTGCCGGTGGCCAGCCGGCAGCAGGCTGGGGCGCCACAACCGGTGCATGCCTCCCTTGACAATCTTGCTGTGCCTGCGCCTTTCCAGACGCAGTCAAGCCAATTAGAGGAATCCAACAGCGCCACTTTCTACACTGGACAAGAAAATGCAGGGAGAGCTGGACTGGACCCGGACACGGCAAATAGCCGCTCCTGTTTTTCAGAATCGAGTTCCAATGACATCTGTCCTGTCAGCTGCCAATCGTGAAGGAGCGGCCCAGGTCGCTTTGACGAAGGGAGTGGTTGCGGAGCGAGCCAACCAGGGCGGCCGCTGCTGCGGGCCGCGTGCGAGACGCAAGGGCAGTGGCAAGCCCCCTGTAAACAAACAGTAGAATGATAGCTGTAAAGCGTAACTGCTTTGTACTGCACGCCGTGTGGCACAATGATTCCCTCCGCTGCATCGTCGCTTCCTATAAGGACACTTTGTGTTTCTCTTCAGGCTAGCGAAATAGGGTACCGTCCGTTTCGGACGTAATGCCCAATGCCCCTACAGGGCATGGCGGAGACTGACGGAGACGCCGACGACGCAGATGAACCCTATGACAACTCATGTAAGTTTGGCGTCCACGTGTTCATGTCGTACATGACTGCTCCTACAAGGCCCGGCGATGCATGTGTGCCCTTCATAAACCCCTCCAGCATGGAATCTTCATTAGGAACTGGGGATATGTACACCCCACATCATCTTACACCCGGCGGCACTTCTGGAATCTCCTACAATATGTCTCTGTTTCCGGTGGGCGAGTGCTCCGCCGTTGCGTCATTGGAGGCATCGACTATGGCTACGACCCAAGTACCGGACGGTTCAATATCGAGCTGACGTTGTTTCCGTCGTTAGACTACATCAACAAATACAGTCGGCAAGCTCAAGAAAAAAACTTCTGGCGGCATCGGATCTGGAAAGTCTGTTTGCCAATCTGGAACCTGGCGAAGAATCTGCATCCGGAACTTCATCACGCCGTCATCACCCTCTGCAGGGCCTGTACGAGGACAAAAAGCAGGACGACGGGTTCTGGGCGGAGGACTCCGACCCAGAAGGCGAGGAACCGCAGGGAGGCGATTGGACACCCGAACCCCCCAGAGGAACCCCTTGTAGAGGGACCGCAGCCAGGCCTAGAAGCCCCACAGAAACCTCTTGGCGAGGAACTGTTGCCCCCACCAACACCCGAAGCCCCCTCAACCCTCCCACCCAACCCCCGAACCCGAGGACCCACAACCGAGCCCTAGCAGAGCTAACAACACTAGCTTCTGCCATGACCCGTATACCCAAGACAGGGCGCACGTAGCAGTTTTTGGCGACCACTACTATGTGTACATAGGTGAGTCGGAAGATAAGCAGGAGTTGTTTGGACCTAGAGAACAGGTCTCCGTCTATCCCTGAAGAGGAAAGGGACCCGGATTTGGACTACACTCCGGCGTCCCCACCCCAAGGCCCACCAGCCCTTTCCCTCAAATAGAGGTCCCAGCAGCGTTAAGTAGACCCGCAAGCCTGTACTTGTACACTGCAAAGCCAGTGGTAAGTTTGCTTGCCACTGTAAACTGCATAATACTGCCCAACGAGATACGCGAGGATAGTATATTTTATGATCCTTATGATTTTTCTTACCTTAAACGTAACGTAACTTTTGCCGATGAAATGTTGCCAGTCCCTTTGCATTTGAAGCTTGAATTACCAGTAGATTACTCACGTGTTTTTGCTATCACGGGGGAAAGGCAAGCCCCTGTTTCCAATCAAAAGTGGGTAACTTCCTCGTCATGGCGTAAGAAAAGGGCATTTGATTCCATTGGCAACGCCATGAAGTCCCTGTTTGGTGTCATGAGTAACGCAGATAGGCTAGTAATTGACAAGCAGTTTGATAAAGTAGCAGTTACGTTAGACGGTTTGGTACGAGTGCAAAATCAGCATGCCTCCGTGGCAAACCTAACCTTGCAAAGGTTAGCGGTGCATGACGTAATTATTAAGAACTTGCAAGAATTAGCTGATCAAGATTATGTCTTTATTTTTAAGAATATCAAGGAAGGGCGTGAATTCGGAGCTCGAATGCGCTTGGCTCATTCGGTCATTGCACGAATGAGGGCTGAAATCAAGGCATTCATGATAGCATACGAATTCGCTCAATTCGATAATGTGTTAAGTCCCTCTCTCATAGACCCTCAGGCTTTTGTAGCAATTTTGTCAACCTTGCAACCTACCTTGCCTGCAGGTCTGTCGCTGCCCGTGCCGGTGCAATTGACGAAGGTGGATGCTTATTACAAGCTCATCAAAGTCACTCCAGTGGTGACGTCAGACACCATGAGTCTGCATATCCACATCCCCTTGGTCATGGCCTCACGGAAGTTTCAACTTTACGAGATCGTCCCGTTCCCGTTCCGAGTCGCTGGCACTGACATCTACACCTACTACAAGCCGGACGCCAAGTACATTGCGGTAAACGATCTGCAAACTGAACATCTCCTTCTGACGGAAGCAGATATGAAATCCTGCTACCCAGCCGTAGAGCCCGTCTGCCATCCGGCAGCCCCATCAAGGAAGGAGTACAGCTGCGCCATGGCCTTGCTTATGTCGGACAAGGACAAGGTCGACAAGCTCTGCGAACCACTCATCATGAAGAATGCGGCGGCCTCCTACGTCTCCTTCAGAGGAGGCAACACCTGGGCGTTCTCCATCCCCAATCAACAGCGCTTCACTTTGATGGACGCCCTGGGCCGCCCCATCCGAAGCACCATCACTACCATCGGTGGAAGCGAACTCATCCACATCCCACCATACTCCGTGGCCATGATTGGCAACGACGCAGCACTGTACTCCGGCTCCACTTTCGAGTCCAGGGCGGAGCTCATGGACGACGTCGTGTTTCCGGACATCGACGTGTCCCTGCCGCCCCTCATCAACATGACGGAGAGGCGCAAGGCGGCATTGATCCAGCTGGACGTCCTCTTCAACAAGTCTGCAGCCCTAGGCATGGGACAAGTTGTTTCGCTTAAGGCGCTGGAAGCTTCACTGGAGGAGTCCTGGACTTTGCCTAGCATCTTTTGGCGCGAAAACTTGACTACAGCTTCGGTAACGGGAACCCTGGTAGCGATCCTCGTGGTCGTTCTCTGCTGTTGTGGTTGTGTTGCCAGGTACTGCCCAGGGGCATTTAAACTTTGTTGTTTGTGCTGCCCCGGTGGTCAGGTGGCCACAGCACCTGCAGCTGCAACGTCACTAGCCCCCATTGCGATGAGAAAATTTGAAACTTCCGAGGAAACCATAAGGCCTAAACTTTATATTCGCCCACCCGAATATTAATAAAAAAAACCTTCCTTCACTCATTGCACCGTGACGGACACTGCTCTTTTTCTTTACAGGTTTTACTTGTATACTTAATCCTTTTGTACTCTTTATTTTACTCTTATCATGTAATCAACTACTCGCACTCTCGGTGCTCTGATGTTCTTTTTGCATCTTTTATACTTTTATACTTTTATATCTTTTTATACTTCTGTACTTCTTTATTCTTCGTTCAATATATGTTTTTCCATGTATTCTTGACGTAAGTCTTACCTTTTTTCTTGTTTTTGGGGGAGCCGGGGGGAAGTGTAAACTGCATAATACCAGTTATGCTTTGTCTGGTACTGTACGAGCAAGTGCTGTACGTGTTTACTTCCCCAGCAACATGGGGCTCTGATAAAGATGTGTCCACTTTGTACTTACTTTGTCGGCATCGGCTGACCCGGCCGACCTCTCGGTACACTGGTTATTCCCCCCCTACGTGGGAACGTGGGTCGAGCGTATTTAAGCTTGGGATCATGCACTCGAGGCAGAGTCGTGTCCAGTCTGCCTTCGAGCCCGTCCCATGTCGACTCTCCCTGGTAAGCGCCAATAAACCATATACTCTGCACTCTAGTTTCCTTGAGTAGTACGCCCCATACCGCTGGTTACACTCCATGTGTCAAGTATGCGTTTGTAAGTGTGTACTTGCAAGCATGCATTATTTGTAAGTGTGTACTCAGTAGACAGTTAGGTTTGCAGAGGAGTCAAATGTGTGGCCTTCGTACATAACAGCGTATGTACTGTGGGATTCCCTATGAAGATACGTTGTTGTGTCAGATGGCGTGGCCGCCATGATGGCGCAAGGGGGCGACACTGTGGCGCCAATTTCGGGCGAGGCACCCGGGGATTCGGCCGAGGGCCACAGGGTCGCGGTCCCCCCAAGAAGAAAAAGGGGAGCGTTATCAGTGCAGCAAGCTCTGGCACTGGGCGGCGGAGTGCCGCGGCGGTGAGGCAACAAAGTCCAATCGTCAGCAAGCAAAACAAGGAAGAAAATATCGAGACCGGAAATGGGGTCGCAAAGGTCCCAGCACCGAAGGAGCACATGTAGGCTACCTGTGGAACTCAGACACCGGTCTTCCCAAAGAACACGAAACGCTCACAGTGACGTCATTTTGATGTCAATATGACAAATTTTAGTCAAAATTTGGACAAAAAAACATCATTTTGACGTCATGTTGACGTCCTTTCACTGCTTCGTGTTCTTTGGGTTGCCTTGCGCACACGGGGCGTCCCGTAGACGTGCGAGAGAGACAGAGCAACGAGATGAACCTTTCGAGACACAACAGAGAGACAGCAGCCACCGAAACAAAGACGCTCACCCGTGAGCGAAACCTTCTGAAACCCAGCAAACGTCCTGGTTTAGGATGCGTTGTCTCTCTCCCTCCCGCGAGATGAAGAGAAGCACCTCATCCGATACCAACACGCTCCCTCGGTCTCCGATTTTCCCTCGAGAAGACTAGCGGTGCGTTGTCGCAAGCTTGCTCCAGAGCAGCAACTCTATTCCCAAAAGTAGTTCTGTCGCTCTGTCTCTCTCGCACTTCGCGGGCAGAACGCAGTGGTGCGAGAGAGACAGAGCGACAAAACGCTTGTTGTGAACAGAGCTGCAGGCTGCTTTCGGAGAGACGTTTCGTTTCTCAGTCTCTGTCGCACTCATGCGGTGTCCGTAAGTACGAGAGAGAAGGAGCTACGAAACGGTTCCTCGTGAGCGCTGTGCTGCCAACCGCGTTACCGCACGAAATTCATAATCCAACTGGCGCTGACGCATTTCGGTTTCGGACGGCCATTGCTGCGAAACAGCCAAGCTGTGTGAATATGTGTGTGTGTGTGTGTGTGTGGAGGGGGCGGGGGAAGGGGGGAGTACGTTGTCGACGGAGAAACGTGAACGAACACGGCAAAAACAACGTCCGGGTTTCCCAGGCGCACCCTGGAAAAATGTCCTGTTTTTCCAGGCTGCGCCCGGGAAACCCGGACGTTGTTTTTGCCGTGAAATACAGCAAAACGACCAGATGTCCCCAGGGCATCACACACCAGCGTATGGATTATTTGTGCCAAGATCAAATAAGTCGATACGAGTCCAGTAGGTCGTGCGTACGGACTTCTTTAACCTTCGCTCAAAGAATAAATTACGCAGGTGTGACTAGGCTTGGAAGCAACTGCTTGGCTATGCAGGGGAACTAGCGGACAACTCTAACGGCCACACACACACACACACACACCCTGGCTTTCCTTGTTTCCACACGTGCACTCGTGAGGGTTAAAGTGTGAAACACACACACACACCACGCACGCACTTAAAATGCGTGCGTGATGGGTGATTTTTCTGGGGAACAGGGCACCCGTGACTGAGTTGTTTCGCAGCAATGGCGTCGCTCCCTCCCGTCCACCGAACAACAAATGCGTAACCGCCACTTGGACTACGACTTACGTGCACGAACGCAGGCTGCGGCGGGCTCAGAGTGCTGCAAGTGCACTGGGCTGAATCGGAACAGTGCTGTCGCCGCTCCGTCTCTCTCGCTCGCAGCCCGCACCTCGCGGGGGTGCGAGAGAGACGGAGCGACGCCACTGCTGGAATTCAGCCAGCCGTCTGATTCCGAACTCTGCTTCGTCGCACCCCTACGGACCGCCCCATGAGTGCGAGAGAGACAGAGCGACGAAAGCAGTGTTCGGAATCAGACGGCAGGGAGCAGGCCCACGACGACGGAACGGCGGACGGCGTCCTACAGCGGACTGATTCACAGCGCCGCTTTAGTCGCTCTGTCTCTCTCGCACTCGGCGGGCGAACCACGTAGGTGCGAGAGAGACAGGGCGACGAAAACGACGCCCTGAATCGGACTTCAGACCAGTGGCGGATCCAGAGACGGCCTGAGGGGGGGAGTCAAAGTAGCACATGTTGCCTACTTACAGGGCGGCTATCTAGAGGTCCAGGGAGGGGCAGTTGTCCGTTTGCCCCCCTCTGGATCCGCGCTTGCTTCAGACGCACGGTCTCCGTTGGCGCCTGCACGGCTGATTCCGCGCACTGCACCCATCGCTGTCTCTCTCGCACTCACGGAGCGCCCCGTAAGGGTGCGAGAGAGACAGCGAGCTGGCGGGCAGCGCGGCCGCGCGGCGCCTCGACGACTAGAAGAGCGTCGAGGCGCACACCGCCACGGCCGCGGCCAGACTGAGGCCACTGCGACGAAAAGTGAGGGTCCCAGGCGGGAAGGAACCGAGTCAAGGGAGCAGAGGGCACGCGCGTGGAAGGAGGGGAGGCCGAGTCCGGGCGCCCCGACGTCCGTTTCTCTGTCACTCCCGCACGCGGCGCCTCATGAGTGCGAGAGAGAAAGACCCCCCTCTTGCTGCCAGCCTGCAGAGACGTCCCAGCGCTGCACATGCCTGCTATCAGACCGTGGGACGAAAACAGGCCGGGAAGCGGGGGAAGGGGGGGGGAGGGTAGCATTGGGCGCGGCGATATTCGGGCAGGTCAACCGGGTCACCTCGTCCCCCACTTATCTTCCTCGGTCTCTCTTTCTCTCTCTCCCTCTTTCTCTCTCTCTCCCTCTCTTCTCTCTCTCTCTCTCTCTCTCTCTCTCTCTCTCTCTCTCTCTCTCTCTCTCTCTCTCTCTCTCTCCCTCTCTCTCTCTCTCTCCTCTCTCTCAAATCTGAAATCTGAAAATTCAGACTACTTTTCTGAGACTTGGTGGTCTGAATCTATATTTCAGACTTGTTTTAGACCACACTGCCAATCCAAGTTTGTAGGCGTGGGACAATTTGTCTCACGCTTGCAAGTGTGAGACACGGTTTGTCTGACACTTGCAGGCGTGGGACCCGTGGCATTGAACCACGAGCTAGCATAGGCAGCAAGTGTGGGACAAACTGGCGTCTCACTCTTGCAAGCGTGAGACAAACGTGGCTCACACTTGTAAGCGTGAGACAAAATGTCCCACACCTACAAGGGTGAGAATGTCTCACACTTGGATTGGCAGTGCACTTGTCTAAAAAGAATACATTGCAAACCTAACTGTCTACTAAGTACACACTTACAAATGCATGCTTGCAAGTACACACTTACAAACGCATGCTTGGCGCCGTATAGCTCAATGCGTCAAGCATGCGTTTGTAAGTGTGTGCTTGCAAGCATGCATTTGTAAGTGTGTACTTGCAAGCGTGCATTTGAAAGTGTGTACTTAGTAGACAGTTAGGTTTGTAGTGTAGGCTGCATGTCGGTATGAAATTTGCGACCTTCAGGCGTCTGCAAGCCGGTTCCGAGCACCACTCGACACTCGAGAAAAGCAGGAGTAGCGCGCACACCCGACGCGCGGTGCCTACACTCCAAATCCAGGGTGTCTAGAAACTATACGCCTTAGGCGTATGCCACAGAAATGGAACTGCCTTAAGGCGCCTTGATTCTACACGCCAAAGGCGTATACCCCATTGAGCACCTTTTGCAGATAGAAGTTAGCATGTGAGCACCATTGGTCGAAGGAAAGGTGCGTGCATTGTACACACCCTGGATCATAGGCACTGAGCTCAACAGGACTCAAGGTGCGTAGAATGTAAACACCCTTTAAGGCCTCGGTAGCCATGGCCTCGGACAAGGGCGGTGTTTGCATTCAACGCACCTAGAGTCCTGTTGAGCTCAGTGCCTATGATCCAGGGTGTATACAATGCACGCACCTTTCCTTCGACCAATGGTGTTCACATGCTAACTTCCATCTGCAAAAGGTGCTCAATGGGGTATACGCCTTTGGCGTGTAGAGTCAAGGCGCCTTAAGGCAGTTCCATTTCTGTGGCATACGCCTAAGGCGTATAGTTTCTAGACACCCTGGATTTGGAGTGTAGAGAGGGGGAGGGGGTCGGGGCCGCTGCACGATGCGTGCTTAAGTCTCAAGTCCGCGAGTACGTAGATAGATCGCTGCGCGGCGCGGTGGGGCGTGGCGTCTCCAGAGGGGGCCGGGGCACTGCGCGACACATGGTACGCACTTCGTAGACAGATGAGGCGATGCGCGGCGCGCGCGACCCGAGCACCCACAGCCTCCCGTACAAGAGAACTACACTCTAAATATGGGGTGCCCAGAAACTGGGTGCCTTTGTCGCCCGCCCCACTTTTTAGGGTGCCAAATGTCGCCCAGTTTCTGGGCACCTTTGTCGCCCAGTCTCGGGTGGACAAATCATACAGTAACCGTCCCTCTCCCATGGTAGCCAGCATGCCAATGCTATCTGCAGAAAAGGTCTCAATGGGCCCCGACTAAGGGCTTTGGCCCTAGATTCTGGGCACCTTTAAGGCACGTCTCCAGGTCGCTGTGAAGCCAATAGTGAAGGCGTTAAAAGTTTCTTAATACCTGGTTTGTCCACGCCGAGGGGGACGTTGGGGTTTCGACGCGAGTACCGAGAATAGATCGCTGCGCGGACGCTGGGGACAGTTTGGCACCCAAAGTGGGGCGGGCATTGCAGCAACATGGCGCACTTCTGACTAGATGCTGCGCGCACCCCACTATTTAGAAGTGACTAGCGACGCGCGGCGAGGGCACCCGCCGAGGGCAAGGCCGGGGATGGCTCAACCAGCAGAGGTGCGGCTGTTCCGGTAGGTTCCGGGGCAAACTTTCATAGCCTTCGTTGAATATAGAGGCCAATTCTCAAGATTTCCAAATTCGAAGAGGACTTGGAAAGAGGAAGAAAACTTAAGTCTGAATAAGACATTAATGAAAAGTGCACAGGTATAAGCCTTTAAAATAGTGTGGGTTATTCAAGTTGGGAAACTTTCACATTTATTTGGTATCTTCAAAGACGTCAACTTTAAATCGCTCGAAACAGTCCACTGCGGGCCAGAGCCCGCAAGTAGGCAACTTATCGGGCTTGTGCCTTTGGTGATGTTGGATGGGTTGTCTATCTTCTTGGCGCTGGGCACCTGGGCAGTGGTAGTCTGTGGAAACGACATCAAATTTGTTCCATCGTGAAAGCTGCCACGCATGTTTAAGTGTGAATTCATAGAAGCAGTACAAGTGTCGCGTTTTCTTTTAAATATGACGCCATGGTGGCACACGTTACCGTCAAGTAAACTAAAAAATTCCGTACTTTTGTACGCAAAATGTACCGAAAAATATAGTACGGAAAAGTAAGGAACGTCCGTACTCGTTTTTCTTACTTTTACTTTTTTCTAACCTTTTTCTTACTTTTTTCTTACTTGGTTTTCTTACTCTGTCGTACTTCTTTTTCTTCTTCATGTAATCGGGTACGGAAAAAAGTACGGAAGTTTCGTAGTAGGATAGGGTCGGACGATTCAAGCAAATTGTTGACCAGACATGTTCCGTACTTTTTTTTCTCGCGTGTGTCACGTTTGTGTTTGGTGTTCCAAGTCAGGGGGCGGCAACGGCCTAGAAAGCGCGTGAAGCCATGCGCGAGGAAGGTGCAGGGGTTACTTATTTTGCTTCGATTGGAAGATCTAGCCCATTGATTGCAAAACGCTTTGCGCAGATCAAAAGAGCACAAACTTTAAGGTGCATTAGGCGTAGTAGATTACCCGATACTTCCAATTCAACCGAACACAAGGGCGGAATCATTTACATCAACATGGCGCATTCCAGTTTTTCCTGAATTTTATGATTTCTCGTGTTTTTTTGTGTTTTCACTGCACCTTAATATAGGGTAGAAGTTGCGAGAAGGATCAGGGGTTACCTAAATTTCATGGATCTTTCCATGTGTGCAAGCGTTTATCAAAAAGCACCTAGTTTTCAGTGATCCGAACAAGTCAACCGCACTGGGCGGATCATCCTCACGCGCATCCCTAGGAAAGTTGCCTATTTGTCCAGTGCACCAAGGTACTGAGGAATCCACATGGACGGGTACAATTTGAACAACTGTGTAGACAAAGCTCATTCCAACATTTCTGTCTTTCCTCTTAGACTGACCCTTTGACTGTTCGATGTGAATCTCACAAGTTTGCAACTGCGTCTCTCTACTCTGCAGGGTTGCGTTTAGAAAGGCACCTAAAACAGGCCTCCGAAAATCGATGGAAAAATGACGTTCAAAAAGGTGATTTTTGCACCCCTGATTCTGGGCCAAGCAATCACCGCAGTCACTTCAGAATTTTTCATCGTGCACTTTGGACAGACTACTTTGATATTTTGGGACTACTGAATGCATACCTTGCTTTGTGTCCGTACGCTGGTGGGGTGATCCATGATTGGACCACCCTAACCTAACCTTAGCTAAAATAGCCATATTTTCTTGTCCTCACAACTCCAAAGTATTCGAGTTAGAGGTACCACTTTTGGTAGCCATATGACCAGTAAGGTAAACATCAACATTAGATTCAAAAATAGAAGTCAACCCATACTTAATTTCGATTTAGAGAAGATTATTTTAAAAGTGATCCATGTTTGGTAACCTTACCCTAACGATTCTTGGAAAAATGATCATCTTTTTGTACCGTCACGTGCAGCCAACATATGTGCACTCTGTCAGAAAATCTGAAAACTCAGTCACATGGTCACATTCAAACACGAAAACGATAGTACTACCTAAGTGTCACATTCGATTGGATGTGACATGACATTTTTGACAATGCGTAGTCACATTTGTCATACTGTCTGTGTCAGTTCGCTGGAACTAAAAGACTAAAATTTTGGGCTGAGGTGTTTTTTTGTCGCCAAAATTTGGGTGCGTACCATTTTTTGCTGAGCGATAGCGAAGCCCGTTACTCCAGTGCGGTTGACCAACGAATACTTCCAACGTTACTTTGCGAAAACTGTCCGTTCGGTCTGGTGAACGGCTAGAGTGGGCTGGGTGGATGTGTAAAAGTGGTCGGTGTGTTACTAGCTGACTGCTCCTGAATTCGGCTCGGCCCTCTGCGCAGCTTGCAGTTATTAGGAGTTCTTGGTGTCGGCACACGCAACAATACCTGCTCAAAGGTTCAGCTTTTATGCCGAACAAACCCAAAAAAGTGCCTGTCAGAAAAATCGAAGTTTTCTCAAGGTAGAATCACCGTTGTCTTGAAGTAAAGGGGGTTGGGGCGACATTGACCGCAGTCACTATCGGACAAGTTAAGTAATTGAGTGAACGCATGTGTCAAGGGTAAACGTGTTACTGTAGACAGAAGGAACTCTAACTAAATCAAGGGGGGCTGGGCCAGCCCCCAGATGCAACAGTAACGCAATTACCTGACATGGAAAGGTCAATGCTAACCGATAAAGGCATCGGCTACGCCAGTGCCAAGGTAGGTACGCCAGGCGCGGATTGGAGGAACAGGCCGCGAGACATCGCGAAGCCTGTTACGACAAGACGCGGTCTGGCGTAAACCTACCTTGTATCAGGCAAATTGGGGTGACGAAACCATTCTCATCCAAATTTGGGTCATAATAATATCTGACCATTTATGTAGCTACCCAAATTTGGATGAGGAAGGTTTTGTCACCTAAATTTGCGTGCTAATAATAATTCTCAGCAAATTTGGGTGATGAAGTGAACCTCGCCCAAAATGGGGAATTGATCAGCTCTTTTAAACTGTCAGAGTAAAATACAGTACATGAGTGATTCACAAAATTCATTAGCTGCTTTCTGTAAAAAGATGGGGAATACTGCTTCCAGCGCGAAACCGGTTGCGAGCGATTCAGCCAGGAGCTCAGGCACTTAAAACCGCGTGTGGCTGCCTGAGGCGCCAGTTGTTGGGTTGGCATCGCACAGTGAACGCTTCATTCCACACAGTCGACAGACGTTCAAACCTTCAAGATGGCATCAAAGAACGCCAGCGAACAGGTAAGGTTACACTCTCATTCGAGGAACGTGACACAATGCTCAAACGAACGTGACACTTTGTCACGAGACACTTTGTCACGTGACACTTTGTCACGTTCGTTTCAACGTGATGTCACGTTCCTGGAAACAAAATGCAGCGTTCAGAAAATGTTAAGCTGTATTTCGTTTCTTTTGGTTATACGCGCAATATTGTGGTCGGGGTCAATCACCATGCCTCATGTACAGCAGGGTGGAGCGCTGGAACTTAAGTCGAATCTTCCTTCACAGTGTGGGTGTATCAGGGCACTACAGGAACAGGGACCAAATTTTTTTTAACCCTGGAAACCTTTTTACTACTTTCTTGACGGCCCCAAAGTTGTGTCCAAACGTAAATATTGCACTTCTTCGGGCATAGCGAAGGAATCACGCTTAAAATTGATCTGATCTTTTCTGATCTCGTGCGAAATGGAAATATGACAACCCAACAGCGTTGGCCCGTCTTTCTGCCGCCACATAGTTATTAGAGAGTCGGATTGACACGACGCTCCTTCTTACCATCCCAGACTGACCACTTTCGGAGGAATTCAGTATCATGTGATTTTCCTATCAAAGTGTTTCCCTTTGCTAACAAAGAAATCGGTGACGTACGCATTGCATTTTAGAAAACTAGTTTTATTTATGTTACAGATTGATCCCGCGTTCGCGTTCCTTGCTCGTTTTGTAGCTGCCAGTATGAGTCAGGCTCCAGCCAAAACTGAGCCTAGCTCACGAGGACAAAGTCTCCCAGTACACAGCGTTGGCCGTATTCCTGAAGAGGCTAGTGCGTCGACCACTCCACCTTCGGGCACACATCGGAAAAGGTCGCGAAACGATTGCTCCGATTCTGACGTCAAAAACCAATGTGCGTCTGCTTCGGCGTCCCCGGCCGCAGTTGAGTCTGCTGAAGATTTGGCGAATCGGGCTTGGCATGCTGTCAAGAAGGACATTCCTTGGTTCCCCTGGAACTGGGAGAATCTGTGCGGGACGCTGCACAGTACTGTAAACGGGGAAATGGGGCTCCTCACCTGCCCTCTGTGCACAAAATCTGTTGAGACAAAGCGTACAGATAAGAAAAAAGCGTGGTCAGTTTTGGATTTCTCAAAACACGTACAGGAGTGTCTTATATCTCGATTTTATAAACGTGTATTCGCTGGCAAAAGTCCAACTCAGGCTGAACTACGGGAATACTTCATAGATGCTTAAGAATAAAGTGACTGCGTGTCGTGCAATAATTTAACCCTTTGTCTCCCGATTCTGTTTTTGAACCCTTCTCGAAACCATCATAAATTGCACACAAAAGACTTGCACGGCTTAAGACGGTGCTCGGGCTTCCAAGGCCTAAATAATTACTAGAATAAATAAATTTATTCTAGCATTTTCCAGCATGCGCCTTGGAGACCTGGAAGCTGTTTCTACCGTATTTCATTGAAAAAAATATCAGAAAAAGGGGCGACAAAGGAATCTCTGTTCTTCGATAGTATCTCACACAGCCACTGAGAATGGAAAAGTCATGATCAATACCCAATTTTGGGCGAGGTTTACTCTCTCACCCAAATTTGGGCGAGGAAGGGTGTATCAGCTCCCTACATAGCTCCATAGTATTATGACCCTAATTTGGGTGAGGAAACTTTCCTCACCCAAATTTGGGCAATAAAGAATTCCTCACCCAAAATTTTAGTCATGGTCATGACTCTTTCATTCTCAGTGAGCAAGCCAAGAAAGCAACTGGGTATCATACATACATACATCATACATACATACATGCCATGTACTCTCTTGAGTTTTGAAGATTGGTTGAGGATGGAAACGTGAGTCATAATCATGCAAGTGGAGGTGTGCCGTCGCCTGTCCTAGCGATCCTGGCCTTGATGACGTCACTGGATGCTTCTTTGAGGTCGTAGGCCAGCCCCAGACGGGCACAAGCTTTGATGAAGGTTGCCATCGGATTGTACTGGAGCCCAAGCTCAGATGCCTTGTAATCCCAGGGGAACGCGTGGTGGTAGTTGTGCCATCCTTCTCCAAGAGCCAGATGCGCCACGAGTGAACTTTGCACTGGATAAATCGTCCTGTGGCACATAAAGAAATTTTCAGTTGAGGGAGAAGAGCAACGGGTTCCAAAGTCGTTTACACGGCCACTCTACAAACTGAAGTGTGTACTCAGTATGCGTCTGTAGACGCATACTTGCAGATACACACCTACACATGCATACTTAGCTGAGTACACGTCTACAGGTGCATACTTGGCTGAGTACACACCTACAAATGCATACCCAACTACCCCAAGTATGCATCTGCAGATGTGTACTCATGTAAGTATGCATCTGTAGGTGTGTACTTGCAAGTATGCGTCTACAGACGCATACTGTGTACACACTTCAGTTTGTAGAGCATGTGCATCAATGGTGGATTTCGTGGTTTCGTCATAATGTCTGTCCATAGTTCATTTTTCTAAAGAATTTCTTTTCTTCAGCTCTATGACAGTAAATAGCTTCGACAGACAGAAAATTCCCCATTAGCTATTTAGTTCTGTAAGTATTTTCATTCTGTGCAGCCTTATTCATAAAAGTAGTCAAGACGAGTTTGAGAGTGTACGTTGACGATCGTATGTGCCGAAGACTTCTACCCGTTCATTGAAGTGTACTTACTTGTCGTACGGCTTCGTACCGAAATGGTGGCTCCAACTGTTTATCATGGCAGTGCAGTTCAAGCACCACACAACACGCAGAGTTACGGGAACGAGAAAACTGTTGAGCCATGTTTCATTCCATCCGTATACCGCAGTGATCAATGGAAGCGCTACAGCGAAAAGCAGGATCAGCTTGTACTGGTGCCTGAAAAAGAACGACCACTGTTGTTGCCTTAGCCATAGCGAGGCCCCCGAGTGGGGCTGGGAAACTTTGCCTGTCCGGACTTCTCACGGCTGAACCGATCTGGATAAGATTTTGTGGGTCATTAAACATGGCCTTCGCTCGCCACACCAAAAACAGCTTTTTAAGTTGGTTGAGCCGTATCACCAAAATTCATTTTAAAAAGGCTCAAATTACATATTAATGTGATTTTTAATTTTTTGGTGGATTGGCGGTAACGAAGCCCTTCCGTGTTTGGGTGCGCTAGACGCACATCCTGTCTGTTTGTACACACTCTCGTGAATTTTTTCGTGTAATTTAAAAGGATGCATCGAATACCTCTACCTACCTCCTTTGAAACATAACGTAAGGGTCATTTTCGAGATCAGACATGTCGACTGTCTTATACTTTGCCAAAACCTCGGGGTGTCTTCGGAGCAAAGCCCAGCCGTGGTGGGCGAAGAAGAATCCCCGCCCTGCACTGTAAGGATCGGCCATCGTGTCCGAGTGCTTGTGGTGAACGCGGTGGTCTCTGGCCCAGCTCCAGGCACATGGCTGCAACACAGGTGCGTTTTGGGACAGAAGACTGGCTAAACTAAAGCAAAGCTGTATGCCGAAGTCAAGCATTAGAGAGAAGGGCAAAAGAGGAGAGCGAAAGATGATGGTCACGGTAAAAAACGGTTCCTGGTTTTCCCAGGAACTCCCTGGAAATCGCCTAAGTCTCTACCATAGGCTTCCTGGAAAAACCAGGTACCGTTTTACCGTGTTGGTTGTTACCTGAAAGGACAACGAACCCATTGCCAGAAGGAAGACCTTTAAAGGTAGGGTCGCTTTGAATGCCCTGTGAGAGAAGAGTCTGTGTGCTCCCGCGTTTGAGCCCACGGTCGACAAGTAGTAAAGAATAACGCCTGGAAAATAAACTAAAAATATTACAACGCGCCCTAATGGAAAAATCCTAATTGTTTGTGTGCCGCAGAAAATGTAGCAAATTCGCGCACCTCTGAAAGCTGAAAACCCAATGTGACATACTGTAGAACTCAAGCCATCAATTATAGAAAAAGTTTTCAAAATTTCAGTTTGATAGGTGCGCGAATTTTCATTAGGATTTCAGACATGTTTCTGACGTTCTGAAAAAATTTACACGAGTCCATATTCATGCTGAGCGGGAAAGACCATCAAAACCATGATTAAGATGACTTTTGTGCAAAGCAAATGATATGTGGGAACTTTCTTGCGATGCCCCAACAGTAAGGATCTTTCCCTTAAGACGCATGTCCGTCAAGTCGGACTCGACGTGGTCCTGTATTCATGGCTGACTGAGGTCTCGACTGTAAACGTACTTTCTCATCATTTTGTTAATTCCATATCATATTTTTCGATTTGACGAAAATTCTTTGAAATCTGATCTCTTTTCATCGAAATTCGGAAGTCTCGCGCCCAAATTGCTTTATTTTTTAACTCCAGTAAGGTGGCTTTCATCTCACGAGACAAAAAAAAATGTTAACATACGTCATAGAATTGTAGTCGGAGTTTTGAAGGTCTAGGTCAAGCCTCAACTCTAAAACCTAAAAATATTGCGCCTTGCTTATGACGCTATACGTCTATTTTGACGGGCTTTTTCGTTTACAATCTCAGAAAGCCGCGTTTGTGGGCCCACCCTAACAGCCAGGAAATACGACAAAGAGAACAAAATAGCCGGCGCTAGTTTACTCCGACAGTAAAAACACGATACTTACTAAATATCCACGTCTGCCATTTAACCTGAAACAGGACGAAGCGGGGCAAAGCGTAAAGTGCAACGAGATGAGCCAGCCCCAGCAGAAAAACGTTAATCCACACTATGTCTGTCTCGAACCAAGGGTTGTTTTTCTTTTTCAGAACTAGGTGATCCGGCTGCCGAACTTCTGCAGCCATTCTTGAATGCATAAAACTCTTCAGCTAGATGCCACTCAATCTCTTGAATCCACGGGCACGGGTGGATCGTGGTGGCGTCCGGGGCACTGGCGACCGCGGTGGCGTGAGGCAGATGGTGGGATGGATCACAGATCCGTACCTTGATTAAGGTCGCAAGCATCAACTGTGGAACCGTGATTCTGGTACAAAGCAGTTGGGTAATTACGTACGCCTAATGCAGTTCGTGCCCTGCAATTGACGCAACCAAACTTAATTATGTAAGCCGCACTCAGCGCGGCGCCAGTTGTGTGTCAAGTGTCAGGGGTGAAGGAGGATCACTCACTTAATTACTATATAGTTTTTTTTTCGTGCGTAGCTTTGCACCGAACTGAGCATGCATTTTAAAACGCACACATTTGTGCATAGCTTGGCATAAACATTCACATTCTTATACATCATCTTGTGCGTTGTTGTAGCGCAAGAGTTCTTGCTTGTCACGCGTACCACTGATAAAAAAGGTCTAAAAGCTCCGTCCTAAGTGCGAAGTTCGTGACAAAACGCCCGAAGGGAGGGGGGGTGCTGTTTTGGTCACACCCAAACATGGATCCCTAAAGAAAGTGACATTTCAAAGAGTTTCTCATTATCATGCTGCAGTGCGCAATGCGATTTCAGAACGGCTGCCTTTCCGGCTACACGCTTCATATTTAGCATCGAACTCGTCAATTGAACCTTGGAGGAACGGCGCACATCTTTACCTGACCTCTGATGTTTAATTCATAAGTACGGGATGGGCCAAAAATGCCACGATCTGGCTCAAGTCATTACAAGCTTGACATTATATTAAGCGTTTTCTCAGGTGCTGATAACGATGTGAAAATCGGGGCCGAAACCGGCGAACACTCAAGGACCCTAATACATTTTGACGCGATAATTTTTGTTTGCTGCCACAGACGCGATGATTTCAAGGAATCACATTGGCCTTACCGCTGCTGATTGTTTGCAGAAATATCAAGTGTACATATGAGCCGCCGGGTCCATTTGTATTCAGGGATTCCCGCTTTTTCTGTAAGAGGACGCCCAGACACGCCACTGTCTAATTTGAGCGAATTCGGACGTCATGAAGTCCTGACTAGCCGGCCCGCCGACCACGACCCTCGGCCCTAGCCCGGCGCTCGCTTTGCTGCTGCGGGGCAACGGTCGGTCGCAGATCAGCTGGGTCCGAGCTAGCGTAAGTTAGGGTAAACACATTAAATGCGGGAGCTTATCTCAGAAGTTCAAACAGGTAACGAGGGTAAAAACAGGGCGTAATTAATACTTTAAGTTCATAGGGAGAAAACTTTCGTTTACATAGGTAGCCCACTTTTAACGTTTATTGACATTATTTTAAGCTCTTATATCTATTGAAGAAAGGATTCGCACAGGATTTCTCAAATTTTAAATCCAATCTTTAATTTAAGTAATTCGCTGCGTAACTTCTTTCAATCTCTGACCGTTCCCGAAATGAAACTCCAAAAATTGTATGGGGGAGGGGGATTACGCATCTGGGTAAAAATAGTGTTCACTCTGGTTTACATAAGAAATTCTGAGTAAAGATACACTAAAGGGGGTGGGGGTCTCGTATCAGACGGAAGATAACCGTCTTTAAATAGACGGCTTATAAGCCTTGCTAAACACTCTACAAGATATATACAACATAATGTCCATAGACAGGAACAGATCGTGATATTACTTAGTTACGCTTGCTACGCAGTATTACTGTTTTCAAGCGTAACCAGTTCACGCTTGAAATCAAGCGTCACAGGTTTATCCCCCATCTTATGCCTGGTGAAATTTCTAGTCTATGCTTGATTTCAAGCGTACACTGTAAAAAAATGTCGTGAATTTACGAAATATTACTACACGATATGTTTCATAAAAAAAGGGTTATTGTTTTGTCAATTTACAAAATGTATCGCAATTATACAAAATCATTACAAAATGTATCGTAATCCTACAAAATTACTTCGTAGAGAGGGAAATCTTCCCAAATTGGCGAATTTACAGACAATATCACTACGAAATGTTAAGTTCAGTGAGGCTTTACGAAATATTGTCTAAAAACAACGAAAATTTTTTGGGTAATTTTCTTTTGCGAAGTTGTCGTTTATATATGAAAACATTTCGTAAACTTTTTGAACTGAAACAGTTGTTGTAACGAAGAAAAAAATTTTTTTTTGGAAATTTTTTTACAGCACGCTTGTTGAAGCTGAAAATCTTGACAATGGGCCGAAAACATTTCGAAAATATACGACATGTGTCGTATATAAACGACAGTTTTGTAAAATTACGAACAGTTCGTAAAAGAAAATTACCCAAAAATTTTTCGTTATTTTACGAGAAATTTTTTTACAGTGTAACTTCATGCTTGACTCATGCATACAAAGACGCTCTAGTATTACCAGTGATCTGAATATCCATTGACTAATCACGTATATCCGGTCTGTATAAGAGCTATACTTTATCTGAATAACCTTAGTATATCTGTATCTCTCGATTTACTTTAGTTTACTTGGTATCTGCTATGTCGCTATTTTTGCTGGATGTCAATCGATAAGTGACGTCCAGCGTAACGCTGAGTGGGGTTGAGCTGCACTGTAAAACAAGGTAGGTTTACGCCAGACCGCGTCTTGTCGTAACAGGCTTCGCGATGTCTCGCTGCCTGTTCCTCCAATCCACGCCTGGCGTACCTACCTTGGCCTGCGGCGCTAGCCTGCCTCCGGCAGGCAATGGCTTGTCCATTGTCGGTTATTTTTTAACTTGTTGAATGCTGGGGGGCTCCGCCCCCTAGACCCCCCTACATTCTGAATAGAGTTGTCTTATCTGCAGATAACAGGATCTTGACCCTTGTCACTTTTTAACTTGTCGAGGCTGGGGGGCTCCGCCCCCCAGACCCCCCTTTCTCCAAGCCAGAAGTGATCTATCTGCAGAAAATTCTATTTTTCGCCGTTTTTTAGGTGTTTTTCGGCTATAAAAACTGAACCAGTTGAGCTAGGATGGTGAAATTTCGCGTGTGCCGAGCCAAGGACATACCCAAAAAGTGTGCAAAATCTCACCGAGATCGGCCGAGCCGTTCAGGAGGAGTAGTGCGGACACACACGCACGCACGCACGCACGCACACACGCAGACAGGAAAAACTTTTCAACCCCACCTGAGTAACGGGCTTCGCTATCGCTCAGCCAAAAATTCCGTAGTTTTGTACGGAAAATGTACAGGCGAAAACGGTATGGAAGTACGGTTAAAAGTACGGAACGTCCGTACTTGCCCCATGAGAACTCATGTAATCGGGTACGGAAAAAAGTACAGAAGTTCCGTAGTATGACAGGCACGGACGGTCCAGGCAAATTATTGACCAGACATGACATGTTCCGTACTTTTTCCGTACTTTTTTCTCGCAGTGTTCAGACGATTTGCAAATAACGGCCGCTAGGCTACAAAGCAACCAAGCCTGTCACGTTGCCACGTTCCTTCAAGTGTGACCAGTTACGTTCAAAGTGACGTGACGTCACGCTTCTTGAAAGCGACAGCTGCATTGCTGAACGGACGCACAGTGGGCCAGAAGACCGGTGGAGGCGGTCGAAATTTCGGACCCCTTTCGAGCTCCAGAGTCACGGGACTAGGACCGAACAAGTGACCCCACCAATGAATTGCTCTTTGAACGAGGAACCCATTGGTAGGGTCACATGTTGGGTGCGAGTCCTGTTTAGCAACTCTTGAGCTCAAAACGCGTCTAGAGTTTTGGCCGCCCGCGCCAGTGCTGGTCTCCTGGCCCACTGTGGAACGGAACGTGAGGAACGGACGGCCTCCGCAAGCGCCTGGCGTTCAGGCAACCCATCTGCCTTCGCCGTGTCGGGGATTACCATTACCATTAAGGGCTAGACCACATATTATCGTATGCCATTTCGGGCCCGACACATGCCCGCCTGCACTGCAAAACGGGACATGGTCGTCCTTACTAGGGGAGAACTTTACCTCGGCGGGGAAGAACCTCAAGCGGCTACATGCCCCTGGCTCGCAGAGTGCCTTCCCCGCGGGTTAGTGACAGGCCTTTCCCATGAGGGTTGTGCCGTCCCTACCCTGGGCCAGCCTCACCAGGGTTGCCAGACCCCTAGTGCACCGTCCCGCCACCAGAGCGCGCTCAACCCGCCGCTTCCCGCCACCTTTCAAAATAGCCTAAAACCGCCTAACAAAAGCACCATCCCGCCTAAATTGGCGGGGAAAATAGTAAAAAACCACATTTCAATGTTTTCAGGCTTTATTTTTTTTTCTTTTTTTAAGACAATAAAAAGGGGGCCCTAACCCTATGCAGTTTTCTTGTTTAAGCCCTAGAAATGAGAAAAATGACATTAGTATATTGTGATTAAGACCAATGGCCTCAAGTCATGAAAAGTAAAGCAGATACAAACCCTGAGAATACGGTGATTTGCCTACCTAATTTTGTGGCTGTGGAACAGCAGCGTTTGCATCCTGCTGTTGCTGTAACTGTCGGCTCCGGCTCTGATGTTGGACCGTTTTGGCGTGATCAATGAGACATGACCGTCGGGCCCTCAAGCATCGCTTACAAACTTTGCAGAAGGCTTCGGGCATTCCCATATTTATTAATGTCTGGGAAGTTTTCTCCAACCAATCTGGAGCAAAGTTGCCATTGAAATCACAGAAAACAATGATAGCCTACAAAGGGTGCACGGGTAAATTGTGGTTATGTTATTTACCTTTGAATTCAGGCAGCTCTGCCCACTCTTGGCTATACCTTTCCAGGCCTCTTCCGTATTTACCCATGGTCTAGTCTTGTCCACTTATACTTTCCTTGAAGTCACACCGGTGCAAGGTGCAAATTCAAATGCTCGTGCGCAATAAAACTTCTATAATCCGCCGTCCGATGACGCTACAGTCGAGGAAACAGGTGGTATGAGAAATTCCACAGACGATCAGCCACTCCAAGCGCGCGGGAAAAATAAACGCGAAGCAGATTTCAATGCTGTAATCAGTCTTTATTTTTCATTGGAACAGTGCGTGAACGGGAGACTAAGGCTCGCCAATCAATAAAAATATGAAACGGGTGACTAATTCCCGAAAATAAAAATAAAGTCAGTCTTTACAAAATTATAAGGGAGACTAATGCCCGATACAAAAAACAAAGTAAAAATTTGTAAGTTTTAAAACTTAAAGTAGTAAATTGCCATCC